TAAGAGGGCAGAGACTCAATCTCTATGAATAAATTCACTTCTGTATCCTTCACATTGAATATAGCCCTGGCATATATTATAACTGTATTTCAGTACATATTTTTTAGATGACAGATAGATAGGTAGATAGATAGATAGATAGATAGATAGATAGATAGATAGATAGATAGACAGATAGATTTCAAATCTGGATATGTAACTGATGCATTTAAAAGTCCAAATTAATAGACATTACTGCTAGGATCAAGTTAATTGACTAATGTGGGTTGAACTTTGCTTGCAGTAAGTTTTCAATAATGAGGACTGTGCTGTGTTCTTTCCCCAGTACAAATGGTAGACATCCTATTCCAAATCCAATGGACCTAATCTTATACTTTGGCTAGGGAAAGACTCAGTTGGTAGCTTTCACACACAGTGCAAGTAAACAACTGTTTACCTGGAAGATAGGCATTTATAATCATGCAACAGTATAACTGCAAACTGTGATGAGTAATTCTAAGAGAAAATATGGAGAGGTAGAAGAACAGATCATGGGGAAAGCCTTTAAGCATGAGAGTAATTGATGGAGAAGGCATTTGAGTAGAGATCTGAAGAATACCTAGGAGTAAGTGGGTGAGTTCATGGAAAAGAACTGAGTAGGGTATTTCAGAGAAGATGTGCATGGAAAGACAACTTAAAGGGAAGGAGAAGATGACACCTCTTGAGGACCTGAAAGCAGACCAGTGGAGTGAGGAACAGATTGCAAGGACAAGGGTATGAGGGGAGACACAGAGCAAGCAGGGGGCATTTAAGTACACTAATGATTTTATTTTTACTCCAAAGCAGTAGTAGATCATTGAAGAGTTTTAAGAGAAGAGAGACATGATCAGGTTTGCATTTTAATTAGAGAATGAATTGAAGGATCAAAAGTAGGTATGTGGATATCAATTAGGGCTTATTTGTCTAGGAGAGAGAGACGAGAGAAATTTGGACTTACATGTTGGCCATGGAGATGAGGATACATGAATATATGTGAGAGTTACAGTTAAATCACTGGGGCCCAGTAATAAACTGCTTGTGAAAGGTGAGGGAGAAGGTAAGGGAAGAAGTCATAGAAAACATGAAGGAAACTCTTAGGAATCTCACCTACACAAATGCACAGATTGTGATGCCATTCCATGAGATAAGAGACTGGAGGAGGACAAGTTTGAGGGGGGAAAAACTGTGGTTTGAGTTTTAGACTTTTGCGGGTTGAATTGACTTTGAAATAAACTAGTGAATATGTCAGGTAGAGCATTGAATATATGGTCCTGGAGTTCAAAGGAAAGCTCTGGCTGGAGATACTAACACATAGATAATATCTGAAACCATGGTTATGGTTGAGTTAATCCAAGTGGAGAATAACGAGTGAGAAGGAATAGAAGAGAGAACTGACCAAGTTCAGGGTTTTAAGAAATGATGGCATTGAAAGCCCATGTGCAAAAGTCTAGAAGTGAGTACAGATGTATGAATGTGTGGCTTAGCATGTTTAGTACAGTATGGCTGGAGAATATTGGGAGTTTACGTGGGAGAATATGGAGAGATCATTTTAGGTTGGACTGTGGTAAGCCTGGAGGGCTATGCTGAGTTGGGATTTCATTCCGGGCAAAGTAGGGAGCCATGAATGAGCTTTGATGGAGGACTGGTAAAAGGATCAAATTTGCATTGTAGACAAATTATTCTGGCAATGACATGCAGGATAGATCAACAGTTTGGGAGTTTGGAGACACTGGAATATAAATTAAGCTATTATAATCCCACAGTGGTTGTGAGAATGGAAAATATGGGATCTGAGAAACATAGAGTGGTAGAATTAATAGGAAAGTCATAGTGGGCTCAGAAACCCAGATGACTGGGAGAATAGTGCATGCCGTTAAACAAGATTGGAAACTTGCAATGAGTAGTAGGTTTAGAGATACAAGGAAAGAATTAAAGCTTTGTTTTGGATATGTTAAATTTCATGGGCTAACCGGTCCAGCAGAGAGCTGGAACCACAAGTACTGAGCTCAGGAGAGAAGTTGAGGCCAAAGCTGTAAATTTAGGAGTCTGCGCAGGATTCTTCACTGAAGCCAAGGAGTTGGCTGAAAACTATCAGAAAGTTAAGTTTCCTCTTTATGGCACAGGAGGAGGAAGCACACTCTGTAAAGTAATCTAAGAAAGTCAGAGAATGAGAACTGAAGGAAAATGCTGTGTCTGCCACACCCAGAAAATAGAGCAATTCAAGGAATAGGTAGGTAGCCAACAATGCCAAATGCTACAGATGATGAGAGAGTCTGAGATTACTACGTGGGCTGCTGGGTATTGTGATTGGAAGTTACCGGTAGTCTATGAATGATCAGTTTCAAAACCTAATCGCTGAATCACCAGTTCCAAAATGGCGGTGGCCAGTTGCAGTGGGTTTAAGAGCAAAGTAAGAAAAAAAAGGAAAAAAGTTATCTGCATTTCTATACTCACATTTTATAATTTTTTATTGTTTTTCTGGCCCCCATGACCATTTAATCAAAAAAGATTGTTGTTTTAAAGCTATTTATGAAGTGTTATATAAATGGGACCATGTTTTTTCAAATAGCTTACATTTTCATCACATACCTCATAGTTCAGGGCTAAAGTCTTTCATTCAGTGGAGTTTTATGACTCTACCAGCAGCCTGGCCTTAGGTTATTTTCTCCAGTGAATAAGAAAAGTTTTGCAATCAGTCCATTTTCCTGTGCATGATGGAGTGATCTGGCTCTAATCTATCAAGATATTAAGATATGGGCATGAAAATATGATTAGATATTATAAATTTAAATGCGTTCCTCTATCTCAGCAAATGTGTTTAAGTCCAAGTGTAAAGTACCAAATGCTGCCATGCTTTCTGCTCCCAATTAGATTCAGTCTTCTGGTCGAGTTCTACAAATTGCCAAAGCCCTGATGGGAGATGCTGGCAGATACACATGTGTGGCGACCAACGCGGCTGGAGAAGCACAACAGCCCTTTCAGCTTCATGTGCATGGTAATGTCATTCCCACATCCTAACTAAAGAATATCTCTAGGGTCTTTTTTGAAACATAGTGGGCTCATTTTTATTGAATTGCAGTGGAAAAATAACAAATGTAGCATGTATGAAAAAAACCTAGGTTTTTTTTTTTCATATTATTGTAATTATAATTGATCATATTAAGATCTTTAGTTTTCAGGTTGTCAAATAGGATGTGTAGGGCTCATCATGTGTAGTTTAAATAAATAAACACATGGCCTTGGGTTTTAAATTATTTAAATCCTGTTAACTGATTAACTTTCTACAGATAACTTTGGTTAAAAAAGACAAAAATTACAAGATTGTTCCTTAGCATTAGTTTTGATTTTCTTGCCTGCCTGTAAGAGGGATTTTGTGAGTAGAAGCTATCCTTGACTTAGGATGTTCTCTCACGTGCTTTAATAAAATGTCTGGTGGCCGTGGAACACCTCATGAATATTACAGCTTCGCAGTAAACTTGAAAGACTGCCTGACCTTGAATGTAAGGCTTAAGATCTCTGGAGAGTCATCAGAAAGGGCTGAGAAGTGTAGACTTGGACTTTTCTAATTCAGCCAAGGATATTGGCAGAGAGCTACTCAAGATCTCCATGCACGCATTGTTCATTTTCTCTAATTCACGTGACTGCATGTTAAACCATTGTGTCTCCTTCCTTCCCTCCCTCCCTTTCTTTCTTCCTTCCTTCTTTCCTCTCTCTCTCTCTCTCTCTCTCTCTCTCTCTCTCTCTCTTCCTTTCTTTCATATATTCACTCCACATTTACTGAGTAATCGAACCTAGGAGAATGCCCCAGCACTCAGCTTAATTCCAGGTATACAGTAGGCAGTCAGTACATATTTAATAAATGAAAGAGTGAATGGTAAGTAAATGAAAAAATTTAAATTGGACATTGAATTCTTTTAATCTGCTTCTCTACATATTCTTTTATTTAAATCAACCACTTAAAAGATTTAAATCATCAGTTCCCGTAAATGTTTCCAATAAGCCAATTTATTCTTTCCCCAGTTCCCTAATTATGAACACTTAACTTACGAATGTCATACGCATAAACCATGTTCCTTAAGAGGACCTCTATTTTTTCACTAATTAACTTAAAGACCAATATCTGATTGTAACCATGTTGGAATTGGTTCACCATGCTTGAGGGTTTGGGGACAGGCTGACCCTGCTCTCCCTTAAGTGGCCTTGAATTTAACTTCTTCCTCATAAGGCCTAATATCTCTCCCTAGTCCTCTTTGGCAACTGTCTCCAGCACATACTCAGACTTCCACTTCCATCTAAGAGTGTGCTGGGGGTGGGCTTGCTGTCCTTTCCCCATTTTCCTACCCTGGGTCTCCTTTTTTCCTTCTTGTACAGGCTGTTTATCCTTTCCTTCCAATAATTTCCATTCTTATCTGCTGTCCCTTGTTGACTAAGAGTAAGTAGTTAAGCAGGATAGCTGGTTATGTTACAATCATCTTATGCACTGGAGTCAAGCCGACTTTGATTTGTAGTCTGTGCTATTCATGATCTAGGTAACCTGGAGCAAATGATTTAATTTCTCTGAACATCTGACTTGTAGTATGCTTTGGAAGCTTCATGGTATTAGGTATACAATGTCTCCCACTTCTACTCTCTTAAGTGTTATCAAAAAGAAGGATGCTTTTCTCTAGACTGGCTTAAAGTACTTACATGAAGACTCTGTGATGAAGAACAGGGTGTAGGTCTCCAGAACTGGGAAGAGCTACACTTTAGTGTTTGGGACTCCCAAACTCTAATGTTTATAAAAATCATACATATTGCATGTTAAGAATACAGCTTCCTGGGCCCAGTCACAGATCTCCTGAGACAGCATCTCTGATGCAAGTGATCTGTGTGCTGTCACTTGGAGAAACCGTGACCCAGCATCTAAAGATGGGCCTAGAGACTTGCCAATGTTGTCAAGAATGACTGAAAAGCAGAATCCATGAAAGAAAGAAAGCCTCCCATCAAATACTGAGCAAATAACAGAAGAGAAGAAGCAGAGTCAATAGCTAGGAAAACAGAAGACCATCTGGTTATGGTGACAGAAAGTATGTTAGCAAGAGATGCAATTATCCTATATGGAAAATGATCAGAGAGGTGAGGAGCAAGCTAGAAGACTTCTGGGTTAATGTGAAAAGTAAGACAAACAGAAGGTTAGTCACTGTGAGGATTTATTAAAAACTACCAAATCAGGAAGAGAATATAAAAATATCTTCTTGATACGAATCACAATTATATAGCAGTAAGAGACAGTACTAGCTAAAAATGTTTCATGTAATATCATCTTGACTTGTCTGGATAACAGTTCATCAACCTGAATGTAGAATAAATGATAACATGAACTTTTAATTTAATACTTTTCATGATCAGCCTGGAGGAAAGAGTTTGCAAAGTGCATGTGACAGGCATCCGGATAGAAAGCTGGCATATCATCTTGTCACTCGTGATAGCAATGTTGAGTTGAATACAAATGGCTCCGAATTTGATTCTGTCCTGTTCCGTACTTGTATTAATAACTTCAGTGAGAATTGGAAATGTTAAAAAAAAACAACTAATTTCTGAGGAATTAGTTGGTCACAGATTTCAAAAAGATTTCAGAGGCTAAAATGACAAGTTAATCTAATGTGAAAAACTACATAAGAATAGGGTGGAAGAGGAATGGGTTGAAGACACCACACATTGAAAGACTCGATGCATAAATGGCTTTCTTCAATTACTGTAGATCCAGTAATTCAATTTTATCCTAAAGTTAATCAGTTTTAGAAGTCAGTAATAAAAGCTTATCGTATGAAGAATAAGAGAGGCGTTAGCCCTGTTATACGCCTGCTCCCTGAAAGCCTCCAAAGCATTCTATTTAGCTCTGGTGCTATATATTAAAAGGGACATTGAAAAATCTATAAGGAAGCAGCTATCATTTACTTTAGTTCATTTATTAATTTATTTAACCAAGTCTATAGTTGCATTTTCAATAAGATTTGTTTTTATCCCAACCTTTATTGAGGGGGTAATACATTAAGCATTTATGACAATTTGTGTCATAAATCCGAAAGTGTTCAATTCTAAGAAACTCCACTTTCCAGTTGTTTAATAGTTTCCTTTCTCATAAAAAAAGATGATAGATGCTTCCATTCTTCTCAAGCATGGCAAAAAAGTCTTTTTGAAAGGTGAAGTAAGGGTGCATGGTCTCCTGGACTCGAAGACCACGTCATGATCATGAGAAATGGAATATTCTCCTGATCCCCTGGGGTTTCTGGAGGGGAGTTCTGTCTATTACAGAAGGCAGAAGCTCTCAGTAGGTGGTCCTTTTTGATCATCCAAGTTTCATAATTCTGTAAGTTCTAATTCTCTAGACCAAACTATGAAATTATATCTCAACCTCAGATATTTGCCAAGTGAGACAGATGTTTCCACAAACAAATGATTATTTGGGGTCTCATGGCTCAAGCATTCATTTCATCTGTACTTAATTATTTCCTAGGAAAAACAGTCAACCGGGGGGAAGCCCCAGAAGTGCAACATTGTGGATAAAAGTGTGCTTTTTGAATGTGGTTTCCTACACTGCCAAGTGATATCTGTAGAACAGTGGGTTTAGTTGGTAACTGTTTGAAAGTTCCGTTTCCTCACCTGTAAAACGGAAAGGATAACGATAACACCATGATCGGGAGGTTGTCGTGAGTGTCGTGAGGATTAAATGAAAGACGACACGTGAAAAGCTCAGCTTGTTGCTCGGTGCCTAGTCATCATCTGTAAATGGTAGCTTAACCACTGTTTTGGCCTAACACATATTTAGCGCTGGCCTTTCTCACTGCACCAACATTTTAACAACTATGTTTAAAGTCCTGCTGCCTTTGCTGTTAGCCAGAAACCATCTCGGGTCTGTATTAGTTGTCTGGTGAAAACATTAGTGGAGCACCCCTGAATTTAGTTTTATTGTTTTAAAGTATTTGCTTGGCTAACATCTGCTAACACCCACTTAAAAAAGGTTTCTCTGTCGTTTCTGTGTTTTGCTTAATAGCTCACTTGTGGCCTAAAAGAGATTGGGACTAGTGTAGGAAACATTTTTTTTTTTTAATTTTCTTTCTTAATGGATAACTTCAGTTCAGGACTCTACTATACTATTGGGTCGTTGGAAAACTCATGAAGCATTTTTGCATAGAAAACATAGAAAAAATACGTCATGACTTTTCTGACGACCCAATATTTTCTCAGTATAGGTGAATTTATTACTCATTGTATCATAATTTTGGTGGTTAAGAAGGATTAACTCACCCATATAATTTTTAGATCAGTTATGTATTAATTCAAATTTAACCAAGATTTGTAAAAGTCAACTTATGCCTTTGAGTGATTAAAATAATAGGCAGAGTCTAGCCTATGATGTGTCCTCTAGAAGGTATTGTGGTTTTGGCATGCAGCTTTTGAAAGAAGAAAAATAGAGGAAAAGACCAACATGTAGAATGGAATTCAACCTCCTGCTTGGAGTATGCAGACTCCTTCTCATTGTTAACAGCATATTGTTACCTTACGGAGGCTTCTGTCTAGGAAATTGTTCACCTAAACTCAAAATTGTAACACTATCCTTTTAAGAAGAGAATAATTGAATTCGTATTTACTTTTGACCTAAAAAGGTCCCAGCACCATTTATTAAAAAGACTATTTTTCCCCATTGAAGGGGCTTAGCACTCTTGTTGAAAATCATTTGTCTTTAGATGTAAGCATTTATTTCTATAATCTCAGTTCTGTTCCGCTGCCTGAATGTCTACCTTTATGCCTCTATCACACTGTTTATTTCATTCCTTTTCCCTCAAAATAAAATTGTACATAACGTGTGATGATTTAATATATGTATAATTTGTGAAATGGTTACTACAATCAGATTAGTTAACACACTCTTCACCTCATAGCTACCTTTGTGTATGTATGTATGTGTGTGCGTGTGCGTGCGTGCATGCCATGAGATCACTGAAGATCTACTCGGTTAGCTATACAGCATTATTAACTATAGTTCACCATGCTGTACATTAGATTCCCCCAGAGCTTAGTCATCCTATAAATGACGCTTATATCCTTTGACCAGCATCTCCCCATTTCTTCCACTCCCTCAGCCCCTGATAATCACCATTCTACTCTCTGTTTCTATGAGCTAAACTTTTCTGTATGTAAGTGAGATCATGCAGTATTTTGTCTTTCTTTGTCTGGCTTATTTTCGCCTGGCATTATGTTCTATAGGTTCATCTATGTTGTTTCAAGTGGCAAAATTTCCTTTCTCATAGCTGAATATTTGTGTGTGTGTGTGTGTGTGTGTGTGTGTGTGTGTGTGTGTGTGTGTATCTCACATTTTCTTTATCCATTCATGATGAATACTCAGGTTGTTTATATATCTTGACTATTGTGAATCATGGGGGTGCAGATATCTTTTGGACATACAATTTCATTTTTTTCTGATATATTCTCAGAAGTGGGATTCCTGGATCATATGATAGTTCTATTCTTAACTTTTTGAGGAACCTCCATACTGTTTTCCATAGTGGCTGTGCCAATTTACATTCCAGCAACAGTAGGCGAGGGTTCCCTTTTCTTCACATTCTTGCCAACACTTGTTATCTCGTATTTTTCATAATAACCATCCTAACAGGTGTTAAGTGATATCTCATTGTGGTTTTGATTTTCATTTCCCTGGTGATAAGTGATGTTGAGCACCTTTTCATGTGCCTGTTGGCCATTTGTATGTCTTCTTTGGGAAAACGTCTATTCAGATCCTTTATTTGCCCATTATTTAATCAGATTTTTTTGTTTGTTTTTTTGCTATTGAGTTGTGTAAGTTTCTTACATATTTTGGATATTAGCCTCTTATCAAATGTATGTTTTGCAATTATTTTTTCCCATCAGTAGGTGGACATTTCATTTCATTGAATGTTTCCTTTGCTGTGCAGAAGCCTTTTGGTTTGATGCAGCCCCCACTTGTTTATTTTGCTTTTGTTGGTTATGCTTTTGGTGTCATATCCGGAAATTGTGGCCAAGACCAATGTCAAGAGCTTGGTCCCTATGCTTTCTTCTAAGAGAGTTTTGTGGTTTCAGGTCTTGCATTTAAGTCTTTAATTCATTTTGAGTTATTTTTTAAGTACCACACTGTCTTGATTAAATGGATTGATTGTCCTATGTTAAACCAACCCTGCCTTCCTGGGATAAGTCCTCGTTAGCAATGGCGTATAACCTGTTTTATATGTTGCTAGATTCACCTTACTAGTGTTTTGTTGATTAGTTTTGTGTCTGTCTTCATAAGGCATATTGGTCTGTAGTATCTTTTTCATGACTATTTTTGTCTGGTTTTGTTATCAGGGTAAAACTGGTTTCTTAGAATGATTTGAGAAGTGTTCCCTCTCTGCTATATTTTGAAAGAGTTTGTGAAGGGTTCATGTTAATTTTTCTTAAATGTTTGGTAGAATTCACCAGTAAAGTTATGTGTGCCTGGCATTTTCTTTGTGGGAAATTTTTGATGACTAATCCAGAGTTCCAAAAAAGTTGATTTTGACAATATTCCAGTGCTCTTTTCTTTAAAAAAAAAAACAAAAAAAAAACAAAAGAGTAGATTTTTGGAGTGCTTACTCTGCCATTCTTGCTGACATCTAATCTTTTTTCTTTAAGTTCTCTAGTGGAGTAAAAAATAACCAACATACTCCATAGCCCTTTTATTTCTTATTCCTACCATATTGTTTTATTGAAGCAGCTACAGAGTCTGTCAAAGCCTTCAATGATCACTTCAGTCCAGAAGGCTTTAAGTGAATATTTAAATAACTGATTTGAAGGAATGTGCCATGGACTAATTATTTTTCCTTTCCAGTTAAAAAAGTCAGATAGCCATATTTAAAGGTCTTTTGCCCTTAAATACCATATCATAAATCAGAATCACTGCAGAAAACAGAAATGTTTTAGGCATTTTAAACAAAAACAAAATGTTAATACATTTTTTAAAAAATTTTATTGGGGAATTGGGAGAGGGAACAGCATTGTGGCATCAGGGAAGAGGAACAGACAAGTAGCTGTCCTTTGGTTCTTCAGTCTAGTTGTGGAGGACGTCGCTTCACTGGCCCGTGTTGGTATTATCATTGCGCTCTTCCTGGGTGAGGCAGTCGCTCGCCGGCCATTGGATGGTCACTCACAGCGGCTCATGGCAGCTCACACCGGCTGCCGGACACTCATGGTAGCTCATGGAAGCCCCCTCAGCAGGGGCTGCAGCCTACGCCGTTGCCAGCAACTCACTCACGACAGCCCAGCTCCAGGTCGAGCTGTTGTTCACTATCTTAGCTGCAGAGGGCGAGCATCACTGGCCCATGTGGGATCTGAACTGGGGTCCTGCTGCTCAGAGATGGCGTCTCAAGCCAACTCTTAACTAACGTGCCACTTGGCCAGCCCAAAATGTTAATACACTTAATTAGGCAGATACAAAGGAGCAAAGGAACAAAGGATGGATACAGGTGTGAAAGAGGAATGGGTTCTATGTTTTGTCTTTAAGAATAAATTCCAGAAAAGCAGAGATCTGACACACAAAAACATCGGCTTCTGAGGACAGACTTTATTTTAAACTTGCCAAAAAACAGCTTTTAATTTTATTGCCTTCATTGTTGTTTTTGTGAGCTTGTTTTCTTTGGTGTTGACTTCTGTTTTTTTTTTTTATTATTTCTTTATTCCTGACTTCTTTTGGTGTTTTTAATTGTTCTTTTTCTAGAATCTGAATTGAATGCTTAGATTTTTTTTTTCATTATTTCTTAGTTTTTAGTATATTAATTTGGCCTGTAAAATTTCCTTTGAGTATTATATACTGCTTGGTGACAATCCATAGGTTTTAATTTTAATCAATCTCATCCTAATTTATTTTTTCTGATCCTATACTTTTATCTTGATTTTCTCTTTCATGAGGTTTTTCCTTATGCAGAAAGCTTTATATTTTTATTATTGATTTCTAATCATTTTTATTACAGTTTTATTAAATTGTGGTGTAAATGCTCTATTGACAATTTTGGGTCCTAATATATAGTCTATTTTGAAAATATTCTATTGGCATTTGAAATGAAGATCTATTCTTTGTTAACTATAAATACACACGCACAAATACAAACACACATAATCTGGGTGGGTAATTTTATTTTTCAAATTACTTGTAACCTTATTTTTGTTTCATTACATAGTCAATTTCTGAGAAAGGGAAACTAAAATACATATTTTTACATTTTTCACATTTTCTCTGCTTTTGAACAATTTTTGCTTTGTTATTCAATGCATAAAGTATTGTCATTATAATGGATTATTCATGAATTGTGCCAGTTTAATCAACAGAAAGCATGTTGCTTTGTTGTGTTTAATGATTTTTGCTTTGTATTCCAATTTGTCAGAAATAGATATCACCCTTGTTGTCCTGGCATACCTTTCTCTGGCTCTTTATTGTGAACATTTTTGTGGGGTTTTTTTTAATTTGTGCTTTTTATCTATTTGGATTTTTTAATTTAAAAAGTTGTGTTAACTCTCAAATAGTGTTAATAACTCTCTGCCCATTAAACAAGAAAATGAAGTCACTCACATTTATGCTCTCGATTTATAGTTTAATTTTATTTCTGCCATCTTATTGAGGTTTATTCATTTTTCTTATTCCCTTTTTTCCTCTGTTTTTGCTAAGTTAGTGGATCAATTGCTTGATTGTATATGAGGTGAGGGGCTCAAGAGCACTGAATGAGTTAAAATTTAGCCAATCTTTAAAATGTATTTTTTTATAAAATTTGTGTGTTAACTTATATCAACAGCATCTTTTCAAAATAAGACAGACTTCTAGTTAACTGTCATTTTTTGATCCCAGCATCCCTTCTACGCTCTTTGAATAGTGTGGAAAACATGGGCTGTTGTTCCAAGTTGTTACTCCCTTTACACTAAGCCTCTTAGACTTATTGAATTCCTACATTAAATAGCAGAACAGTATTAGCTATGATTATTTAAAGTTGAAAATGTAGTTTTCTGTTTTATTTTATTAACCATGCAATTGTAATATTTATATCAAAAGAAAATAACAAAAGGGATGCAAATTTCTCTGAAATGGTTTAAAATAGTATTATTCAAAGATAAACTCAGATGTTTTTGAGAAATATTAATTTTTTCTTTTGCGAGAAGAGTTCAAATGTGATAGATTACTTCTTAGTAAAGGCACTTTACCATAAGACCAGTCAAATTTATTGAACTAAAATTTAAAAAAACACACATTTGCCTTTTTTTCTACTCTGCTAATCTACAATTCTAAGGATTTTCTTTTCTGGACACAGAGAAATGGATGATCTAGAAAAACTATTAAAATCTTGTTCTCATCCAGTTCTTCAATTCTGCTCACTACTATACTTGAATTTTATTCTAAATATATCAGTGTATATATGTGAAACAAAGAAATGACAATTCATACTGAGAAAACTTCCCATTTAAATATCCTACCTGTGTGAATTAATTATCTTTTGGGGCTTCTTGCAGAACCACCCAGCCTGGAGGATGCAGGGAAGATACTTAATGAGACGGTGGTGGCGAACAGCCCTATACAGCTGGAGTGCAAGGCGGCCGGAAACCCCTTGCCTGGTATGTTTACTTGTGAACATTTTAAGATTTCTGGGAATAGCTAAATCTGTCTGAACATAAAATAGTAATGACTAATAAAGGAAAGATTATAAAATACATTTCAAAAGTGAAAGGATATCATTAGGTAGTTGAGACCTTTGAATGTCCGTTGCTTTTAACTACATGAAATGACTTACCCATTTAAACAATGTAGAAATATGTGAATAACTAATTGTCTTATTGTCCTCACTGTGGCCACAAAGCCCACAATGGTATTTTATATACATTTATGTTGAAAAATATATTTTTCTATGGTCCAGATTGATTATCTTTATAAATCACTCATTTGATGAGATTATTATTTTGTTTATTCACACCACTGGTAAGTTACTCATGTGAATCAGTAAATAGTTTGAGGCTAATAGTGTTTACAGTGCTTGGTTTTGAATAGATATGTAGACAAAATTTTTTTAAATATATATATTGTTTTAGTTTTCAATTATAGTTGACATACAATATTAGTTTCAGGTATACAACATAGTAACTAGACATTTATATAACTTATAAAATGATTACCCCAATAAATCTAGTACTCATCTGACACCACATATAGTTATTACAATGTGATTGACTGTATTCCCTATGCTGTACTTTATATCCCTATGACTGTTTTAATTTTTATTTTTTTATAGATGAGAGGAATATATACAACAAAAAGAAATACAATCAGTTTAAAGTTTGCTACCAAATGATATTGACACATTAGAGACAATATAAAAAATATCTTTCTTTATAAATCAATTTCAGGGCTCTTTGTGTGGCTATTCATGTTTTTCTTAGGGTTCCCTCCTCTTAAAAATCAACCCTAAAAAGATGTTTAGACAGATTAAACTGAAATGATAAGTATAAGAATAAAGCAATTGTTACTATTTTACTTAAGCTCCAAGTTAGTGTATGTATTGAACTTTAAAAGAAAAATCTCTCCTTTAAAAAACATTAAAGTTTATTGGGGTGACAATTGTTAGTAAAGTTACATAGATTTCGGGTGCACAATTCTGTAATACATCATCTACATATCACATTGTGTGCTCACCACCCAGAGTCAGTTCTCCTTCCATCACCATACATTTGATCCCCCTTACCCTCACCTACCACCCCCCTCCCCACTTCCCCTCTGGTAACCACTAAATTATTGTCTGTGTCTATGAGGTTTTGTTTCTTCATTTGTTTGTCTTGTTCTTTTCTGAAAACAACAAAAGAAAAATCTTAAATAGACAGACTTCTCTCCTCTTCCCCTTGCAGCTATTACATGGTACAAAGATAATCGTCCACTCTCAGGTTCCACCGGTGTGACTTTCTTAAACAGAGGACAGATCCTTGATATCGAAAGTGCCCAAATCACTGATGCGGGCATATATAAATGTGTGGCCATCAACTCAGCTGGAGCAACCGAGTTATTTTATAATCTGCAGGTCCATGGTTAGTACTGCTTCTCCTAAATTCATCCTGGGGTGAAGAAACATTCAAAATGATTTTATTGTCCTTCTATAAAATTCTAATATAAATATTTAACAGTGTGTTAAGATCATCTTTACTGAAGAGTGCAGTGTTCTAAAAGTGATAAACGTTTTTATTTTCTGATTCCTATTAAAATGCTCTATTTTCACATGCTGTTGATTTTGTTTGCTTTAGATGAATTGTTGAAATAGTCCTCAACGATCTTATCAGCTAATGACAATAACCCTGTTTGTAAATAATTGTCTGTCAGGATCATAATTTTAAACAAATGTTTCCAAGTTATTATTGCTAATAATGCTTTTAAGAGGGCTTGGTAGTTAGCATACTAAAGTGGATACAGTGAAGGGACACACACACACACACACACACACACACACACACACACACGAGCCTAAGAATCCATGGTGACATCAAAAACTAGATTTCCTAAAAAAGGGCAAAACCTATTTTTTTCACCTATAAGATGAAGAAACTGATAATTGCCCTACTCACCTCATAAGATAGATGTGATTAGAATCCTAAATAAGAGATGTGAAAGAATTTACTTGGTGGGGGGAACCACATGCAAAAACACGTTACTGTAGACATCACATATAGTTTTCATTATTTTGAGGTGACATCTTCTGCCTGTTGACTTATCTTTTATTTATATTTTTTTATTCCTTTTCAGTGCCCCCATCAATTTCTGGCAGCAATAACATGGTGGCGGTGGTGGTGAATAACCTGGTGAGGTTAGAATGTGAAGCCAGAGGTATCCCGGCCCCGAGTCTGACCTGGTTGAAAGATGGAAGCCCCGTCTCTGGTTTCGCTAATGGGATACAGGTAACACTGTTATACCTTCAGTGAAATCTGCCACCTGATTATTCAGCACAGGAAGTACAAACAGGTAAAGCTGTTAAAGAGATTTGGAGAATAAGGATTCACAGGTGTTATCCAAAACCGTACACATATATACATCCATAAATACTATGGACACACAATTGGGACTTCTAAACAATTCATTAGAAGCTCAGTATATCTAAGAGTTCCTATATATCATTTACAGAGCTGTATTTTGACCATGTGTTTTAAATACTTTTTACCTTTCCACCCCCATTCCCTGCCACCCCATAAGAAACACCTTTCACAAAGAAATTGTTCATCAACAAAAAAACAGGAATTTCCTGGTAGAATTTACATTTCAATGTGTGAAAGTAATAATGACTCAGAAAACCATCTAGAATATGTTTACTTATGCAAAATCTTTAAATAATAAAGTAAGAAATCATAAAGGCAACGTTATGAGAAAAGAAATTAGAGTTTAAAAATGTTAAGTGCGTTACACTGACTCAAAGTTAAAAGTACAGAAAACACACATATCTCATTTAAAGTATACTTTAATTTTATTTTGCTGAGCCGAGAATGTAGTTCTCCCACCATTCATCTCCTTTAGCTTTTCTTGAAAATGCAATGCTTGCAGAATTTGGGATCATGAACAACCTGGAGCTAATGTCAATATTTTAGAGGTACAGCTATTGTATAATAGATGGATGGGATAAAAGAGCAGTGAATGTGACTAATTAATTTATTTGACTGCTACTTTGCTGTTAATTTGAACGTCTTCCTGGTTCTCCCAAAGAAAACTTAAGAGGATTACCTCCTCTTCTTCCTGCCTCTTCTCATCTTTCTCCCCTGGTGGCTTTCTCTTTCTCTGTAGTAAATCTGGATGAAATTGGACATTCACTTGATCCTGTATATAGAGGCTTGTTTTCAGCGGTTATTACCAAGTTGGATTCTGGCCACTCAGTTTTCCTTCACAGAAAAATGAGAGGGGATTAAATGATGCTTGCCCACTTTAAAATATCCAAGTGGAAATCAACAGGCAGATGTCAATTGATCAACCTCAGAAAATAAGAGGAAAAGTCTGTTTACACCTGCTATTCTCGGGGGGCATGTTGGTTATGTAGCTTTCTTATCATTGATAGGTTCTGTCTGGGGGCCGCATTCTCGCTTTGACCAGCGCCCAAATCAGTGACACAGGAAGATACACCTGCGTGGCAGTGAACGCTGCTGGGGAGAAACAAAGGGACATTGAACTCAGAGTATATGGTGAGACATTTTAATAATTATTTCTTCTCTGATATAGCTATGTTTAAGTCCTAAGATCACTGAGGAAAGTGAAGGGAAGTTTTTGACCATAAAAAACTATGAATAATAGAAATGGTATTCCAAGATTAATTCAAATCAGATTCTCTCTTCTGCCTTACATTTGACTTTAACTAATTTTCCTTTTTAAAGCCCTGAGGCATTAAAATGCCTACATGAGATATGTGGGTACCCTGAGGACCATAACTATGGAGAGTGGCTTTGCACATTGGAGGACATAATCATCCCCCTAAAGCAAGCATGTGTTCAAGTAGTTCTCTTGGTCTACAAGTATCCCACTCGAAACCTTGACTTTATTACTTTTTAACTATATTTACAATCAGCATATTTTGTAGTCAGTACTGTCTATGAATTAAAGGCTATTTGAGAAGCAAAAGTTAAACTAAGCATGAACGAACCAACAAAACAGAAACAGACTCATAGACATGGAGAACAAACTGATGGTTGCCAGATGGGAGGGGTGTCGAGGGGGATGGGCGGAAAAAGGAAGGGATTAAGAAGTACAAATTGATAGTTATAAAAATAGTCAGGAGGTTGTAAAATAGAGCGTAGGGAATATGGTCAATAATATGATAATAACTATGTATAGTGCCAGGTGGGTACTGGACTCATCGGGGGGATCACTCTGTAAATTATGTGGCTGTCTGACCACTGTGTTGTATACCTGAAACTAATATAAAATAATGTTGGATGTCAACTGTAATTGGAAAAAAAAAATTAAGCATAAACTTAAACAAATTCAATTGTTCCCTCTATCTCTAATGCAACTATCTTTTCTACTGGGGGCCTTTGCTGAAGGCCATCACAGAACAGGCCCCCCCAGAACAAAGTTGGGGAATCCTTGGCCTCTATCCATAGATTACACTTGTCATTCCACATTTCAGTACTTTTGCATTTAGAACTCTTTGGGGCTTTTTTTCAGGGTCTTATTTCCATTACATTTCTTGGTTCATGGTTCAGCGAATTTGTTTCTTCTGTGGCCGCTCAAAAAATTTCTGTTTAAGGCAGGCCTTCTAAGTCCCACCTCACTTCCAAATAATTCACTCCTATTCAAATATATTATTTTTTTAACCTCCAGACCATGCGAGTTTACTTCTCTTTTTAAGTTTGCCAAAACACACGTAAATATCACAAATAACTTATAAAGTAAGTCATCATTTTTTAATAAAAAGGCCTCTTGCTGCAACATGGATACCATACATGTCTAATTGAGCTAAAAAATCCCCCTTGGCATCACCGAAGGGCTGTCTGTGTGTCTCTGTTTCCTGTTTCTCCTGCAGTTGACACGTGTCTGTATCCAACCCCCTGCTTTGCTGGTGCCCTCTGCCTGACATAACACATGAGTCTAAAATGCCCAACCGCAGGCACTCTTAACTCCTTCGCTTAATGGGCCACTTTTTTTGCTTTATGAAGAACTAGAATGTGCCACTCTAAAATACCCTTGGAGAATGATTCATCCATCAATCAAAGTATGTGACACAGTAGCTCCTTCGGTTATTAGAAAGCAGGCAGAGGCATGGCACTAGTATTTACTTTTAGTCGGCAGTGAAAATTGGGATTGTCTCCTTCCATTCCTATATTGGTTAGTGTCAAATGTAGACCTGAGCGATGAGAAAGAGTTGTTATTTTCCAGGAGTTATAAAGATGCGCATCGCTGTTCTGTATCATTTGCTAGGATACTCCCATACCACCCTTTCAGCCTGAAAACCAGGATTTTTGCTCTGTTTTAGAAGTCAAATGGCTAGCTGATATGTACGTATGTTTGAGAATATGTACATATGGTTAGCATTTGAAATATATGTGCATAACAAGCTACTAAAGAAGTGTGAAATTAAACCAGGTTTTTAATCTGAAATTAGTTTAAAATCTGTGTCCCAGTATGAGTATTATTTCCATACATTACATTCCTGTATTTGTGGTAGTAACCTTGGCAATCTTGTGTCTCTAATTGGAGCCTAAGAATGTGCAGCCCCAGAGGTAAGATTTACATTGTAGACAGCAGGGGTAGAAAGAAGAGTAGACAGTGGGTAAAATAGCTTTCTCTGCAATAGACAAGTGTAGTTCATAACATTTTTTTCCCCTGCTATAAATTCAGAGTATATTTAGCCATACTTGAGGTACCCTCTTCAAGAGGATTGAGTTTTTAAATGATTTGGATTCCTGTAGAACCTTTTCTTTAACATAAGCTCAGGGAACTTTCTTCGATACCTGCACATTCCTCAGTGCCTCAATTGTAACCCTATGGCAGTTCTAATTTGGGTAATTAAATTTAACAAGTATAATGCGTAGGATGAGAAACAGGCATAACGCTCCCCTTCCTAAGCCACATAACCACAACGCAAAAGAGGGATAACATCTAAGGAAGTTGAGGGTCTAAAGGGTAGAATCTTGTTCTCTTCTCAGACTAAACAAAAATGTGGAAATGAAAGACAGGACTGAAAAAAATAGAAGTGTTTCAGATATATATATATATATATACCCTTAGCTGTAATTAGATTTGCTTGAATTTGTGTTGTTTAAGAAACAAATACTGTATTGTTTTTTTGCGTTTTCCCTCTCAATTTTAAAAATCTGGTATCCTTTTGAACTTGATTTAACTCACTTAGCTGGAAAGAAAAGTAATTGAAAGAAAATACTCAGGAATAAATTAGCATTCTGTTTTCTTGAATTATTTCTGACTTTTACTTCTACAAGAATCCATAAACAACACAGGCTCTTTTGTAAATTCTACAAATAATCTAAGATAAACATATTTTTGTAGTTACGGTACCTTTTTATCCACTGAGACCAGGCTACCTGAAGTTATTTCCAAGCTGAGAAATTGGCGCTTCTTTTCAGAGCTTTCTGTTCTAAGCCTGGTGCATGTATCTGTTTTCTTAATATCTTCGAAAATGGCACTAATTGTGCTTATTTTGCTAATATTGTAGCAATTTTAATCTGAAACTTGACTAGTTGTGTATCTTTTATCTAATGTGTCACATATTGAAAACAATCCCACTGTTTTCTGTTCCCCAAAGATTACTTTAAGCTTATCGAGAGCCAGATGTCTGTGTGTGTTATTAAATTTAGCAGAAAGGGCATCGTGAATCTCTGCACAAATGCTTCATGGGTCTGTTCTAATCATTTCTTCTTTTAGCATCAATTCCTTTGGGTGTAGTACAAGTCCTGCATCCAGAAACAGCACAAGAACACGTTCTTAGTTCATTTCATATGCTTTTCCCTTTGTAGGAGACATGGTAGCTGAGAAACCTCCTGGTTACAGAAACACAATGTTACTAGTTAAAGTTTGTTGCATTCATTGTCATTTTGCCACATGCCAGCAGCATGAAGCCTGAAACAATGGCTAATGGAATATAATAACATTTCCTCACCACAACAATCTTATTTCTACCAAAGCATTTGGAAAGCCCTTGAGGAGTCATTTCAATGCCACTTAACTTTTCCTCTATGACAAAACAAAACAAAAACTATAAATATGGTAAATTGCCTACAATCCTAAATAGTTATGGGATTTAGTGAGAAATGGCCAAGGAAATTCCCCACTATGCTTTTTTTGGAGTGATCTTTTTATAACAGGCTTGATTTCATCATTAGTTTGTGTATTTGAATTATTATAAATACAGGCCTGCAAGAATCCTTGAGTTATGAAGCCCACCCTCTCCTTCTTGGCAGGCCTGTACCTAGGCCATCTGAAACAAATGATTGTTTACTCCATTTTTCAATACACCCAAAGGAATGAGATTCCTTAAGCTTCTCTCAGAACATATTTCAGCATCTGACAAACCTTATAGCCAGGGATTCAAATTTTAATCTCATTAACATTTCAACTTGTTTCCTCTTTTTATGTAATTGTGAGTGCATCGTACAGCTGGTCACTGATGTAGTTTGTTATTTATTGTGCTGTTTACCCCACATGGTTTTTATTCCTTGGAATGTTGACAAAGTATCATGGAAAACCAAAAAGAGCTCTAAAGTGCAAGTCAGAAGACACCTAGCTTTGCCACCAATTAGTCAAGTTATTTCAAATAAGCTATTCCCTGTCACCCATTTTACGTTTTGCTCACCATGACTGGATGGGACTGGGTGATCTCTTTCACCTCTTTTATTTTTATTTTGCCTCTGTGACAATGAAATTTATTTTCTTTTGCAAAAAATATAAATAAGTATCGAAAGTGTTTTTGCTTTTCATTCATTGTTATTTCCAAAATATTTCACGAATGATTTATTACTTTGAAAATCTTCAACAGTAACTTCTAGTTCAAAAAGTTTTTTTAAACGGGCACTTAGTGAGAACTTTCTGCTCTAAAATGTTTTTGAGAAAAAAGTCAGTGGAAACTATTTTTGTTCAACAGTAAAACATGAGTCAGTGATTCGTTATTAGCACTTGATTCTGAATCAAATTGTTCAAAGGGGGTGTGTTTGAATGCGCGCGCTCCTACATCTTAAAAGAAATAATACAGTTATTCTCTATATGTCCTGATGGTGAATAAAGATAAGCAGTGTTCTGGCCTGTTTTATCCTGAGGGGAAACCCATCTTTCACTTAGTTCCACCAAATATTATGGGAGAAGAACAGAACGTCTCTGTCCTCATTAGCCAAGCCGTGGAGTTGCTATGTCAAAGTGATGCCATCCCGTCACCTACACTGACTTGGTTAAAAGATGGACGCCCCTTGCTGAAGAAACCAGGCCTCAGTATCTCTGAAAACGGAAGTGTGTTAAAGGTAAGGCTATAGATTCATTGACTTCTTCTTATATTGGGTTGCCGGAAAAGTCATGACGTATTTTTTTCTGTTTTTCATTGCAAAAATGTGTCGTGACTTTTCTGACAACCCAATCTTACATCTAAGCTCATGGCTTTGGTATTACTCCCATGAAACTTGCCTGTCTTTTTAAATGTTATACTAATTTCATATTGTAAAATTCTAGGAACCCTTTCATAAATGAGGATTGTAATATTTTTAGATTTTATGGGTGATGGATGTTAGCACACAGGAAGCAGAGAAGCTGACACAAGGACAGAGCATGGGAGAGATTGGGAGGGAATGTGAAGGTATATGTTAAAGGCAAGAGGGTAGAGACCTTGGGAATTACGATCCCATAATAATGGAGCTGGTGAGAAAGGAAAGACCGGAATCACTGATGGAGCAAAGTAGGGTAAGTCAATCAAGCTATATGGGGAGAGGGGGGTGGAACAATGAGTACTGCTCCTGCTCAGAGGCAGAGCCCAGAGTTCTAGAAGGTGACTGGTAGAATTCTCAAACCTCAGCTCTGCCTGAATGATAGAGGGAGAGGAAGATAGTCCTGGTCAGGGGAGCAATGCGTGGTTAGAGCCATCTTAGCAAACTTCACTGAGTATAGCAGGTTTGTTTCTTCAGAGCACAGACCCCAAGGTTGTTGGGAAGCCAGGAGAGAGATAGATGATGGTGAGGAAGTCCTGGGATCCATTGATTCCTGACCATGGAGGCCAGCCAGGCACCCTGGAGTATGCTGGTCCCACAAGGGGCCAAAGGGACAAAATGTCATGGAAATAAAAACTTCTAGTGCATCCCTCCTGTACTAAATACTTTCAGTGATCACTGCAACTCTAATGATTCTCCCTCTTTTGAATGTCTTAGCGATTGGTCCCAGTTACTTAGGAATCAATCACATGCTGTTTGTTGTACCTCTTGTATTATTTTGTTATTATTTATACCTTGTTTATTATTAAACTCTTTTCTTATGTTCACATACTTTATATTCTCAGCCAGATTGTAGGCTCAAGTCAGAAACCATGTATTACACTGTACTTCTTTGTGTCTTCTACCTGCAGTAACTGGTACAAGGTTCTCACTAAGTGCTGAATGGTCCGTGAATGAGCGATGAATGAGTATTGATGCATGCTGCAGATAAATACATAGAAAATATTTACTGGTATTCAGTTAGCTCCCAAGCACCAACCTGAGTACTAGGAAACTGAGACTAATTGAATGTATATTTCAAAGCCCTAAATTACTTATTCAGAAATGGGGTTTTTTTGTTTGTTTGTTTTTTGCAATTTTGTCTGAGTTGTATAAAAAAAACCTTCCTAGACCTTCAACAAATAATGTGGATGATACTAAGACAAGGTATGGCATACATGAAAATTATTGAATCTTGATAAGTGTTGAGTTGGGGTGATGGGCCTATGGCCATCCATTTTACTATTCTCTCAATTTTTTTATGTTTGAAAATATTCAGAATACAAATAAAAAATAAGAGATCATAAATAACATTAATAGAAAATCCCCAACTACTTATGAAATAGAAGCTGTGGTTTCAAAGCATGATTTTGTTTTCAGATCGAAGATGCTCAGGTTCAAGACACTGGTCGTTACACTTGCGAGGCAACAAACCTTGCTGGGAAAACTGAGAAAAACTATAATGTCAATATTTTGGGTAAGTGTGCTCAGAGCCTGTAAAACAAATGATCTTTTAATCTTTTTATTTAATCTTTTATTCTTTGTGTGTGGTTTAATCTTTTATTCTTTGTGTCAACTCCTAACATGCCGTCCATGTAACTAAAGTTGATCATAATACACAGATGGATGCTAATCAGTATGATTAGATGATGCTGAACTGTCCTGCATATCAGCTCACTTAATTAATTCAAGAGCAATTATAGACTTCCTGAACCTAAGCGTATTAATTACTGTCACTTTGATGTAGAATGGTTCTCCTCTCCTGTCTGAGTAATACACCTTTTAGCCTCTACAGCCAGGATCTTGTAGTGACTGAGCCCTCTCCATGAAGGGAGTGCGGGTTGGTCAATGGGAAGTAAGTCGAAAGGCCAAGCTATGCATGTGAATTGTGTGTGTGTGTGTGAATGAGAGGGACATGTAATGTGCGTGGGAGATAGAATTACTATGCTGACCAGCGTGAATAGCTAGTCTTACTTGAAATTGTGCTATTTGTTACTATTTAATGTAATTCTTAGGAATAATCACAACTTTTACATTGGCTGTGGTTGTCTGCTGATCATTAAAAAGTGTTCTCATTTCCAGTGTATTTATTTTTAGTTTAAATATTTTAAGAAATCATTTATAATATATTAAGCACTCTTAATTTTGATTATATTTTTAAATTTTTAATTATTGAGATAATGAGCTGAAATTTACTTTTGATGATAAAAGTTTATTTAAAAACACTTTTTAAATTAAAAATAGGTAGAGAAAATAATTTGCCTCCAATGGAGAAAACATATTTTTTAAACTTTAGAAACATTCATTTATATAGAAAATGACCTATTACTTATAAAGCATTATAATGATAATTATAATAATAATGATTTATAATTAATAGGTCAAATTACACATAAACTATGAAGTATACTTTACAAATGAGCAGACCAATGCCTCTAAGCAGAAATACAGTAGATATAAGAATGAATGATGGGAGAGAATGTTAAGACATCAAGGATCAATTCACTGAAAAAATATTTATAGTGAGGCTCTGTGTTCTAGGCACTATGCCACGTGTAGACGTAGAGAAAAAACAATGACGTTGCTCACACAGAACTTGTCTTCTGCTGCTCTAGAAATATCTTTCAGTAGCCCATTACAATTAAATTTCCTAAGAGCTATCATAGGACGTTTTGTAGGAAAACATATCATGGACTCGTGACATTTGAGATTTTAAGGATGAGTAGGTGTTAACTTTTTGAAGAGAATGGAAGCATTACAAAGACCTGAAGAATACTGCAGTCAGCAAACTAAACATCATTCACTGTGGATCCTAGTGTCGTGCAGAGGGAGTGAGAATATATTAGGTAGGAAAGGTTAAATGGGGCATGTTGAAGAGGATCTCTAAAGTCAATTTTAAAAGTATAGATTTGATTCTGAAGGTGATACGATACCATTAAAAGGATTTAAAGGAGGGCTGGGGTGTTCAGATCTGTATTTTAGGAAGAATGCTGATAAATTCTAGAAGTGTTTAAGAAATTGAATTCATAGGGTTCATTGGTGAGATGGAAAGATGTGGAAACAAGAAGAGTAAAGGGTTGATGTCAGTATGGGTTGGACAGCCGGACTCTGTGGACAGTATTGTCCTTTGTTCAAGAGGAAACAAAGGTGGCTGAGTTCATCTGGGGGCAAGTCAAGTTTGACAATGCCCCTAAGGGAGACAGTGAAGTTGAGATGTTAAGTACTCACAGGGGTCTGCATTATAAGTACAGATTTATAAGTATTTGTATAAAGGAGGCTGTGGGAGTAGAAGAGGGTAGAGTTTAGATTGGTGATCATGAGTTTATAGTGGTGTCCATTCATGTAGTAGTCATTTTCTTCTGTACAACTTTTTATCTGTGGTATAGGTAATGACAGGGTAAACGATAAGATTCACCCTGTGTTGCCAAAGAGAAGGGTGGTGGTGCACGGCAGTTGAGAATATTGGTGAAGGAGTAGTCAAAATGATTGATCATGAAAGCTAAGCTGGATAGAGATGCCGGTAAGCAAAAGAGTAGGCAGCTGGATTGGGCGACTTCCGAGAGCTGAAAGGAGTTGAGATTCAATTAGGTCGATGAGTTGAGAATTGGAAAAAATTGAGTGAAAGGGCTATAAAGATGAAGCAGTTGTCAGAGAGTGCCCCTAATTTGTAAATTTATAGGAGGAACTTTCTAGAGATGAAAAGGGCATGGCCTCTGATGGAGAAAGGGGTGAACAGTTCAAGGACGTGAGTAGCCAGGGTGTTTGGACTGGTTATAGACATGGATGCTGAGTGCATACAGATTCATAGCAGGTCTTCACGAATGAGGATGGATAAGAGCAAGTCCTAAATTGTTTGGTGAGTGGAAAAAGAATGCAGTTCACAGACGGTGGTAAGAAAGAGAAAGAGAAGTAAATTGGTGACATTGAGTCTCAAAGGAATAGAGGCTTTCACAGGGATGGCTGAACAATGACTGAAAGCTGCATTGGGGGGTGAGGGGGGTTCTCCCAGGATTCTCCCACTCCTCAACTCCCAGGAGTTTGCACCTGCCACCTGACTATATTGCCACCAGCGAAGTGGCCACGGAGAGAGCTGGCCCAGCAAATGCAGACTCGGCCTCTGAGAGGAGCGTGGGTTCAGAATCCACTTTGAATGTTCCAAGGAGAAGCTGGAGGCCAGCGGGGAGCAGGCCATGCAGTCTAGAACAGATAACATGTCTGTTTCTTAGATTCAATTCCTTGCCTCTGTTCTTTACTGTGTGTTATATGCCTGCTGTTTTCCAATTGTGTTCAGTATCTCAGATATCACAACTGGCCAGACAGAAATGACCGGGTTAAGTTTAAACTTGGGAGGTGGCCTTAGTGTTTTTGGTGCAAGATGCCTACGTGTCTGTAATAAATTGGCTTCTTTTTTATGCCACTCTGAATATTTTGATATGTAAGTTTCTATCTATGAAAATGGGAAGTGTGCTATTAGGTGTTTAGCCTATGTCTTACAGTTGGCTTTTAATGTGGTGTTGATAATGTTAACCTCAAATGCTAATTATTTCCTGTGTCATTTGAGTGCAAACCTTTTTTTTTTTACATGTAAAGTATTAAGGAAATTTTGTATTACAGTGATTGCAAAACAATCATATTTTGTATTTTTTCCTTATTTTTAATCTTTCAGTACCACCAAATATTTATGGTTCTGATGACCTTGCTCCTCTTACAGTCATTGAAGGGAATCTCATTAGTCTTTTATGTGAATCAAGTGGCATTCCACCTCCAAATCTCATTTGGAAGAAGAGAGGTCAGTTTCCATCCTTTGACATTTATAAAGTTAAATATAAATAAAATTAGATGCATTTATATTTTATTTGACAAACCTGTCCATTTATTAACTAACTTGCCTGGGGTTTGCATGTGAAAATACTTGACAGCATAATTAAATATAAATTATGCAACATGTGATCTTCTATACTATGCAGCTTAAAATCTTCAATTTGAGACAAACTGCTCCCCAGAAAAAAATTATTTTCTGTATTAATTGCTTTTTAATCAACTTCATTACAAGGCCTCTGTAATGATCAACAATCCACCATTCAAAGAACTATTTTTTTTTCTTTAAAATAGGTTTAAACAATTATTTTCTAAAGCAAACATTTTTGCTGTATTTGTGACAGTTTTGTAACGAGTGTTAAGATTGAATTCTGCAGTTGGACAGATTTTCAGTTTATTCATCAGCAAACATTTATTTATGTCCATTAAGTTATCAGACAGATTATCTAAAGTTTTAGCTGATTTTAAAAATCATTTTTGCTTTACTGCTTTTAAGATTCGATTTTGTTTATTTTCCTAAGGATGTTTTTCTTTAAATGCAATATTGGTTGAAAGAAAATTTTGCTATAGATTTTCTAGGTAAATGTTTTCTGCTCCTCCCCATGTTCTTTTCCTCTTCCTCCTAATCCTTTTTTTTTTTTTTTTGGTAGGATTATTTTAACAGTTTCATCTGCCTTTTAGGTCATTGAAGTAGGAAGTAAATAAATAAGTATATACACTCATTAGAAAACGTACACAAAATGCTTTATATTTTTGCTTCGTCTTCTGCCATTTGGTTTTCTGTGTAGGTTCTCTGGTGCTGGATGATTCTTCGGGGCGAGTCAGAACTCTATCTGGAGGCAGACAGTTACAGATTTCAGTTGCTGAAAAATCTGATGCAGGACTCTATACATGTGTGGCGTCAAATGTCGCTGGAACTGCAAAGAAAGACTACAGTCTGCAAATTTATAGTGAGTTATTCATTAGCCAGGCTTTGGCACAGTTTGCTTTTAAATCTCTCCATCCTTCCCTTTTATTTTTCTTCATAAGTTTAGGATACATTCAAAGTAGTATGGTTATAATATACCTCTCATAAGACCCACACATTTCAATTATGCCGACATCATCCTGAGCAGTTTCTATTTCTTGCTGTTATTTATTCAGCAATACAGCTGTCCACTCTGTCAGCTTGGTGACAGGAGGCACATGGATGTGGCTATAATTTGTTGGGAACAGGACAGTGAACGTGTGGAATGGGGAGGGATGGCATTTCACCAGAGGGTATATTTATAATATGTAAAAATATGTCATTTTAAATAATGATTTGTATAAGATTTTAAAGTGTTTGAAATATGTAATTATCTCTTTTAGTCTTTACCTAAGTTGTCATATGTGACAAAACTATTGCCCCCACTTTGTATTAATGAAAACTTAAACCCAGAGAAAATTTCATGACCGACTGGCTTGTATGTGGTAGGAATGGCATTAGAACCCAGCATTACTAACACTGGCCCATTTTTCTCCTCACATACGCATGTGTTAGAGTTGATCTCATTTTCTTTCTTGGAATCAGTATTAATTAGGTGACTTCAGTTGCAAAGTTACAGAATAACTGGTGATCAGTGGCTTAAACAAGTAGAGGTTTGTTTTTTCACAGAATGAGAAGCCTAAGGTTGACAGTCATGAGGTGGTCAGCACTAAGCAAATAAAATTAGAAATGAAAAAGATGTTACAACTGATACAACAGAAATTCAAAGGATCATAAGAGACTACTACAAAAATTATATTCCATAAAATTTGACAACCTAGAAGAAATGCATGAATTCCTAGAAACATATAAGCTTTCAACACCAAATCATGAAAAAATTAGAAAATATGAACAGGCTGATTATGAGTAAGGATTTTGAATCGTAATGAAATACCACCCAAGAAACAAAAGCCTCGGACCATCTGGTGAATTCACTGGTGAGTTTTACCACACATTGAAAGATATAATGCTTATCTTTCTCAGACTCTTCCAAAAAATTTAAGAGGAAGGAATGTTTCCAAACTCATTTTACAAGGCAAGTGTTGACACCAAAACCACATAAGGATGCCAAGAAAGAAAAAAGAAAGAAAGAAAGAAAGAAAATTAACAGTCAATATCTTAATGAACATGGGTGCAAAGATCTTCAACAAAATATTAACAAGCCAAATTCAACAATACATTAAAAGTACCATACACCATGATCAAGTGGGATTTATTCAAGGGATTCAAGGATGGTTCAACATCTACAAATCAATGTGATATACCATATTAAAGAAATGAAGGACATAAACCATGTGATCATCTCAATAGATGCAGAAAAAAACATTTGAAAACATTTAACATCCATTTTTGATAACAACCCTCAACAAAATGTGTATAGAGGGAACATATCTTAACATAATATAGGCCATATGTGACAAATCCACAGCTTTTCATCTAAGATCAGGAACAAGACAAGGATGCCCACTCTGCCACTTTTATTCAGCATAGTATTGGAAATTCTAGCCACAGCAAGTAGGCAAGAAAAATAAACAAAGGCATCTAAATCACAAAGGAAGAAGAAAAACTCTTACTATTTGCAAGTGATGTGATATATGTAGAAAACCCTAAAGACTCTACCAAAACACTGTTAGAATTAATAAATGAATTCAGCAAAGTTAAAGGATACAAAATCAATGTACAGAAATCTGTGACATTTCTATATGTTAATAATTAACTATCAGAAAGAGAAATTAAGGAAACAATCCCATTTGCAATAGAATTAAAAGAATTAAATAGGAATAAATTTAACCAGGAAGTGAAAGACCTATACACTGAAAACTATAAGAAACTGATTAAAGAAATTAAAGAAGAAACAAATAAATAGAAAGATATTCCATGTTCATGGATTGTAAGAATTCATATTGTTAAAATGTACATTTTACCCAAAACAATCTACGGATCCGATGAAATCCCTATCAAAATTCCAATGGCATTTTTCACAGAACTAGAACAAATAATTCTAAAAGTTCTGTGGAACCACAAAAGATCCCAAATTTCCAAAGCAATATTAAGAAAAAAGAACAAAGCTGGAGGTATCAAGCTCCCTGATTTGAAACTATACTACAAAGCTATGTTAATGAAAGTGATATGGTATTGGCATGAAAACAGACACACAGGTCAATGGAACAGCATTTACAGACCAGAAGTAAATCCATACATATATGAACAAATTAATTTACAACAGAGAAGCCAATAACATATAGTGAAGAAAGAATAATCTCTTTAATAAATGGTGTTGGAAAATCAGCCAGCTATAATATATGCAAAAGAATTAACCTAGACCACTATCTTATATACATAATTAACTAAAAATGGATTAAAGACTTGAATGTAAGACCTGAAATACTGAAATTCCTAGAAGAAAACATAGGCGGTGAGCTCCTTGACATCGGCCTCAGCAATGTTTTCGTGGATCCAACTTCAAAGGCAAGGGAAACAAAAGCAAATATAAACAAATGGGACTCTTATCAAACTAAAAAGTTCTGCACAGTGAAGGAAACCATCAACAAAATCAAAAGGCAGCTGACTGAATGGAAGAAGGTATTTTCAAATTATACATCCAACAAGGAGCTAATATCCAAAATGCATAAAGAATTTATACTACTCAGTAAAAAAAAACAACCTTATTAAAAAATGGGCAGACATTTTTCCAAAGATGACATACAGATGGCCACCAGGCATATGAAAAGACGTTCAACAGCACTAATTATTAGGGAAATGCAAATCAAAACCACAATGAACTATTACCTCATACCTGTTAGAAATACCTATTATGAAAAAGACAAGAAATAGCAAGAGTTGAAGAGGATCTGGAGATAAGGGAACCCTCATACACTGTCGGTGGGAAAGTAAATTGGTGCAAACTCTATGGAAAACAGCATAGAGATTCCTCAAAAAATTAAGAATAAAACTATATAATCAAGCTATTCCACTTCAGGGTACTTATCCAAAGGCTATGAAAACACTAATTTGAAAAGATATATGCACCCGTGTGTTTACTGCAGCAGTTTTTTACAATAGCCAAGATATGGAAACAACCTAAGGGTCCATCGATGGATGAATGGATGATAAGATGTGGTATATGTATACAAAGGAATACTGCTCAGCCATGAAAAAGAATGAAACCTTGCCATTATTACCTGGATAGACCTTGAGGTTATTTTGCTAAGTGAAATAAGTCAGACAGAGAAAGGCAAATAAGGTATGATTTCACTCATATGTGGAATGTAAATAACAAAAGAGAAAAAGAAAACAAATAAATAAACCAACAAAACTAAATGAAAACAAACTCATAGATACAAAGAACAGATTGTTGGTTACCAGAGAGGAAGATGGGGGGGAGGTGTGTGAAGTGAGTGAAGGGGATCAATTGTGTGGTGAAAGGTGGTCACTAGAATTTTGGTGGTGATCACTTTTTAGTGCATACCGATGTCAAATTACAATGTTGTACACCTGAAACATATACGTTATATGCCAATTTTACCTCAGTAAAAAGTTGTATCTTTTCCTTTTATCAAGAGTGCTAAAAGTTTTCAAAACCCATACCTTCCACTCCCTGCCAGCAGACCTTTATTTAGATTTTATAGACCATAATAGATTCATGTGGCCACCTCAATTTTCAGAGACTACTGAGAAATAGTCTCAGCTTTTCCAGCTCCTCTAGTGGAAAGTAGAAGGAAGAAAGGAATTGGTAATAGATGTTAGGTTGTGAGCTAGGCTACCATATCTATTTTTAAAATTAATACTACAGGGAGCTGCCATGCCCTCTCAGAGAGCATCACTCTCCCTGCATCGCCATGTGTTCACCAACCTCGTAGCTCTCGGAATGCTGTCCTTTCGGGTTTTTATGTGGGCTTCATTACACAGGCATGATTGATTAAATCATTGGCTATTGATGATTGAACTCAATTTCCAGCCCCACTCAACTCCCTGGAGATTAGGGGGTAGGACTGAAAGCTCTAACCCTCTAATCACATGGTTGGTTCCTCTGGCAACCAGCCTCCATCCTTAGCTATGGTCTCAAAATCACCTCATTAATGTAACAAAAGACACATTTGTTGCTCTCATCATTTAGGAAAATTTCAAGGGTTTAAGGAGCTCTGTGCCACAAATGGGGATATATATAGACCTATTTTATATTATACCAGGGGTGCCAAAAAAATGTATACACATTTTAAGTGATGTTATCTATGTATTACTTTTCGAAGTTGATTTGACCTTGACACTTTTGATGAACACTGACTAGTTATTTTGTAGAACATAATAATTTGAGTTATCAGTATATATTGAGTATTACAATTTTAATACAGTTTTTTCCTTTCTTAAAATGTGTTTTCATTTTTGTTACCCTGTGTATATGTTTCTTTGTTTGTTTGTTTCTGTTTTGTTTATTTTGTTCTTTAGATTCCACATATAAGTGAAATCATATTGCATCTGTCTTTCACTGTCTGACATACTCCACTCAGCACAATACCCTCCAGGTCCATCCATGCCCCTGCAGATGGCAAAAACCCATTCCCTGCCCTGCTAAGCAATATTCCATTGTAAATATGTACCACCTCCTCTTTATCCATTCATCCATCAACGGACACCCTAGCTGTCTCTACATCTTTGTCATTGTAAACAATACTGCAAATATAATCAATCAATCAATTAATTAATTAATTAATTAATTACTACTACAAAGACTTTTGCAAATGATAAGTTCAGAAATTTGTATAATTCCTCAAAAGCAGGTAAAGTAGCAAACATGACATTCTTCCCTGTATTGATAGCTTTATTTTAGATATGAACTCATTTAGAAACATTGAAGAATTCTACTTCTCAATATAGCAATGTTGCATCTGTTAACTCTTAGGTTTTTCATTAGCAGTTAATATTTTGACATCAAAAATGAATTTAATGTTGGTTGATGAAAATGCCTATGTAAAACTTGAAGAAAACATTTCTTATTTTGTTTATTTTTCCTTTTTTTTTTTTTTTGTTTAATCCAGTTAGACCAACCATCACCAACAGTGGCAGCCACCCTACTGAAATTACTGTGACTCGAGGGAAGAGTATTTCCTTGGAGTGTGAGGTGCAGGGTATTCCTCAACCCACAGTGACCTGGATGAAAGATGGCCGCCCCCTGACCAAGGGAAGGGGAATGGAAATACTGGATGAAGGTCGCATCCTTCAGCTGAAGAATGTTCATGTATCTGACACAGGCCGTTATGTGTGTGTTTCTGTAAATGTAGCAGGCATGACTGATAGAAAATATGACTTAAGTGTACATAGTAAGTATAAATTAGCTCAATGAGTCTGTTCATTGGCTGATATAACCTATAACATCCTGGATAGGAGACATAGATCTTGAGGGTTGAGTCTTTTATTTATAATCTATTATTTTCTACATAGGCACCACTTCCCCAGATTAATCTCATCACTTATCTTTCTGTACTTGACCTACCATTTCTTGCCTTGCCGAAATATGCGTATGTTGATTCTTTTAGGAAAGCACATCGTGAAGTAGATAATTGTCCTCTTCAAGTACTTTGGTCCAATTCTACCCCAATTACTAATCTTTGATTCTGTGTTTTCCAAATTAGCTGTTTTGGCTCATATAAAGCTAGGCTCCTTAGAGCATACTGACTCAGTGTCAGTTGGTCATGAGTTATGTGGAGTCAGCCTTAATCGTCTAATTAATGAGTCATAGATAGCAATAGGAATAGACCAAACATAAATATTCTCAGGGACATTGATTTGTATGCATATAATTAGAATTACAATTTTTAAATCTATAGAAACAATGGTAAATTTAATAGACACAGTCTTATAACTTGAATCTAATTGGGACTCACGCACAAAGTCTAGTATTACTCTCCTGTACTTGGCAGCCACTGTGTGAGTCAAAGCTTTAAGAAATCAGGATGTGAAAGAGAAAAGGAATCAATCTTAAGTATTTTTTGTTAGATTATTTTAATTTTTTGGAATATAATTATTGGTTAGAAAATCCTGCCTATATGAAGATCCCGAATCCATGTTAGAGATTTACCCATAAAGATGAGTGACTCAGAAAATCACTCACAACCATTAGAGTAACGATAGGTAAGTCTTTATTACTGTTCATGGGGAAGAAGTGACATATTTACTTCCAGGAATATTACACTAAAAGTGCTACTACTACTTACAGTGAGATTATTCATGTGATTATTTATTTTTGCTTACTGTTGATCAGAGTAGGAAAGTCTTATTATTAAAAATGAACAGCATAGGATTTTGTATTTGATATATATTAGCCACCTTCATTTCCATCTCTTATTTGTTTTGTTTTGTCTTGCAGCCCCTCCAACCATCATAGGTAACCATGGGACACCTGAAAATATAAGTGTGGTGGAAAAGAACTCAGTATCCCTGACTTGTGAAGCTTCAGGCATTCCCTTGCCTTCCATTACCTGGCTTAAAGATGGGTGGCCCATCAGCCTCAGTAGCTCTGTGAGAATTCTCTCAGGTATTAGAAGTTCCCGTCGTCTGATAATCTGGTTATCTTCACATGGCCATCATTTCTTCATTTCTCACTTCTCTCTGTTTTATATTTCTTTTTGATCTAGCTGTTTACTCTAATACCCACTGATCATATTAGGAAAAAAATACTTAGAAGGACATCAGAAGCTCTATAAAAAAAGAAAAATCTCTCAACTCTCTCTAGTTCCTTTTAAAATAGAAATCTTGGCACTCAGTTATTACTTAAATCATGGTGATTCAGAGCATTCATGCTACAACGAGTACCAACCAGTTTGAAAAGTGAAGGATGAAAAGAAACACTGAAATTGATACCAGAGCCTAGAGCGATTCCTCTTGTATATTATATACCTCCATAACTATCTCAATTTATTCATGACTAATCGGAGTGAGTTTTGTATTTCCAGGATGGAATAGTTTACTGTGAGGTCACATTTTATTGTTGTTGTAAAAGAGATATTCAGCTTATTCCTCATCTAATTATGTAAGGAAATCTATTAGCTTATTCTTTATGGAGCAGTTTAAGTGTGGATACAGGTGTCTTGGGCCATGCCACAGGAATCCGTACTTGGCCCCTTTTAGTAATGACTTGGCTACAACTAAAAAGACTCTTGCCAAGTTTGTGGTTAATAAAAAGCTTGGATACTTAACAGAACACCTAATGTGATGACGGAAGGCATCCGAATTCAAACACACCTCATGCTGGAACTTTTGAGTTAAACCCAACGAAATAAAAGTTAAAGTATGTCCTGCCTGAAGTTCAAAAGCCACTGATGAAAATTAGGTGGGGATATAACTTCAGAATTCTTCATGTGAAAAGATCTCTGAATCATGTTATTCATTTAGTATGCGTTAACAATGTAAGGCGGTTATCACGAAAATAAATGCAGTATATTGCCACAGTAAGAAAATATATTTTCACCAGTAAGAAAAGTAAGAGATCACATGTACTCTGGACTTAAGTGACTCATTGGGAAAGCTAGCAAAAGGATTTATTGACAATATTTTTAAAGGAGGGTATCTGTGGTAGTAAATGATTACAAAACAATTTATGTCTGATTGTACTGAACCTGGAAAAAAGACACCTTATGTAACCTTGTGGTTACATAGTGAAAATTAAATTTAAATTCTTGAGGTGCTATGGTGTAGAAAAGGATTATGTTAGTTTTGTTAGTTCCAGGGGTAGAAAGTAATGCCAGTGTATGGAAGATACCAGGGATAGATTTGGGTCTGAATATAAACAACTTTAAAATAAATGTAATTAAATATATATATATATATATATATATATATATATATATATATATGTGTGTGTGTGTGTGTGTGTGTGTGTGTGTGTGTGTGTGTGTATGATTATGATTGTCGGAAAAGTCATGATGTATTTTTTCTGTTTTTCATTGCAAAAATACGTCATGACTTTTCCGACAACCCAGTATACATACTTTAAAGTCAAGATGAGCTGTTTTAAGAGGTAGTGATCACCCTGCCCCTAAATTTGTTCAAAGTTTAAATTCCCACTTTTGAAGGCTTTTCAGAAAAGATTCTTTCGTAGTGTTGCAATTAGGTCTAAATATCCTAAGGTTTCTTCAAGATCTTATTCTGTAAACTATAGGAGCTTGATGACTATCCATCGCTCTTGACTTCATTTATTGCCTATAATACCCACTAGATGTATGACCTCTTGCAAGTTCCCTGACTTTGCTAAATTTAGTTTCTGTACTTGTAAGGTGAAAATATTAACAAAATTGACTCCTTAGGGTTCTTGTAAAGATGGAATGAGTTAATGTATGTGAAGCGGTTAACGTAAGGCCTGCTTCTGTGGTAAGCAGCCAGTCCATACACGTGTGTTGTTTTTGCCATACAGCCTGGGAAAAAGATTGGTGGCATCCCTGTCCTGGGAGACATCCTAATGTCCTTACTATGATGCCTTCATTTTCATAGGCCTTCCAGGCTCTGTTGGTCTTCGGAAATCATCATAATGGCAAAGATTTTATTACAATTGGGTTTCCCCAAAACCTGAACACGTTATCTTCTTGTCTTGACATGATCCTCCTATTTTTGACTTTTTCCTAACTCTCCATTGCTGAAAACGGAAGAACTCATATTAAATATAATAGCCTTATCAGAGCTCCTGGAAATGAACAGGGCAAGAGAGAGTGAGGTACTCCTGCTTATTATAAACGTACAGGAGTGGTGTTTGGGTTTGGTTGAGTTTTGTTTTGCTTGACGAGCAGCTGGAGATCCTTGAGCAAGCACAGTAAAAGTATTTCACCTTGTGGTGCTGCCAAGGGAGTCATTCAGTTTTACAGTCTGAACATGTGCGTTGCGCAATAGATGAATGAGAAGCAAATGAATGGCATATGACGCGCCTGGTCCTTGGTCTGCCGCACGCTTCTGGCCTGTTAAGATCAGTCCTCCCGGGACTTGAAGTACAGCTTCTCTGAAAGCCGTGCTTGGGTGAAGTCTCTATTAACATTATGAAGTTATGTGCCAAGAAACGATACTGCTATAAAAATTTAATAGGTACAAGAAACATCTCCGTATAAGTCTTGCTAGCTGTCAGACCTTGTTTTTTGTTTTCCACTGGATTAAGTGAGAGGACCAGGAAACAAAGAAAAAAGAAAGATCATGAGACTCATGAGGTTGAGGTTTGCAGAGCCAGCAATGACTCATGAATGTTGGATCGTTTTAATATCTCTCAACTGGAATCACAGTGTGGTTTCACTGATCTGAAGTAGCAGACAGTGCTTGAATCTTTTCCTAATGACCATAAGCCTTTGACACGTTTAGATAATTTCTGTATTCAACTTGGCTTACGGGAATTCAGTTGGGGAAAAGGAATGAATTCAGGTAATCAGCTTTGTCTGTCTACACAAGGTACCACTGAGTTCACCTTTCAGTGGCTTAAGGATGGGAAGGTTGATTGTATTAGGAAAACTCAGTGAAAGCTTGTAGTGTTCATGAAAACAGAATGGAAACTCCTGATAAATCCAGATCCAGGTGGATATTTACGTGAACATCTCATGTTTAACCATTTCAATTTGTTTGGTTCAAATTCAGGGAACTAAGCAAAAATATACCAGCTAGAAAATTCTTACAAAACCTAAGAAATGCTGTACACTGTTTGCTTAGACTCGACTCCTCAAATTGTTTCGAGGACTCCACTCTCTCAGTGTGTCTCTTAGTTCTTTTCTTTCCATCTCATTTGCTGGCTCCTCCCTCATCCTTTGTTCTTAAATGAAGCTTCCCTCCACATTACACCTTTAAGCATATCAGAGTTTCACTCTCAGCCTCTATACATTTATTAGCTGAAGAATCTTGCTTTAAACAAAACATAACATTACATGGAAGTTCAAAATGTAAAAACAAAGGCACATCAATGAATGAGGCGACCCTCTCATAAACTTTGATATACATAATCCTGGGACTCCATGGTACTCAATTGAGAACCGGTGGTCAGGCTTCACTGTTTCATCCATCTGTCCTATATCATTGTCACCCATATCTGGATTGCTGGTGTAGTTGTCTTTCTATTATAACATTCCCATTTCATATATTCAATGGCAAACTGGGAATCTTTTTTAAAAAATCCTGTCACAGTTGTGTTTCTAACGTACAAATCAGATTATGACCTTTTTGTTTACACACTTTCATAGCCTTTATTGAACACAATAAAGTCTAGACTCTTTAGCATAACATTCAAGGGCCCACAGAAATTGGCCATACTCCACCTAGCCTCATCTATCACCATTTTCTCTACCTGCTCTGCTTAAGATACCACATCTACTGTCTATCTTTGTATCCTCATTCATACTCTGCTTACTATGGAGTCCGTCGACTCCTCTGTGTGTTCAAGTGTACTTACCTCTTAAGGTTATGTACAAACATCACCTCTGTGGAACTCCATTTCTTGCTTTCTGTCACATAGGATTGTATTTATTTTTTATCCATTGACCCAGAAAATTCTTCTGAACTAACCATTCTGTTTGACATGAACGTATGTGATTTATTTTTTTTAAAGCTTGACATAAATTCATGTAAAGATCTTTGAAGCATATTGATTAAATTTTACCTATATTGAACACCACTTGGAAAACTTGTGAAGTTTCAGATTTTGTTTTCTTGAGTCACCTGGTGGTTTACTTCTCCAGGAGGTAGGATTCTGCGGTTGATACAGACCAGAATAGAAGATGCTGGGCAGTATACTTGTATCGTAAGGAATGCAGCTGGTGAAGAAAGAAAAATCTTTGGACTTTCAGTATTAGGTATTTATATAATTTGCATATATCTAGAAAAAATCTAATTGGCTTATATACATTCTGGAACCAGAATTTAAATTTATATACAGCTTGATTTCACATTTATGTATTCTTTGTCCCCTGGACTATCACTATTGATAAGAATTCAATGTTAAAAAATGATTTGGAGGCAATCAGTTGGATTAAAATGGGCAAAGTGACACAGACAATTGTTCAGTGGTTACCAGTGGGAAAGGGGGGAAGGGAGCGGTGGATGAAGGTAAAGGGGGCCAAATATATGGTGATGGAAGGAGAACTGACTCTGGCTGGTGAACACACAATGTGATATATAGATGATGTATTATAGAAATGTACACTTGAAACCTATGTAATTTTACTAACCATCATCACCCCCAATAAATTTCAATTAAAAAAAATGGTTGAAATGCCATGTCTTGTCAGTTCACAGTTGTTCAACAATATTCTAAGACTCTGATAACTTATTTAATGTGAGTGGTTATTAGAATGACAGTGGAAAAAATAAATGTGTAGTAAATATTCTTACTCACTGACTTGTTGACATTTTTACCCAGACTTTGATTTACATTGCAATAAAATTATTTATATAATTGAATTTTTGACATATAACTTTATAATATATCTTAAAATTAGAATTGATCAAAATAATATTATGACATTATTCTAGTAATCAATTAATTTGGAGGTTTGCTTTAAACGTTCTATTGTAACTTAATAAAAACATAAACCTAGATGCTTATACAGTAACAGCTCTGCTGTTAAAACTACTTTTTCTGTTTTCTTAGTACCACCTCACATTGTGGGGGAAAATAGACTGGAAGATGTGAAGGTAAAAGAGAAACAAAGTGTTACTCTGACTTGTGAAGTTTCAGGTAAGAGGCTTAGCTCTCATACTTCTGCTGTCCCCCACTCACTAATTATTCATTATCTCCACTACATTTCTTAGTTGAGAAAAAGTCAAGCTGCTATAAAATGAATTTGAATTGAATTCTGAGCCAATATATGGAAATGTAGGAGGAAACTTCTTAGATTCTGTGGAGATTCAAGGGAAATTTCCTCCTGGAAGGAAAGGAGGGAAGGAAGGCAGGAGGGAGGGAGGGAGAGAGATACACTGGTCTTTGCTTTCAGTTCAATAAATTACTCTTTTAAAAAAAATTCTGCTTCTATTTGTATGTAGGGTTTTCCTGCCCCACCTCCTCTTATTTTCTGTTTCCTTCACTGTGGGTTGAAGGTTGTACCTTCCTTTCCTTTTCCTGTTTTCTTAAATTTCATTTCAAAGAAATAGGTAGAAGTTTTGGTGGAAGTATGAAATTATTGATAGTGGGGATTACCAGAAAAACAAAATTGTCACCTTTTGTTGACATGTTTAATTTCCATGTTTTTCATTTTTGAATTTTCCAGCTTCCCTCCTGTTTTTGATTTCTAGTTTCATACCATTGTGGTCAGAAAGGATACTTGGTATGACTTCAGTTAATCTTTAATTTGCTAAGACTTATTTTGTGGTCTAACATATGATCTGTCCTAGAAAATGTTCCATGTGCCCTTGAGAACAATGTGTATTCTGCTGTTACTGGATGGAATGTACTGTATAAGTCTGTTAGGTCTATGGTGTTTTTCAAATCCTCTGTTTTTGTTTTTGATTCTCAGGCTGTGTGAGCTATCGATTGTTGTGAGAGGATTATTAAAGGCCCCAGCTATGATTGTATTGCTGTTTATTTTTTCTTTTAGTTCTATTAGTATTTTGCTTTATTTATTTAGGTGCTCTGATGTTGGGTTCATAAATATTTATAATTATTTTATCTTCTTAATGGATTGACCTCTTTTTCATTATATAATGACCTTCTTTGTCTTTTTTGACCACTTTTAGCTTAAAGTCTATATTATCTGATATAAGTATAGCTTCCTTTGCTTTTTGTTTGATTACCATTTTCTCAAAATATCTTTATACACCTGTTCACTCTCAGTCTATGTGTGTCTTTAAAACTAACATGAGCTTCTTGTAGGCAGCATATTGTTGGAGTCAAGGGTCTCCTCTTCCAGATTTTCCAGATTCATTTGAATACAACCCTTCACCAGTCAGCTCTGCTTGAGGTTCTAAAGAGACTAGTTGGTAGTAGCCTTAGTCTGGTGAAGCTTTATATCAGGGTCTCTATTTGGGTGAAGCCACTGCCTGAGCTGTGAGGTTGGGGTGGGAAGCAGTTGGGCAGGACTGTTGGCTTTGTTCCCTGCCCAAATGCAACTGTAGGATAGGCTCCATGGTTGCCTAGCCTTTCTGGTCAGGCTTCCCAGTCAGACAGGACTGTGCGATATTCAATATTTGGATATTTGGGCATGCCTGTGAATTTGCATCCTTGCCTGAGTGGGGCTATAGAACATGCTCCGAGACCACTACAATTGAGGCTTCCAGTTTTACTATAATATCATCCTAGCCCTCTTTCCTAATAGAACTTGCTTTTATGGTTTTAAAATTAACATTTCACAAAATTATTTGAGTAATTTAAAACAATTAACATAAGCTGCATGTTAAAATAAGTATAAAAGGTATTTTCCCTACAGGCTATAAATATTAAAGGAGTAATTACCATATATCTATATTTACCTATCTACATATCTATGTTGGAATCCTGGTATAAACTCAAAATACCTGCTTGTTGGATTATTTAATTAAAGGCTTTTTCCCTTTTTATACCCTTCCCCAAAAAACATAAAATATTCTTTAAAATTTTAATATGGATGCAAAGGTATTTATGAGTGAATATTTTAATAAAAATGCTGCTCCATTCTTTTTTGAGTGTGTTTTACTATGAAAGTATTTAATTGTAATAGTCTAAGGTATGATATAAATTTAGTTAAATACAAAGAGTAATTTAGAATTATTTCACTTATATATGAAAATTAATCTTCACTTGAAAATGATTTGTAATCTATGTATGTTAAAAATCAGCATAATTATTATTATAAATTAAGTTATGTTTGCAAATTTATTTTAGAATGAATGGTCACTGCATTGTTTTTAGAAGTGGGATATTTCAAAAGGCGAATGAGTGAAATGTCTTCTTTCAGTTATCACTTGTAGACATGTGATTATAGCCAGCTCTCAGAAATGGCTTTTGTTACAGGGAATCCAATGCCAGAAATTACATGGCACAAAGATGGGCAGCTCCTTCAAGAAGACGACACCCATCACATTATGTCTAGTGGTCGTTTTCTTCAAATTACCAATGCGCAAGTGTCACACACTGGAAGATACACATGTTTGGCTTCTAATCCAGCTGGTGACAAGAGCAAAAGTTTCAGCCTTAACGTGTTGGGTATGTGTAAGCATTGCTTTAGATTTTGAAGAATCAGACATGACATGGGCTAAATTCTTTTCTGTTTACTCAATATTTCTACCACAGAATTTCATTATTTAAGGAGGACCAGTACTTGAATATGTTTGCTGTTTCTCTTTCATTAGTTCATAATTCATTCACTCTATTTGGAAGACGTACTATGTTCCAGGTACTGTGTTTTATGCTGGGGGCACAACTGCAAACAAGATAGATGTTCAATAAGCAGTAGTAAAAGATAAATATATGCTGGTCAAAGAAGCAGGTCAACAGTGAAAGGAGCTCAACCTGAGACAATTTATCCTTTCTTTATGGGATGCTGCCATTACTGGTAATAGTCTGTGTTGAATTCTATGTTTGGTAACAATGATGGAGGTGTTGCAAATGCAGAGGAGCCCACCACAATTTTATGCTTGCTCACAACTGATAATGACCGAACACAATTCCTTGCAAAGTGGAAGGGTTAAAACAAAACACAACAGCTTGCAGTGCTTTCATTATAGAAGTGTGGGCCCTTTGTCTTAAAGCACATCTTTCTTTCCCTCCACCGACTCATGTAGCAGTGCTGTGAGCAGAGCATTTGCTTCCACGGGGGTGAGCGACTACCTTAGATTTTACGTTTCTTCACATAATATGTTGCTTGTCTATCTTTGTGGGTGTTTATCTGTGTTCTTTGCAAATTCACTAATACCTAAAAAAAACTTAAGGGAAGAAAGTTGAAGGGGACTACTGTGCAGATACAAAACCTAGAAAGTGAAAATTTAGATCTTTTACCATTTAATCAATGGTTCTTTCTTCCCAGGTAAGTTCTCACCCCCTTGAAATCAATATGAAATGTGTAAATTCTATGTTGAGTCAATGATTGAACTATGAAGACTCCGAGGTTAAAATGGAGATGGAGACCCGGGTGTGAGTTTTAAATCTCACATGATTTGCTTCTGAATTAACACAGATTAGCTTGTGCATTTGAATACCAAGCCCTTTGAGAGAAATAAAAGCTACACCATGAAGAAAAAATGGACTAGCAATGATGAAGTAACTGTACACTCAGTTCTTACAGCATCAACGTTGTGCTTTTGTCTCAGGAATGACAGTAAAATAGAATTTTTAGTTTCTGCGTGTGTTTTGAAATTGAAAGTGCACCACCTAAATGGACTGTATTTGATGACTAATATCAAAATACTTTTCATTCTACTAAAATCGACTATATTTGAGTATGTGCCTTTTTGCAATTGTTTGTTTGTTTGTTTGTTTTTGTTGTTATTGACTAGACTATTTGAGGAATGCATAGTCCACGCCTATAAACCTCCCATACAGGACATCGCCCTCAAGTAGCTTACAGTCTAATTGAGTAGGAGATATATATATATATATAAAAAAAAATATATATATATATATATATATATATATATATATATGCAAGAAAAATTAAATCAAAATGCTAGATAATGTACAGTGTCAAATGAATAGCATTGAATATATAGAGATAATGATTATACAAAACTATAAACTCCCCAAGGCACAACCCCTCTTTATCTTGGAAAGGATTTAGCCCCAACACCTAACTTGGCCTAGGACAACAGGTATATGGATAAATATGAAGAGAGTTCATGATCCTGTTGTCTCCTAACACATCTGTGCTCCCTGCATGCCCTTCAGTGTATGAAAGACACGTGCCCAGCCTTGGATTCTCTCTCTTGTCCTGTAGTTTATCGCTTCTCTTAGAGCTCTCATTCCCATACGCCTCCTTCCTCCCACCACTGATTCACCTCATAATACTGACTCATGACCAAATCCTATCCTCTGCCCTCTGGAAGCCTGATTTAACGCTCTCTCTAGTTCCTTGCTGTAATTGAAATCCAGTTCTTCCCAAGAGACACCAATTCTCCAACGGAAATCATTTCTTCTTTATCCCAGGTATCCCAAGTCATGCTCTCTGACTTCACCCCTTCCCCATCTCCCACTTCCTCGTTACTTATCTATTTCTTGTCATTCTCCCTTATTCATTGGAGACTCAGGGGCTGAAATCAAAGCCTTCTTTTCCACCCACTTCATAAACTTGAAGCTATTCAAAGGTATGTGTTTGCAACTTCCGTTCCATCCAGCCATAATTCCGTGTCCCTACCCTTCCTTTTCCCAGAGGTTGATTTATCCTTCGTTTTCATAGTTACTGCTTTCATTTATGTCCTTGATCCTGTATCTTTCCACCTTCTTTGGTAGTCAGTCATTCCTATCCCATCATCATCCTTATCTGAAGCTCCATCTACTGCCTCCATCACTTCATATTGTAACCATTCCCTGTCTATACTTCCTTTTTTTTTGTACTTCTTTTTTTTTCAGTTTATTTTCTTATTAGTTTTAGGTGTACAAAGCTACATAACAGTTAGACATTTACACCCTCACAAAGTGATAACGCCCCCGATGCTGTACTTTACACCCTGTGACCATATATATATGGTTGTCGGAAAAGTCATGACATATTTTTTCTGTGTTTTTCGTTACAAAAATGCATCATGACTTTTCTGACAACCCAATATATACAGTTATAGTTGACATTCAGTATTATTCTTTATCAGCCTCATGTACAGTGCAGTGCTCAGGCATCTACACAGTCTGTGAAGTGGTCTCCCTAATAAGTCCAGTGCCCACTGCTACCCTACAAAGTCTTTACAACATTATTGATCATACCTATACTTCTTTTCATTAAAAACAGGTTTCTGCCCACCTCATTATTGACACTGCTGTGGCAAAGACTACCCTGTAGCTAGAGCCAACAAAATATTTTTCAGTCCTTGTCCTAATGTTTTGCACACTATTTGTCACTTTCTCCTTGGCAGTGTTCCTACCTGGTTGCCTTTGGTTTCTGCCTTTCTCTCTCCTTTATGGACACTTACTTAATCCACCACTCAAACATCAGGTCCCCTAGAATTTTGTCCTTACTTCACTGCACTTTTCACTCTAGATATGCTCTTCAAGTAATAAACTTAATTCCCAGAGTTGTATTTATCATCTCCTGTAAACTGATGACTTTTTAAACCCATACCTGCAATCCAGATCTTTTTCCCAAGGTTTGGATTTCTCTAAACCATGGCTTGTTGAACACTTCTACCCAGAATTCTTATGGGCACTTAAATTTAAGATACTCAGAACTGAACAAACCACCTTTTCCTCCTAAAGGAGCAAATCTTTTCATGTTTTCTATTTATGTTGCTTCACTGTAGTTTATCTAGAGTCCCAAGCAAGAAAACTGGAAGTTATTTTTTATTTGGTTTCCCATAACCCCCAAATTCTATCATGCCATGTGCCTTCCTAACTATTTGGTGAGTTCCCTCCTCTTTCTGACTTCCTTAAATGCTCTAGTTCAGTCCCTTGTTATCTTTTATGAAACAAATGCCCCTGTCTCTGTTACCCTTGCCTCCAATATTGACCCCCTTGAATCCATTCTCCATATATTCCCTGCTTACTTCTCATTGTTAACCCTCCTCTGCTCCCAGTACACTCCCTCTTCCTACTCATCTCACTTCTTTCACCTTCTAATGACCAGTAACCCTTTAAGGCTCACTTTGAAATCTCCTTTAGGAGGCCTTCCCTGATGACAGCCTCACATCCCACACCTCAGATTGATTGGATGTCTTGCCTCCATATATCCTGCACTGGAATTCCCATCATTACTCTTATTACACCATGTTGTGATTCATGTTGAGGCATCATCTTCATTACCCTGTGAGCTTTTTGGAGGTTCTCACTGCTTTTATGTAGAAGGAGAACAATAATCAATTGTTTTCCCTAATTGTTAGGGAATGGAATTACACAAATAAGTACAATGGAAATTTAGAGCCATGCAAATAGAGAAATTTCTCAATATATTTCTTTGATTAAATTTTAAATCTTTTTTTAGTATCTCCCACAATCTCTGGTGTCGATAGTGACGGCAGCCCTGAAGATATCATTGTTATCCTTAACAGCCCCACCTCTTTGGTCTGCGAAGCTTATTCATATCCTCCAGCTACCATCACCTGGTTTAAGGATGGGACGCCTTTAGAATCCAACCGAAATATTCGTATTCTGCCAGGTAATTCATTTACTTCAGATGCCCAAGATGCATTTGTGCCATCTACTATTGTAGAAAACCAGAATCATTGCTTATTTTTGTTTTTTTTTAAATAAAAGAATTTATATTGTTGGTTGTGTTGTATTCTGTTGACATTTTAATTTTTTTAATTATCTGTGTATATATCTTTTCATCTAAAATACCTAAAATTACTTTTTGAAGGACCAATAAAATAGCTAAATAAAGAGGCAAAGAAATAAATACCATGATGTGATTAATTGCTAAAATATATTATGGAGAATGCCAAAAAAAAGGTAGACGTTTATTTCTAGTTGAATTGAACCTTAAAGGAGAGTTAGTATTTTGACTGAGTTTACTTATTCCTCTTTAATACCTGGCAATATGTATGAAAGTAGAAAGAATGAAAAAGTATGATCACTGGCTTTAAGAGATTTGCAGTCTTATGTGGAGGAGAGATAAAATGTATGAAAGTTAATTAACAACATGAATCCATGAATAATCATGGCTTATGAATGAATAGTCATGGGGTATGATTAATGGGGCAGTGACAAGTTTTACAAGAATTAAAAAGTGGGAATGGCCACCGTGGACTGAAGTGGTTAGGAATTGCTTTGTTGCAGTCAGAACTTGAACGTCTCAGACCTTAAAAAAAAAATTATAGAATATTGTTGGTTAGAAATGAGTTAGAAGAGATTTCAGATCCATCAGATGACTAGTGTGAGAAAGGTACAAAGTGAGATGGGCTTATCTATGTGTAAGTAACAATAATTAGACTCCTCACCTCCCAGTTGAGTGGAGACATTGTGCATATGTGTGTGTGTGTGTGTGTGGAGCAGGGAAGGAGGATGGACAGGAGATAAGGTCAGAAGGAACATTGGGGTCATGTTTTGAATATCAGGATTAAAGAGTTTTGACTTTATACTTTAGTCACTTAACCAGTACAGATTTTTAAGAGAAAGGTATAATATAATACAAGCTGTGTTTTAGCAAGATCAGTCTCTACTGGTAGACCAGATAGATGAAAGAAAGAAGATGATTAAGGTAGAAGATCTATTGATGAGAAGTGAAATAAGAACTTTAGCTAGAGTGTGTACAGAGGATTGGGAGGGTCAGAATGAGCATAAGCTAGTCATAACCACAAAGGACCGCTGAGAACTTAGTGACTGTCCTCATCCACCATGCAAGGCCCATCTATATGGTAGTTTGTCTTGTGTCCAATAGCTATCACAGAATTGGCATAGAGAAGAAGAAATATATTCATAGTAAGAACGAAAACCCTGGTAGTTTGTGTGTACTCAGCTGCCACTGTGACTTCAGAGATTCTTTGGTGTTCTGTGATTTTTCAGGAGGTAGAACTCTGCAGATCCTAAATGCCCAGGAAGACAATGCTGGGAGATACTCTTGTGTCGCCACTAATGAGGCGGGGGAAATGATAAAGCATTATGAAGTGAAGGTCTACAGTAAGTCCTGAAAGAACGCTGTGTTTCATATTTTCCCTAAACTGTCTAACATTTGTAGTCCTGTTTTTCATTATGGGTTCATAATTATTTATACTCATTATTAAAGTGTGTTGTTTATGCAGCTTGCTTCGTTGAGATGGATGTTAATTTAAGCATTGTGCCCATGACTTCAATTGCTTAAAGATGTAAGGAGCCCACTCAGTCGGCTCGCTTAGCTCTTGGAGAACTTGTCAGTGGCACTTCCTTAGGTTTCTCTATTTTTATTTCTGAATTACTCTCTGGGCTAAGTTATAATACGTGTATGCTCAAAGCTGTTGTTTAAAAATATGTGTTTCAATCAACAGACTAGGATGAGCTCATCAGTGACTTGGGGCTCATCTACTGTACCTGTAAATAAAAAGCAGAGCTAATACTACTATTCATAGGGCCTACATTTCACGATTTTGTTTTTGTTTGTTTTTGTATTTTAAAAGGAAGAGTATCTTTCTGATTGTCTTTTGTTCTTTTAATCAGTCCCTTTAATGACCTATAAAATGCATTTTTGGGAGGTCATGCTTAGACTGTGTCTGGGGACCTGGTACAAATGAAACTAACTGTTCTGTGAGGAACATTAGCCTCAATGGCAGTGTTATAATGATGAACGGAGAATGATGTTGTCCTTCACATCCTGTATCTGAACGCTACCCTTTCATAAGATGCTAACTTGGATATTTGATGAAAGAGGTACATTGAAAATGCCTCGGTTATTTCCTTGTTCTCTTCTTAAGTGATCCTCAGTGTGGTTTCCATGGTATTCCATGCATTTAAAAGAACCAGTGTGTAACTCTGTAATATTTGTTTTTCTGCAGTTCCACCCATAATCAATAAAGGGGACCTCCTGGGGCCAGGTCTTTCCCCCAAAGAAGTGAAGATCAAAGTAAACACCACCCTGACCTTGGAATGTGAAGCTTATGCGATTCCTTCTGCCTCTCTCAGCTGGTACAAGGATGGCCAGGCCAGTCACAAGATTTTTCATTTGCTGATGGTTTCTTAACGAATAAAATGGTCAATTCAATAGTAATAATAAAACAGACACAAGTAATTCAGAGAATCAATGTGACTTGGAACCAAGCACAATCCCATGCTCCTAGAATATAAAACTGCAAAAAACCTTGAACCATGTTCAACAGTATCAGTATGATTCCATCATTGAAAAGTTTGAGGAATTATCTTAATGTACATTAGCAATTATCTATGAAAACCCAGCCACCTTCCTACTGGGGAATCACTTTTGTATTCTGTGGTTTTGCAAAGTAACTTTGTGGAGAAGAAACACAAAAACAGTGCTAAACCAGGTTATCCTGATAGGCTTAATAACATGGGTACTAAATTTAATTAGAACTTACTCTAAACGCCTTTAACTCTATTACAAAAAGTAACTATGAAGGGAAAAAGCTAAAAATGTGATGATTAAGTGCCCAATACAACTACCTGGAGGCAATGAGAAACTTAAAAAAAAAAGGCACATCCTTCCATTGTATGATCTGACTTTCAGACCACAATTCTCATTTCTCATTCAACTTGTGTTCTTCCGTGCAGGTTTTCAAAGAAATGTGCTGGGGTTTTAGACCAAAATAGATTTTTTTAAAGCTATTGTTAACACTGTGCTTAATACAGATGTGACATAGCTAAGCTGCTCTTTGTCCTGTTTTACAAAGACTCAACCAAATGGTCAGTTAAATCTAGTTGTAGAAGTTCAGGTTAGAGTTATGATTTAAGATGCAGAAAGATATGGCTTTATTTTTTCAGATCACAGATGGATTTTGCAATACTGGCAGCTAGAAAAAAAATCATCTCTTATAAAATAAGCAAGTTTCATCTGGAAGCCATTGCAAAAGGAAAAATATGGAACTCCCACCATGTTCTGTTTACAGTTTCTTTTCTGACTACAAGCACAGTTGATGGTACAATATCAAATCTATATGAGTTTGCTTGGAAACAAATAATTCCTTTCTCCTGTGAAATCTTATTGTATTCCTAATTTTATCTAAAGCCTTTTCATTCATTGTAGTTACTACCCATGTACGCGCACACACGCAAACACAGTCATAAAAATTGGATAATGGCTAGAATTACACTAGGGATGAGGCAATTGGGGTGTTTTTTTTGTTTTTGTTTTTGTTTTGTTTTTTAAATATGGAACGCTCCACGAATTTGCGTGTCATCCTTGCGCAGGGGCCATGCTAATCTACTCTGTATTGTTCCAATTTTAGTATATGTGCTGCCGAAGCGATCACCAGTTGGGGTGTTTTTTAAATTTCAAAATGAACAGTTAAATTACAGTTTCAAATCCAGGCTCTGAAATTGATCCAATTGTGATACTTTAAGCTGTTAAATTTTTTAAGGTTTGGTATTGGTCCCCTAGAATGTGTACCAAAAAAAAAAAAATACTGGTTTTTGTTTATTTTCCATGTCCTTACTTCTGTTATTTCATTCTTCAGATAAACAACACTATTTGAGCAAAAGAGTGTTTTTGACAAAATCCACCAAAATTATTGGCAATGTTAACCACACTAAGTTTTGATGGAGTCTTTGACTTTTATTTGCTTATGCTCTGAAGTTTTTTTTTAGCATAGAAATTTTAAATTTTGTTATTTTTATATAGGTGATGTAATCTTCATAATGATTCATTGCATCCCAAATAATTTATTGAGCATATCATACTATTTGGCCAGATCTTGTTTTAGGTGTGGAGGATATAGATATGAAGGAAACAGAGAAAGATCTCTGTTCATAGGAAGTTTGGGGAGACAAAACCTAAACAGACAAACCCTTAAAACATGTAATGTGCCAAATGGGTTAGCTGTTCTGGAGGAAATTCGGTCAGAGAAAAGAAAAGTGAGTGGGGGAAATGTGATCTCTTATTTGTATAGGAAAGGCCTCACTGATAAGGTGATATTTGAGTAGAAACTCAAAGAGAGTGAAGGAAGCAAAAATAAGATATCTGAGGGAAAAATGTGCTAAAGGGAGAGAATTTCAAGGGCAAAGGCCCTGAGACATTTTGGCTGGAATGCAATGACTCATGCGAACACACAAGATGTAAACAGAAGGTTAGTAGAGAGCCAGATCATACTGCCTGGTAGACCAGTTGGCCTTTGTTTTGATGGGCAGGCACTAGAAACTTTTAAATATAAATAGTATGATCTGACTTAAGGTTTTAAGAGAAGTGCATTGCTTCTCTATTGGGGGAAAAAATAGAGGATTTAGATTTGAGTTTATTGCAATGGTCCAAAAGAGAGGTGGTGGTTGCTTGGCCTTGGATGAAGGTTGTAAGCAGGATGTGAGGGAAAGAGATGAGTCAAAGATGAGTCTGAGATTTTGCATGAGATCATTAGAAGAGTGAGCTTAAACAGAAAGAGGGAGGTCCAAGGATTAAGCCCTGAGGTACTTTTACATTTAGTGGTTGTGGGGCAGAGAGAGAGTGAAGTGTCCCAACAGATAAGGGGCGGAAATGTATTTCAAAATGAAGACAAGTTAAACTATGTTAAATGTCACTGAGAACTGACAAGTAAATTAGGCAACACGTATGTCATTGGTGACCTTGACAGAGTCATTTTGGTCAAGTAGAGATGGTGAAAGTCTGATTGGAGCAGATTCAATGGGAAAGAACTGGAGACAGCAAATGTAGAAAACATTTTTAAGTCATTTGGCTTTTAAGTAGGAAAATGTGGGAGTAGGCTACAATCTAAGAAGTTTTCTTATAATAGGGGAAATTATACAGTAGTATATGCAGATTGAAATAATCCAGTGGAAAAGAATAAATTGCTGATGATATAGGTAAGAGAGGCCGCAGTTGCTAGAGGGGTGTCCTTGAGTAGTCCAGGGGGTGCTTGGAATGGACAGATATTAACCAGGGTTAGGATTTTGCCAGGAGAGTAAAATAAAGAGAAAAAGGGGAAAGGGTGTTGAGGGTTTATACAAGGAGTGATAGCCATAATAAACCTTCTTCGAGTCAGGAGGGAATAGAGGTCAGGAAAAGAGCAAAAGGCAGTGAAACTATTACAAGGTCAGTGAACTGTGGGTCCTCTCATGGGGTCAGAAAATTATTGGACTTGGGATGCTAGAGGAAGTGAGTTAGAAAGTTAGGAGATGACAGTCAGAGAGTTATGAAACTGATTATGAAGTGGTGCAGTTATTGGTAATTATAAAGTCTAGGCATAACTCACCTATTGAGTGGGAGAGAGAGGACTGGGGACAAAAAGTAGAGGAGAAGGTGTCAAGGAGCTGAGAGCACACAGTATTGGATATTTGTCTACATAGGTATTGAAATCGTCAAGAATTATGAGAAAAGTGTCATTAGAAGGAATGGGATTGAGCCAGGAGCTAAAAATCTTTAAGGAATAAGAGGGAATTTAGTGTAAATGGAAGTGCATAAAGATGAGAAAATGTCCTATTAAATGTAGATAATGTTATCAATAAAATATAATAATATAAATATCTGTAAGTTAATGTTTCATTAAGTATAGTAACACTTTCAATAAAACATCACTATAAATATCTCTAGGTTAAGATTTCTCATTTATAAAGTATTGATGTTTCTGAATGAACAGTGATTTTTAGATTAAATTAGACTATGTAAATACCCTCAATTATTCATTAAAATACTCTAACATTTTTCTACAAAATTATAATAAAAGGATATGCTTTTTAAATGCAGTGTGGGAGGATCAATTGAAAATATTTTTTTCCAAAATGGATATGATACCTAAGAACATTTTTTCACCATAAAATATATATAAATGTATCACCCAGAAATGCCTGGCAGAGATGTAAACTATATGAGCTACAATTTTTAATAAATAAAAATGTGATTTCTCCAAAACAATCGGTTTAATCAAAATACAGTAAATTAAATTATTGTTGTCTTGAGTATTTCACATAAGATTTTATTTTTATTAATTAATTATAAAAGATATCAATTACATGGTCTCTTAGAGGATTTATAAGAGTACTTAATGCTAACATTATTATAATTGAATCACAGCCCCTTACATCAGATGATCATGTTACTATTGCTGCAAATGGACACACACTTCAAATAAAGGAGGCTCAAATATCAGACACTGGACGATATACTTGTGTGGCATCCAATGTTGCAGGTGAAGATGAACTGGACTTTGATGTGAATATACAAGGTAACACTAATATGCTTGTTGTGTATTATTTAATTTATATGATATGTCAAAGCAATGAAAAAGAGATTTGATTTGGTTTATTTTAAATAGTTTTTTTTCTCTTGACAATATAAATTTATTCTTGAACACTTGGCCACAAGAAATTAACAAAGAAGAAAATAGTCCCATTATTCAGTATTGCTTTTGTTATTTTCATGTGTTTCCTTTTGATGTTTTTCCCTCTGATACAGTTTTGTAACTGTATACTACATTTACAATTAGAATCACGATACATACATCTCTGTTACATTAGCTTTCCCCCAATATTATATCATAAAAGTTTTTTTTTAAATAGCATTTACGTGGAATGTAAAAAGGTAAAGTACATAATTTAGAATAGTCAGACTTGGAATAGAATGATGATTTAGGCTCCTACAAGTTTTGTGACCTGGGCAAGTTACCTAATTATTTTAAACCCCAAATTCCTTGCTTTTAAAATTAATGCCTTGTAGAATTGCGGTGAATATTAAATAATATAAAGTAGTAAAATACTTAGAAATATACTTAAGAAATGATGTGTGCTATTATTGTTATTGATATTGTTACTCAATATGATTTTTAATAACTATACCTGTTTTATCATAGAATATCCTAATATTTATTTAATCAGACCCCTTTTGTTGAATGTCTGGGTTGTTTCTAAATTTTCACTGAATGTCTTTATATATAACACTTTTGTACATCTTTGACTTTTCACAAGTTACTAATAGTGGAAATTTCCCATCAAGTGCTATGCACTTTTTTAATGCTTTTTATGTACAGGAAAATTGCCTTCTAAAAAGTTCATACATGCCCTCCAGAAAAGTTTGAGAATGTCCTGTTATTTTTGTTAATGGACTTATTTTAATCTTGATTGCATAACTTTAACTTCTTTGACAAATTATTGAGAAATGCTATCAGTTGAGCCATTATTTTTTAATGGTTCCTCAAAATTTCTTTCTGTTGTAAGTATATTCCTTAGCCATGCTTATTTTAGTAGGTCCTTCCTGAGAGCAGGCCCCTTTATCTTCTAAGTGTCAGAGCCCTTTAACAGGAAGGGAGAGCAGGGCGCGAGCACAGCATTCTGAGCCCCACATTCCTTGTTCTTCCACGTGAGAACCAGCTCCAACTTCTGTCTACTACATTTGTGGCTAACAGCTAGAGTTGGTAGGTGTATTAATGCATGAAAAGATTTTCACTTTGTCTACTTTATTACATTTACAAATCACTCTTGTGAAAACACAGCCAAGATCTTTAAGTGAATTGACACTGGCATTCATATGTGTCCAAAATTCCATGTCTTTCCTCCTTAGTTCCTCCAAGTTTTCAGAAACTCTGGGAAATGGGAAACATGCTGGATATCGGCAGGAGTGGTGAAGCCAAGGATGTGATCATCAATAATCCCATTTCTCTTTCCTGTGAGACAAATGCTGCTCCCCCTCCCACACTGACATGGTACAAAGATGGCCGTCCTCTGACCTCGAGTGACAGGGTGTTGATTTTACCAGGTAAAGATTGCTTTGAACAGGGTGAAAATCTGAATCTCTGCCAAATGTGTTTCTTCTCATTTATTAGCCCAGTGGAATTGATTGACTTTCTTGCTATGTGATTTAACTGACACAGGCTGCTGAATGCCACTGCTACATATCCATGTAGCTTCAAGCTAGGAAAGTCTAGGTTGAAAATTTCACATAGAATAGAACATCCTTGCTAATTTTCAGACCTATTACATGATCATTCTATCAACAGAAGAAAGACCTCTGACTTCCTTGTGCCTCCAGTTTTCAAATACTGTGATGAAATAATCAGTTTGATTTCTATGTATTATTAATGATAAATTCTAAAATATATTTGTGAATAGTTACTACTCAGTTTGTTAAATGCATTTATCATATCAATAGTAAATATTATTAGTTTCAAATATTTTAGTTATTACATGGTTTATTGATGAAAAGGAGATGTAAATATTGTAGAATAATATTTTCAAGGCTTCTGTTTACTTTTAGCAAACATTCAAATAGGCTTATAAAAATTTATAAATTATACTTAAGGTCAGTGCATTCTACTGTATGTAAATTTCATCTCCAATAAATAAGAGAATATCTTGGGGAGAAAAAAACGGAGACTAAATAGAAATGACAGCTAAATGTAATATGTGATCCTAAATTGGATCTGAGCTTGGGGAAAAAAACCATATATATATATATATATATATATATATATATATATATATATATATAAATAAATAATAATGAAATTTGAATATGGACTATAAATTCAATAGTAGTTTTATATTGATTTTACATTTTCTGGTTTTGATCATTATACTATAGTTATATAAGAGATTGTCCTTGTTTTTATGAAATACAAATTTATGAGTATTTAGGGATAAAGGCACACCATGTCTCCAACTTACTCTCAAATCATATTTAAAAAGATTATATATGTAATATACATATGATAGATTATATGCATATATGACAGGCGAAGATAAAACAAATGAAATACAAATAATTGATGAACATAGGTAAAAAGTTTATTATACAATTATTGAAACTTTCCTCTAAGTTTGAAATTATATCAACATGGGAAGTTAAAACTACAAAGTTATTCTTTGTATTGTGTAAGGGTATGCTTTATGCCTTTTGCATCTTTGGCTATTGTTTTCTCAAAATAGCACTTGCATTAAACATTATAAGCTTTCAAATAGTGTAAGCTTTTTGTACATGCTCTCAAAACTATAAAAGCAAGAAGTCGCTACATAGTAACATTTCACATGGAACATGGGGAGGGCTATAGAGCAACTTCCCCACCATGAGGAAAATTTACAAGAGCTGTTCATTCTCAGGAGATCTGAGTCATACACTGGATCACTTTTCCATAATGCAGTGCTTGTTATAAAAGTGGTATATGGGATTCAAACTGAACCATTGGATGAAGTAAGAACCTTTAAAGAAAATGTAAGGAAGCCATTGGACCTGAAAAGTTGTATCTCTGTTTATGACCAATATTCTCTCTAAGGTTTATGGAAGTAAACATATCGGGATATACTTTCAGGAGGGCGAGTGTTGCAGATTCCCCGGGCCAAAGTGGAAGACGCTGGGAGATACACATGTGTGGCGGTGAATGAGGCTGGAGAAGCTTCCCTGCAGTATGACGTCCGTGTACTCTGTGAGTTTGTTTTCTTATGCTTATTATGCATTCTGTCACTCAAAAACATTTTTGAGGAACTGATATTTGCTAGATGTTGTACTAAGCATCTTAAAGACTAGAAAGATAATCAGAAACTGATAGTTTTCCCAAGATGTTCATTGTCTTATACAAATTGAGAGCACATTAGTTAGGACAGCTGAAGTATCACATAACAAACTGGCTTACACCAAAAAAATGAAAGAGAATTCTTTAGCTAGTGAACTTGAAACGTCCCAAGGTTGAGCTGGCTATAGTCACGTCAAACTTCTATGGCTCCAAAGAGGTCACCTGAACTTCACCTTCCTTTTTCTCTTGGCTTTGTTTTTCTCTGTTAACATCACTCTCAGGTGGGGTATCCCTTTGGATGACAGATTGGCCTCTTGAAACTCTCATCTTGCCTCTTTGTAGTTTCACATCCAAATGAAAGCTTTATTTACTACCAAAGTGAAGTGTGAATCACATATCCATCCCAGAAACAATGACAGAGGGGCCTAACTGATAAGGCCTAGTTCATATGCCTACAATTGGGCCACAAGGGTTCACCCTCCAAATACATGGACTGAGAGTGGAAGAAGTATTGTACTTTTAAGGGAAAAGAGAGGCGATGTTACTAGAATCAGGAACAAATAGATGCTTTCATTAGAAGAGGCTGAACTGGAGAAGTGACAGTGGGAATGTATGGGAAGTAGTAGGCATGGTAGGTTTTATAGACGAAGAGATTAAGTGATAGAAAGTATTAGGCACTTGTCTCAGAGTATAGAATGACACTGAGATTTTTATCCTGGGTGATTAAGAAAATGATAGCAAAATTAATAAAAATAGAAGACCTAGGAAAATAACATGATTTGGGAAGAAGAAAGTCAATTTTGTTCCAGACATGTTGAATTCGGCATGGTTCTAGAAGACTTGGGTAAAATACTGAATGGGCCATTGGAAGTATATATGGAAGTACAGCACAGGAGAGAGAACTGAGCTAAGAGTATAGATTTGAGAGTGACCCACCAACAGGTGATATTCAAAGGCATGAGACTTCCCACAGAAAGGGTTATAGATAGAGTAGGAGAAGATCAAAAGAAGATCATGGTGGGATCACTTACAAGTAGGAGACAGGAAAAGGAAAACTGAGTTAAAGGAGAAACAATCTGAGGAATTAATAAAACATCGTAAATTACTATGTCACAGAATCCAGAGCATAGTAAAGGTTATCAGGAAATGGGTTTAATACTGAATGTTAAAGCAAGTTTAAGAAAATGAAAATGGGAAAAAAAGGCCATTGGCTTTGAAACTTAAAAACTCATTGGTAAAATTCAAATAATCAATTTAGATAGTATGGTGTGGTACAAAGCCGCAGAACAAAAGGGTAAATATTAAGCAAGTAATCAGAGAGAAAAGGAAACAAATATAGAGTCCTCTGAAGACATTTTGAAGAGGACGCAGGATGTGGAAGAGTTTTAGGATAAACAGCTCATTTGAGAAAGCTTGTTTAAGAGAGATTTGAGCTTGCTTACGGGCTAAGGAAAATGATACAGTAGGAAGGGACAAATTAAAGTTTTGAGTGTGTGTGTGTGTGTGTGTGTGTGTGTGTGTGTGTGTGTGTGTGTGAGAGAGAGAGAGAGAGAGAGAGAGAGAGAGAGAGAGAGAGAGAGCAGAGAATTGATAAAACAAGGCCCTAGAACAAATGCAAAATGCAATCAAGGTGCCAAGACAGGTTAATTAGCCTTTCATGATAATGGCTTAGCGTTCCTTGAAATAGTAAGAAGGGAAATGTGGAGATGCATATCAAATGTGTTTAGTCCTTTCCTTCAGTATGAGAATAAGAGAAGCAGTGGCAGGGGTGGTATTTGGGTCAGTAGAAAATAGAAAATGTTGGTGATTGCCACTATGAGGGACGTGACAGAAAGTCAGGCATTGAAGTTGGAACTATTGGGCTCAGTCACTGCTTTCTGCCACCACCTTCAGTCACCTGGGGGCAGAGGCAGAAAAAATAGACCATGTGACCTAAGTGTGTGGTCAGGGCGGGGGAGGTTGTGGGGATGTGCCACCGGGTAACAAGGTGCACACTGTGGAAGCACTGGAGGGCTAGAGAGCCTAGAATGTTTGGTGAGACAGACCGTCATGGAAATGACCCACTATGGATCTGAGCAGGGCCAGAGAAAACAATGAACCTGGAGGGAGGCTGATAGATCAATTATAAGGGGAGAGGAGTAGAAGGGTTAGAGTGTTCAGTGCAAACAACGAACAGCTTATGAAGTAAGCCCAAAAAGAGGTGGGAGAGAAAAACTCTAAAGTTTAAAATGTATTTATTTGATAAATATCTGTTGATTGCTCACTGTCTGCCAGACACTATGCTAGGCACTGAGAATACAGCAGTGAATACAGTAGACATCAGTCCTTCTTCAGGGAGCTTAGACACTTGGAGAAGGATGCAACATTTGTATTTGAATGGTCCAAGGTAGGACTGTCTATGGCTGGCGGAAGTGGTGTAGACATAGAACTAGTTAGGATGGGATAAGCCATCAACATAGATTTTAAAGTCTATAAGATAGTGATAAGGAAAAAGAAAAGAGTTGGAAAGTGCTAACATCATCAAGAACCATGAAGGAGGATGCTGGCTTAATTTTACCTAAGTTTGGAAAGAGTTAGTTTAGGACAGCAGCGGAAGGGTCTGATAAAGAAGTAAGATAGTGTTATTTGGGAAGGACTGGGATTCTGTTCAATTGAAATGGAATTTAGGAATTGGGTCGTGAAGGATAGATGTTCATGCCTTCAGGCTGTTATACCCAGTTAAGAGGAAGTTGGAAAGCTTATTGGAAATGAGATTCAAGAGGAGGGAACAAAGAAAGAAAAATGAACCGGCTAAATTAGGGAAGTTTCACAATGTTTGATGCTGACCTCCTAGGTACCACTGAGAACAATTCTGAGTGGTGTAACCCAGCTGGTGGGGTGTGGCAGCTGGATGGGGCGGGTCAGAGCTAAGAGTTTTGGTAGAGATGTCTACAGGTCAGACCTTGGGCTTGCAGTGTACATCCTGGTACTTCCAATGGTCCAGCTCCAGGCAAAAGTTGAGGAAAACATTGAATCTTTATGTCCCAACATTTTATTTGATTAGTTTTCACGGTGTGGGGCTAGTGATAGCCTCACTTAATCTGAAATTTAAGTTTCTTATTTACTAATCTGTAGTTCAAGTTATATAGTTTATGTTATCTGTAGTAAAAACCACCTAACTCTGAATGTGAAAATATGCATTCAAAATAACATTGAAATTCTATGTGTGCCTTAGTAGCCTTGAATATTTTCTTTACAGACTTTCAGTTTCGTTTATGAGAGACCCAAAGACCACAAGACTACATCTACATTAAACATACAGTCTTTACTGATTTCTACAGATATGGTACACTTTAAGAGCGTGAAGCATAAAATAACTAAGCTTTCAAAACAAAAAGATTATTCACTGTGAAAATGAATTTCTACATTTGCAAAAGCAGCCAACATGCATCCCTACTTTATGTAACATTTCCATTTTTTTTTAATTCTGTGGGTAATATGTGATTTTTCATGACTGACTAGTCTAACGTAAAGTAGACATGAGCCTGGATACAACTGTATTATTTTAAATGAATATATGTAGGAAAATGTAAAGTGTGACTACTCAGGCTTTATCATACATAAGGATCACCAGGAGAGTTTGTTAAAACACAAAGTTCTTGGGCCCTGTTAGGGATGTCAATTGAGGAGGTCTCAGGTGACCTCCAAACTTTGCATTTCTAACCAAGCTCACAGGTGATGCTAATACCACTGTTACTGCAGCTGGGGAAACACTTTGAGTAGCCCAGACAATTCCCTTGCAAATGAGACCAAATCTGTTCATTTCAAATACACGTTAAAGATGTAACTTATCTGGCTTGTTGAGATGATCAAATAGATTTAGCTGTTAATTCATGCAGATGCTTGAAACCCAGAAGAACAATGGAAGGGACTGAGAGAGGAAGCAAGGCAAGATATTGGGGAACAATTGCATTGACCTAAATGGGAATGAAACTATGGGAGGGGTTAGACCAGGGTTGGTGAAGAGAGTAAACCCAAATTCACATAATTTTTATTATCACCCTAATTTATTAGCATAAAATGTTACTTGAGGCTCATGGTTTCGTCTTCAAGTTTGGCTCCTCTGTTATCGAACACTTTTTAAAGTTGTCAGAAAGCTAGAATAATTTAGAAACGACCTTGTTTCCTATCTTTGTTGCAATCACTTATTAGTGCCACCAGTTATCAAGGGAGCAAATAATGATCTCCCTGAAGAGGTCACAGTGCTGGTGAACAAGAGCGTGCTGATGGAGTGTTTGTCCACTGGTAGCCCCGCACCAAGGAGTTCTTGGCAAAAGGACGGGCAGCCCTTGCTAGAAGACGGGCATCACAAATTCCTATCTAATGGAAGAATTCTACAGGTAAAAGTAAAAAATCTAAGTTTAACATAGCCGCTTGACTTTGTATTTTATAATAGTTTTTTTTACTTTTAAAAATAATTATATTGGTTTATAGATATTACTTTTGTAAAAATAATCCTAAAAAGGATCCATAAAATAAATTTTTTCTTCCTCATTTTATTCCCACTATCAGAGGCAACCCCTATTAACAGTTTTGTGTGAATTCTTCCAGAAATTGTACATTCAAAACACACACATGCACATACACACACACACACACGCACACGCACATACACACACACACACACACACACACACACACACACACACACACCCTAAACTTACTACAGTATGGCCTTTGTGATAAAAACCACATTACAATCAAATTATTGCAATCCTTTCCATTGCATGCTTCTGCTGGTAAAATTTTGGGTGGTATAAGTTTCCCTATAGATTAAAACTTTCCTCTATTGGCAAAGAATTGATAATAATATAATAATAATGGAAACCACATAAATACTCTGAATTGTTTACTGTCTGTATTTTTCTTTTCCTAAAAGAAAGTTAAGCACCCATAGAAATAATACCAACTCTTCTGTTAGGGTACAATTTAATTTCTTGAACATATAAATGATGTTCTGTAGGCCCAATAATCTAAGCATATTTGTCAGTATATCCAACACAGGACACATCTCATAGAATTCCTTATTAAAAAAAAAAAAAAAGAATCAGATTCACTGCCTGTGAATATCCTTGAATTCTCAAAGTATCTTCTAAACATCCTGATTATTTCTATTTGATAATCATACAACCCCTACCGAAATACTTATGTGTTTCTGTGTCTAGGGCCTAAAGATATATAGATGGATAGAGATCTCTGCATAATAAAATAAAATATAACTACTAAGTTAGCTAAGTATTGCTACATAAAACAAACCACTCCAAAACAATGACTTACAGCAATAAGCATGTGTCCGGTTCATAATTCTTCTTGTTGGCTGAGGGATTCTTCTGGTTTCAGCTGGCCTTACCCCAGGGCCTGCATGCTATGGATGGGATAAGTGGCCCTGTTGGTCTTGGCTGGGCCCTTGCACACATCCAGGGCCTCAGATGCAATAACTGGGCTGATTCTTCCCCCTCCGGTGATCTCTCACCCTCCAGCAGGTTACTCTTGGCTTCATCATATGGTGGTGGCAGGGTTCCAAAAGAGTGAGAAAAGTGACAGTGCCTTTTGAGGCCTAGGTTTGAAATGGCACAGTCACTTTCATCACGTTCTGTGGGTCAAAGCCAAGCACAATGCCAACACAAATCCCAAACTTTTATTCTACCTCTTGATGGGAGGAACTTCAAAGTCACATTGCCAGGGGTATAGACAGGAAAGTGAGAGAATAATTTGGGACTCTTTATAGGCAGTATACCACAAGCATGTATAAAATCGCCTTTTCTGATTAGAAATATTTATAAATATTTGATTCTCCTGACTAATAAAAGCCAACACTAGCACTATCATGTACAGAATTCTTTTTTTATGTTCATCTGGTATTAACTAGAAAGAATATGTATTGTTTAGTCTCAAAATTATGACAAGTTGCTTTATTAAAAAAAAAAAATTCAGCTGGAATTTCTTCATTTTCCCCCTTAGATTCTAAATACTCAAATCACGGATATCGGCAGGTATGTGTGTATTGCGGAGAACACAGCTGGAAGTGCCAAAAAATATTTCAACCTCAATGTTCATGGTAAGAGCTCAGTTTCAAAAACATCTGTTTGAGTATTCTTGAAAAAAGCAGGAAAACTGTGTTTTAGATTATGTAGGCTGACTTTGTATTTTTTAACTTGGACAATGTGTGGTGAGGGGTATTCATACAATCTCCCCCCTTCTTCCCACCCACCACAGCTGGTAGGATTTATAAAGTACAAAGTACAAATCTTCTAGGGAGCTTGTTTTCATATTATTTCAGTCCTTCCAGAGAAAGTAGTGACTCCTACATATTGAGAGTAAAAAAAAAAAATTCAAAATTTGAAATCCCAAAGATTACAAGTTGTTATGAAGTCTGAACTAAATATAGATCTTTTACTTATGAAAATTCATCCACTAGTCCTGACTGAAACCAGTGTCTTTCATCAAGGATAGAATTCATGTTGAGCTGTACCCTCTAGTACCTAATACACTCTCCTGAGAAGAAGTCACTTTGAGGAGTTAAATAAATCCTAAAACCATCAGCATGCCTCGTTCATACATCAAACTTTATAAGTTTTCAATATATGCTAGTCATCCCATAAATACTAAATTTTTTGCTCAAAAGAAAACAACAGCTGATTGTCTAACACAAGACAGTAGTTTTATTTTTTGTGACACACAGCTACTTCCAGAATATTAAATTAGAAATGGTGAACAGTCATTATAGAAGATTTCTTTTACATGTGTGATACACATGTAAAATTCTAGCTCATTTTGGAAATAGCTGAAATTTGGAACCTTATGAAAAATGTCTCCCCTAAAAGGACTTTCGTGTAGCATCATGGGGATATATATATGTATGTATATATAAATGTATATATAAATATATAAGTATATATATTTACATATTTATATACTTATATATTTATATATACATTTTTTTCTTTTTTTGATGTGATACATGGGAAGTATTGATGTCTAGCAATGTTTGATGTTTGTGTAACAGGTATTTGAAACACTTTTATCTTTATATTCCCAGTTTTTAGCACAGTGGGTAACACACAGTAGGTGCTTCATAAATATCTTCAAGATTCTTTTAATGAATAAATATGACCGAAACAGAAACAAATGTATTACGAATTCCCAAGAAGAATGAACTCACGAAACAAATATAATCATTGTGAAAGCTCACATTCTAATCTGTAAGGTACAATAGCATAAATGTTGAAAAATAAAAGTGCTCATGATTCTTTCTGATTCACCAGGGAAGACAGTTTTTTCTCTTCATGTGATCGAAAGCAACTTGTAAATACCCCAGTTAAGGCAGCTACCTATGTTGCCTTGTGCTATCCTTATATGTCTCTATCTTCACTTCAGTCCGATAACTGTATTGTAAATGCAATAAACCAGGGGTCGGCAAACTTTAAAGATGGAACAGCTGCCAGGCAGGGGTCAGCAAACTGCAGCTTGCGAGCCACATGTGGCTCTTTGAGTACGTACATGTGGCTCTGAAAGTAAACTTGAAAGTGAAAATAAAACTATCATAGTTTCATTTATAACAATTTTAAAGGATATTATTTACATAATGGTGATTATGTAAAAATATATTTATGGTTCTCGAATAATTTTTAAATTGTTGTGAAAGACAGCATTGGCTCTTCCAGGGGTCGGCAAACTTTTGAGACGGAACATACCCAAAGAGCCGCCTGTGGCTCGCAAGCCACAGTTTGCCGACCCCTGCAATAGCCAAATGGCCATTTCTTAGGGATCTTGGTTTCCCTAAACTTGGAATGGTGTCTCTAGTTGTGGTCATTACTATATAAATTTTTGTTGTTCCTTTATTATATTTTCTTCATGCCCGTTGCCTCTTCATGCACAGCAAAAACACCCGACGTGTGGGCCTTGCGTGACTTGAGGGGCTGCAGTGTTTACCATTAAGGACTGGAGCTTAGGAGGATTTTTCCTCTTTCACCAGTTAGTTAATGGCGTCTTGAACTCCTAATGGCACTCAGGAATCCATATTTAAATACTGGAAGATTCATTTGGGGGAGAAATGGTTTCAATTATTTTCGCTGGAAACCATGCCATTTGTTATCTCCCTCTACGACAATGCTTGCTTCTTCCGGACTCTCTTCCATCTGACAACCTATCAGTTTTCAACTATCTGTGTCTTCACCCTGCTTCTCTTCCAGCTTAACTTTCACGGAACAGTATTTCAGTCAGTTCTCTTAGCCCATGTCTCTCAGTGCTGAGCTCAGTGAAAGCTCAGCCCTGCACATAACAACAAACATACTGACTGCTTGATGCCAAGCAGGTACTGTGCCGAGTGTTTTACACATATTATGTCACTTCATGACCTCAGTAACCCCAGGTGGTTGGTACCATTGTATACCTCTTTTACAGATGGAAAAACTGAGGCTCAGTGACATTAAGCAACATGCCCCAAGTTACACAGCGTGCAAAGGCAGAACCAGGGTTCTGACTCAGGCAGTCTGATTCCAGAGCCTTCATCCTTAACTACCTTTCTGTCCTGCCTGTCACTAAGTGCCACATCTGCACCACACCTGCACCTGTAGCTCGCCCTACTGAAGGAGCTCTTAGAATCAGGAATACTGGTGTCCTTATAAAATTCATAGGTACTCGCTTGAACTGGAACCTCCATGCTGCCTGTGGGGGGCAGGGGGTCCTCTCCTGATTTTACTCCAAAATGTTAAATGAAAAATTCCAGAAATAAACAATTCATAAGTTTTAAACTGCGCTCCATGCTGAGTAGCGTGATGAAATTTTGTACCACCATTCGCTCTGTTCTGCCCAGGATATGAAGCATACCTTTGTCCAGAATCTCCACACTGTAGATGCTCCCCACCCTTTAGTCACTTAGTAGCCATCTCGGTGATCAGACTGACTGTCACAGTATCACAGTGCTTGTGTTCAAGGAACCTTTATTTTACTTAATAATGTTCCCACAGGGCAAGAGTAGTGATGCTGGCGATTCGTATATGCCAAATAGAAGCCCTAAGTGCTTCCTTCAAGTGAAAAAGTAAAAAAAAAAAAATAAATAAGGATATGTAGGGTTCAAATAGGGTTCAGCACCATCCTTGGTTTCAGGCATCCATTGGGGGTCTTGGAATGTATCCCCTTCAGATAATGGAGCTACTGTATGTTGTGCCTTCTTTCTGGAAGACTCACCCATTTCCTGTCTTCCACTTAGCGTATTCCTGGTCATATTTCAAGTATCTTCTTAAATGTCACTTTCTCCTCCTGATCCCTGAGTTAGGTTAGTTCCCAGCTGTCACCTGACTCTTCTAATTGACACTCATCACACTTGTAATTAATAGGCCGTACAGAACAGTGGCTACAAATAAGGGCACTAGAGTCAGACTGCTTCACTTCCAAACCAGTAACTAACAAACCAAATTTGCAGAAACTTTCGGCAAGATGCTAATGTCTCAGCCTCACTTCCTCATCTGTACTGTGAGATTAAGAACTGTATCTAGCACCTAAGGTTGTATGAGTATTCATTGAGATAGTACATGTGAAGTGATTAGAGCTGTGCCTGGCACAGTGTCGCCACTCAAACACATGCTAGCTGTTATTTTTAGTCCAATGCCCGTCATTACCACTTTACTAACTCTATATGGTTATTGTCTTACATTTTTCACAATGCACCTAGCACAATATCTGGAATACAGTGGATATTCGATAAATGTTTGATTTGTCATGAATGAATGAATGAATATTAAAATTAATTAGTGGGTGAAAAAAAGCATATGATAGTAAAAGAAAAAGAGCAATTTTGCCTTTATTTTTTTATTAGTTTCAGGTGTGCAAAGCAATGTAATAGTTAGACATTTATACCCCTCACAAAGTGATAACTCCCCTCCCCCAATCTACTACACCTCTGACATCATATATAGCTGTTACAATTCCATTGACTCTATTCCCTATGCTGTACTCCACATCCTGTGAATATATATTAAATTATAGTTGACGTTCTGCTTTTGATTTTGATGTTGTTTTAAAACCTCAGTTTTAATTTATTAAAGAGTTACGTTAATTGAATTCCTTAGTTCATGTCTATCTTCAGCAGTCTGAGCTAGGCCCATCTCTACTTTCATTTATTAATCCATTCATTCATGTATTCATTCATTGCTATGCCCATGCTTCACTCGTATTTTCCCCTCTCCCTTCATAGGAAACCACTCAAATGTGTATGATGTCATTCCTTCCGTGTGAGTGTGTTCTTCTGACACATGTATTGTTCCAATGCATATGTTTTAATATGCATAAGTGGCGTTGCATTATTATTAATCTCATTCTTTTTTACTCCACTTTTTCTCTGGACTGCTTTTGCCTGTGGAATCCCTTTTTTGGTTTTGAACAACAAACCACAGTATTGCTTATTTCTTAAATTTTCTGCTTATCTTAAAAGTCATTGATTTACATTGTTGAAATGACCTGTAAAATTTATTGATAGACAGATACCCTAACATTAAACTTCAACTCTGTAAATGCTATATGTAGGAAAACAAAAACTTTAAATAAGGATTTAAACAAGAATATTCAAACGTACTTAATAAAAAGCACTATTCCAACTTTCTTTGTACATTGATAAAACCATCTTAGGAATTGCCGACTATATTTTCCAAATAAAATGTAGAATAATTCTATCTTTGAAAATCCTGATACTCTCTCTCAACTGGGAAACCCAGAACTTATGGACATAGCTTGATAAAGGCATTAGGGAATTCTAAGAAGAAAGACAGCTGGATAATTAACAATATCATTAATTCAATGCTTTAGCAAAGTACAGTGGTTGGGCTTACATTATAATAATAAATTGGAATATGTATGACTGATAATATCAGACTTCACTCTTAATATATTTACTGTTACAGTTCCTCCCAGTGTCATTGGTCCTAACCCTGAAAATCTTACTGTTGTGGTGAACAACTTCATCTCTTTGACCTGTGAGGTCTCTGGTTTTCCACCTCCTGATCTCAGCTGGCTCAAGAATGAACAGCCTATCAAGTTAAACACAAATGCTCTCATTGTGCCCGGTAAGGAACTTATTACTCTCATAGGTGGGCGAAATGTTCTCATTTTCCTTTATGTTTCATACAATGGCATTTTGAGTTAGTTTCTTTCCAAACTTTTGTCTTGCTTCATTTATTTGTTCTCATTAAATGACTCATTGCCCATTTGGGGCCATTAGGATAAGATTGTATAGATGTCTATCATTTTAGTGGGAATGTACAATAACAAGGTCTCCTTCAAAAATTATGAAATTTAGGAGGAGAATTGCTTAATAATTCCTTGGGGATGATAGACTTGTAAATAGTGTTTTCACTGGATAAATTCACTGGTTGTTTTTAATCAACATTAAAGTTCCTTGATGACAGATAAACAGATACGCTGACACTGTGGGAGATTTAAACCCAGAAAATACTTCTTAACATATTTTACTATCGTACAATTACTGTTTGCTCACTAGGACCTATATCAAACAGTTCTATCCATGTTTGGTTACTGGAGAGAAAAAATTTATGAATTTCTTTTTTTATAAAGAAGTAGAATCAATAATAAGGGAAGGATCCACCCAAGAAAACTGATTCAAAATTCTTTCATTTTAAATATGCAGTGTTTCTACACAAATTTTACTGTAAGGGACTATTTTATCATTTACCTTATTGATAAAATAGTTATTAGAACAACTTCTTACCACTTAAATTTCCATTATATTTGCCCACAGGTGGTCGGACTCTACAAATTATTCGGGCCAAAGTATCTGATGGTGGTGAATACACTTGTATAGCTATCAACCAAGCTGGTGAAAGCAAGAAAAAAGTTTCCCTGACTGTTTATGGTTTGTTGTGACTCTCCTTATAAAATGCTTTCATTTTTAAAACTGGTATTAATATATTTTCTATCTGTGCATCTTAATGAAAACAACATCCTTCTGTTCTTATTTCCTCTCCTCAGTGCCCCCAAGCATTAAAGATCATGGCGGTGAATCTCTCTCTGTAGTTAATGTAAGAGAAGGGACCTCAGTATCATTGGAGTGTGAGTCCAACGCTGTCCCCCCTCCAGTTGTCACCTGGTATAAGAATGGGCGGATGATAACAGAATCAACTCACTTGGAGATTTTAGCAGATGGACAAATGCTACACATCAAGAAAGCCGAGGTGCCTCTTTCATTCTTGTTTGTGTGTCATGGTTCCTTCATGATATTATGGAAGAGAGAATTGGGAATTGCATATTCCCTTTATTACAGTGAAAATGATTTCTATTAAAAAATAACCATTGTCGAGGCCATTGACCTTATTTTCATTAAAAAAAAAATTGTAGAAGGCAATTAGAACTGGGGCATTTGAACATAAAAGATGACTGATGATTTAATCTACACTTGAGCGGTGTGATTGGTCATCTATAACGTAATGGAGCACATACAATAGTATCTTTTTCTTTTAGGTATCTGACACAGGCCAGTATGTATGTAGAGCTATAAATGTAGCAGGACGGGATGATAAAAATTTCCACCTCAATGTATATGGTGAGCATCTGCCTCTAATACAACTCTTTTTTTCCCCCAGATATGCAAATGAAAGAGTGTCCTGAATTAGCTTAATGAGGATCCATGATTTTCTTCTGTCTTTTTGCAGTGCCACCCAGTATCGAAGGGCCTGAAAAAGAAGTGGTTGTTGAGACAATCAGCAATCCTGTGACCTTAATATGTGATGCCACTGGAATCCCGCCTCCCACCATAACATGGTTGAAGAACCACAAGCCCATAGGTAATACAGCGGTGCGTCTTTTGTCGTTGTTTTCCTTTGTTTTTAATACATTAGATTTATAAGCTAGCACATTGTCTAATTAAGCTCATAGCTGTGTTTAGTTCAGAAAGCCTAAAGTACTGAAATATAAATTTACACAATAGACTCGTAAAATGACTGTTCATTTGATTAAGAAGTTTTTCTTTTACCTTTTTCAAAAAGGCTCTCTGTTGAAATAAAACTACAAAGCAAGACATTTTTATGGTGAATTGTAGAGACATTAAGAAGAAAAGCTGTTTCATGTTTTCTTTTGTTTTGCTTTGTTTCCATCTCCAGAAAATTCTGACTCACTTGAAGTTCATATTTTGTCTGGAGGTAGCAAATTCCAAATTGCCCGGTCTCAGCGTTCAGATAGTGGAAATTATACATGCATTGCATCAAATATGGAAGGAAAAGCACAGAAAAACTACATCCTTTCAATTCAAGGTATGTGATTTAACTTCAATTTCTCTATTGTATTCTATCTAGAGTACAAATAAGTGTACCTAAAGAGATCACTTGTAATTGATTCAAAGTGTCTTTGGATCAACAAAAAATATTGTCAGTTCTCTGGCCTACTTTTACCAGTAGATTCTGTTTTCATGTAAATTGGCATAAATGTAGAAAAAAGAATAGTAAAAATTTAATATCTCTATTTTTTCCATGTTTACCAAAATTATTATCTTCCTATAGTATATAGGAATATAGTATATACTTATTCATTCAAAACTGGCATAATTTATTTTTATGCTAAGCCCATATGTCTATTCTTATACATATGAATTTAATTTATTCTATATATATGTATTTAATTTACTCTATATTTAATACATTCTATATATACTATTTAATTATATATGTGATTTAATTCATTAAAAGGCTGCATTATGTTATAACTATATGTAGGGGATTAGATAAATTTCAAGTAATCATTAATTTTATGCTATTTTGGGGTGAGAATAAGGAGCATTAATTCATCCAACAAATATTTACTTAATGTGTACTAAGTTCCAGCATAGTATTGAGAACTGTAGTGAAAATTTGTATCTTCTTGATTTTCAGTAAACCTCTAATTATTACTTTTGGCCCAGCAGTTAATTGAAATAGAAGTCTAACTTGAAACTAAGTCGAAATGCTTGCTTTTTCCAATATTATTATAGTTATTTTGAAAGGATTGTCTCATAAATTATAAATGTAAATGATTATCAATCTGTTGTGTGCTCTGCTAAAGCTATCTAGAAATAAATTAAATTAAACAAAAATTAAAATAAGTTTATGGGCATCAGTGGTTTCTTGGATTAGTGATGCTTGAGATTTCATAAGCAGAAAGGAAAAAATATTCAAGGACTCAGCATCAGAAATTATGTGTTTCGTAATGTTTAATGCATTAATAATAATAGCTGTTAATCATGGGGTATGTGAAGCAACCAAGCATTTTACCAGGCTTTTTTGCATACATTATGTCCTGGGACTAGAAATAGCATATGCTTATAGGGCCTAGTAAAGTGCTTTTTATATACTAGACATCCTTTAATAAACATCCTTTAATAAAAGGATATTGCTTATTAACATTCTTATTGATTTGACTTATTTAGTACACGGAATTCTGCAAATTTGATATAATTGTTATCATCTTAAATGAGATTTGGAGAGGTTATGCAGCGGTGTGCTGGTAAATGTTTAACAATTGACTCTCCAGATAAAAAAGGTCCTGCCAATCATTTGCCAGTTTCCATGGTAGAAATATTCCCACCTTGGCTCATTTCAAGTTACCAGCATGATGTCACTGAACATGGAGTAGGAAAGACGTACAATATTGGTTCTTGCTAGCTGATATTAGCTGCCGAGCAGACCCCTTGTACTTACATGAAAGAGGAATTCAGATGTGTTTTTGTCTGATACTATTGTCAATGTTTTTATTGCACGTTAGTCCTCAATCAGTTCATTAAAGTGTAAACCAAACATGACTAGAAAGCCAGAATAGAGACTATTGGATCTTAAATACTACAGTAAGCCTATCTATTGATCAGAATAAATAATATTTAAATTTCCTTAGGAAATATTTAATTGCTTAAGCTATAACCAACTTAGGTACTTTTCTCAGACCTTGGTGCCAAAATCTTATAAAACGGATTCTCCTGAATTGTGTTAATTCTTAACTATTTTTGGGGGACTTAATCTAAGAGTGATTCATTCTATTTAGCCAGGAAGTGTGTCCATGAAGTAGATTTGTCACCAGTCCCTATGACTAAATAATTGTATCAGCTTAAAAATATACCAGGAATATTGAAGTGATTCCTTTACCTATTTCTTATTCAAAAGTAATTATGAGGATAACAATGTTTTGACCTTGAACCATAATCTAGGAAGAATATGAAATTAAAATGGCATACTGTTCTGTGATTCTGTTGTATTCATTAGAATTTTGTGCCTTGTTAATGAGAGTTTTTATTTCTCCAAAGTCCCTCCAAATGTTGCTGGTGCTGAAATTCCAAGTGAAGTCAGTGTCCTTCTAGGGGAAAATGTTGAGCTGGTCTGCAGTGCAAATGGCATTCCCACCCCAGTTATTCAGTGGCTTCGAGATGGAAAACCCATAACTAGCAGTGAAACAGAAAGAATCCGGTATGTTTACAAAGAATCTTTGCATTATTAATTTTAATGTCTTTTACCATGCTTTATGCTTCAAATTTCACATGAATAATACCAAATTCAGTTTCCTTGGAACTCAACTGTCATTATATTCAGAAAGAAAAAAAATAAATTTGTTGAGAGTAGGACACAGAAAATCTCCTTAGAGAATCACTCTATAGTGTGTGTGTGTGTGTGTGTGTGTGTGTGTGTGTGTTCCTTATCCAGCAGCTGTTATAAAATTTCCTCAGACTTTCATTCCTAAAAATGTTAATTTACTGATGTTGATTTTATTCCTCCTAATCATAGAATGTTTATGCCAAAGTCCACGTCATAAAATAATTGTTCTTTCCTGCTAACATCAAACCAATGTTATTCTACAAAAGATTCATCAATAATCTCACATATGATTTTGTGTCCTAAGAGCACCAAACCACCAAACATGCCATACCACGTGGCTTATTTTGAAAAAAAGTACAATATCATCAAATCCTGGTTCACTCCTGGTAGTGATGTGTCCAAATCCCATTTTCAGCTGACACTTATTACCCATGCCACATACCATATAGAAATGGAATAATAATGGGGTAAGGGCCTCCTGCTACTTTCAACAACAAATGCCTTTGGAAGGACAATCAGAATTTTATACTCTACTAAAGTACTTCATGACAAAGCCCCATTATATACATATACCAGAGTAATTATAATTATTTCAAGAATCATATATACATAAGTAGGCATTAATTCACTATATTGTAGTCATTATCATTTTCAACTGATATTTTAAATTGAATGGTTTGGAGTAAATTTTCTAGTTAATGAATTGAATATTTATAATTTAAAGAAAGGTAAATGTTTTTTTCTTTGAAATTATTTTACACTAAAATTTAGATATTTGTCCCCTTCACAGCACTGGGTAAATTGCCCAATAATAGTTTAGAGATACATTTAAAGTTTCTCTAGTGTGGACATCTCTGAATAGTTTACAAATATTTAATTATCTTTATTTAATCAGCTGATATCGACTATGTTCCAAACCAAGTACGAGGTAGTTGGAGGGACCTAAAGATCTCATATAATATTTGTACCTAGGAATTTACAATCTATCACTTGCTTTCTTACATGAAAATCCAAAATATACTTATTCTTATATCCATTTTCTTGATTGTTTGGTCACTGTTCCACAATATGTATATGTTTATAAGTGGAACAATGCATCAATCAAAGTACTTTTCCAAAATCAGCATACGACTTTCCTTGGTCATGGCAACTTGCTTTTTTGTTTATTCATGTTAAACTCTTCATGGCATTTTAAACTCATGAAATTTTAAAATTCATATTTTGAAACAGAAAAAATATAACAGACTCAGATAATAATATGATTCTCAATAATCATATTTAATAAAATGATATGGTAGAAATGGAGTATTTACTTTTGACACTAGGAGAATCTAATAAAATCACTATTGTAAGAATAACTATAGATAGCAATTTAATTTCTTTATAAAACACAGGAAGTCTTGTTTGATAATTAATCATGTGTGAAGGGTTAATAATGAATAATCTTAACTTTGATATCTTTGATAATCTAATTTTGTACTTATTGTTTACTATTAATGTAATTCAAAGGAAAAGCTTTAGCAATTTGTACAAAACTTTTTGCAAAATATACCCATACATAATGCTGAATTGTCACAGAATAAATGATTCTGCTTTTTCTCATTAAGAGTCTTTCTTGGTGTTTATAGCTAGATTTTTTTTTTTTTAAGATTTTTATTGGGGAATTGGGGGGATGGGAACAGTGCTGGGGAACTGAGGGAAGGGGGGGGATGGGAACAGTGCTGGGGAACTGAGGGAAGGGGAACAGACAAGTTGCTGTCATTTTTGTTCTTCAATCTCGTTGTGGAGGATGTTGCTTCACTGGCCCAAGTTGGCACCGTCATTGTGCTCTTCCCTGGTGAGGCAGATCAGGCGCCGGCTTCTGGACGGCCGCTCACTGCGGCTGCTGGCCGCTCACGCTGGCTGCTGGCTACACACGGTAGCCCATGGCAACCCACTGCCACAGGGGCTGCAGCCTACGCCGTCGCCGGCAACTCAAGGCAGCCCCGTGGCCGCTCACTGCGGCTGCTGGCCGCTCCCGCTGGCTGCTGGCTACACACGGTAGCCCATGGCAACCCACTGCCACAGGGGCTGCAGCCTACGCCGTCGCCGGCGACTCAAGGCAGCCCAGCTCCAGGTTGAGCTGTTGTTCAGCATCTTAGCTGTGGAGGGCAGTGTCACTGGCCCTCATATGTGGGATCCGAACCGGGGCCCTCTGGCATCCCAAGCGAGTTCTTAACCATCGCGCCACTCGGCCGGCCCCTATAGCTAGATTTTTTATACATAATTTTTTATTGTAACATTCTTCAATTTTAATACCAGAGTGTTTTATGCTTTTCATTTCATTCAAACCTTATATTGACCAACTGAGGATAAAATATTCTAACTCTGAGTAAAAAACACATTTTCGCCAATGATTTGGCTAGAGAAGTTCCAACCCTGATTTTGTTTATTGCCATTTTTCTCAGAAAGAGGCAGTGGATATATGAGACCCATGACTGTAGAGCTTTAGTTGGTTGCCTGAAATCTCCATCAGTTTGACTCACTCTGACTTTACAGGCTTCCATGTTCTTAGTGAAAAATGCTTAACCATTATATCAAGAGAAAGGTGCTTTTTATGGTGGGTCTTTTTAAAGAACACAATAATCTGGAGTGAGTCTTCCATATTTTAGCACCACATAAGTCATCTCAGTGCCTCTTTTATGACCTCTTCTATAGGGTGACTGCAAATGGCAGCACGTTAAATATTTACGGAGCTCTCCCATCCGACATGGGGAAATACACGTGTGTTGCTACGAATCCCGCTGGAGAAGAAGACCGCATATTTAACTTAAATGTTTATGGTAAATATGAAATTTCACCCTCTTTTGACTTTGCTACTTCAGGAATCTGTCCGTAGAAAGACATGAAGGGCCAGCAGTAGGCATTTCGTTTTTAAATATGATGTCATTACTGTTTCCTTTTGGGGTACAAAGCAGAAATGTGGGCAATTGTAATTGAGATGATTTGAACAAGTAATGCACACCCTACCCCCTTCTGTCTCTCTCTCTCTCTCTCTCTCTCTCTCTCTCTCTCTCTCTCTCTCTCTCTCATTTTCTGTGTGGCATAGTTCCACCAGTTATTAGAGGTAATAAAGAAGAAGCAGAGAAACTCATGGCTGTGGTGGATACATCAATAAATATTGAATGCAGAGCCACAGGGACGCCTCCACCACAGATAAACTGGCTAAAGAACGGACTTCCGTTGCCCCTCTCCTCCCATATCCGGCTACTGTCAGGAGGGCAGGTTATCAGGTCAGCTTTTATTCTATGTGATTTGCTAGACAGATAAAGTCACTGTGGGTGTAAACTTTACTTATCTAAATAGTGTTTAAGAAATGTTTTTTTCCCCAAAGCTTTTGCTATTGTTTGTTTGGTGTTTTTCCCCTTTCAGTGTCTTTTTAGAAGAAGGGGGATAACAAATATCAAATTCTTTTTAAATATTCATGTTTTAGTAAATTTATATAAAATAGGTCTTTTATATCTATCACATGTGTATTTCCAAGAACTACTATTTTAGCTAACTCTTTATATAGCAAAATGATAGGAAGGTGCCTACAACAATCATGTGATTTTCATGTTAACATCATTCTCTATTATATTAAAATATGTTTTAAAAATATTTACCTTTCAAATTGTATTATATTTTCAGTGGTTTACTGTCAGTGTCTAATCAACTTAATTATATTTGGGCATCTATATTTTGTGATAGATGGTTATAAGCTTCGTACTTAAAATTTCTCAACATAAATCACGCTTTATAATCTATGTAGAAATCCTAAGTATTTTATGTGTATATGTTGAATGGAATCAAATTATGAAATGTTGGGTCAAACTGTTTTTCAGGATTGTGAGAGCTCAAGTGTCTGATGTTGCCATATACACTTGTGTGGCCTCCAACAGAGCTGGGGTGGATAATAAACATTATAGTCTTCAAGTGTTCGGTATGTCACAGAAATGACCCTAAAACTTTACAATGTGCCCAGTATTAAGCAACAGGCTTATATTTAGATATTGCCCTATTAGAAAAGATTAGTAAAATAGGATCTTGCTAATGAGGGAAGAATGCATTTTCTCCCAGGGGGTTCATATTTATTGGAGCATACTGTCTGTCAAAATATTCTTCCAACATGGAATTTTGTATTAAATCAAATCTAAATTTTTAAAAATAGCATTTCAACCCAAACACAAGACCAGTCTTTTCATACAAATAGAAAGTTAAGGTTATTTTTTTGTATTATTAGTCACTGATTTAGGGTATTTAAAATACGAATTGATTTATGCGTATGTGTGTGTGTGTGTGTGTGTGTGTGTGTGTGTGCATGCGCGCGCGCATGTGTGTGTGTGTGTAGATAGAAAACTCTCAACATTCCATTTCTGGAATATTAAGGTTTTCTTGTCTAGATGTCTCAATCCCCAAGAACACCTCAGAACATTCGGTAACTATTTACTGTAGCCTACAAATGACCTATGTTGGATCATATAAAAGTTACTTTAAAACTTGATATTTTATTTATTCCGTATAAAGTAGTTAAAAGTATACTACTGGAACTATGATATACAGTAAAGCAAATTAAAGAGACAAACCAAAAAATAGCCAAAATTTAAAACACATTTAAATTTTGTTCTACAAGAAACAATCCTGAGATTTCATTGCTAATAATACTTTGGAAGGTTCATAATTAGCCTACCTAATGCATGTTTTTATAGTAAAGTCATCAATTAATTACATGCTTTTTTTTTTAAGATTTTATTGGGGAATTGGGGGAGGGAACAGACAAGTTGCTGTCCTTTTTGTTCTTTAGTCTAGTTGTGGAGGACGTTGCTTCACTGACCCATGTTGATATTGTGATCATTGCGCTCTTCCCAGCTGAAGCAGATCAGTTGCTGGCCATTGGACAGCCACTCACGGCAGCTCATGGCCACTCACGCTGGCTCCAGGACACTCGCGGTAGTTTATGGCAGCCCACTGCAGCTCCACTGCAACCTACGCCATCGTGGGCGACTCATGGCAGCCCAGCTCCAGGTTGAGCTGTTGTTTACCATCTTAGCTGTAGAGGGCACAGCATCACTGGCCCATGTGAGATCCAAACCCGCAGCCCTGCTGCTCAGAGCTCTCGTTCCCAAGCCAACTCTTAACCAACGAGCCACTCGGCCAGCCCAATTACATGCTATTTTAAATCCTATATTTTTACAGATCATAGAAATACTATAATTGAATCCATCAGTTGTTTTATCTAAACGGATCTCAAATTAAAACAGCTATATAAATTTCCCCTGTTTTGTTTTCTATTGTAGTCCCACCAAATCTGGACAACGCAATGGGAACAGAGGACATCATAATTGTCAAGGGTAGTTCCACCTCCATGACATGCCTTACAGATGGAACCCCAACTCCCAGGATGTCGTGGCTTCGAGATGGCCAGCCTCTGGGACTTGATGCCCACCTGACAATAAGTACTCAAGGAATGGTCCTTCAGCTCATCAAAGCAGAGACTGAAGATTCGGGAAGGTACACCTGTATTGCCTCAAATGAAGCTGGAGAAGTCAGCAAACACTTTATCCTGAAGGTCCTAGGTATATAAACATTCAATAATTGGGAAGGAAGTGACAATAAAGACTTAGTAAATAAGTATAATTCTTAGAATCATTTGCTAGGAGACGAAATTTGTAAAAATGTCATTGTCCTTCGTATTTCTGATAAGTAGCTTTTTAACTTTCTCCAAGAACTAAAAGCATATCTGATAGTAGCAATTTAATGAAAAAGTATAATATTTATACTATTGTATGTTATTGCAAACAGTCTTTAAATAATCCAATCTGTAGATTATAATTGTGATAATCATTCAAAAAAAATTTTGGGGGGGAACTGGAGGAGGGGAACAGTGTTGGGGAATCGGGAAAAGGGAACAGACAAGTTGCTGTCCTTTTGTTCTTGAGTCTAGTTGTGAAGGACGTTGCTTAACCCGCCCATGTTGGTATTATCATTGTTCTTTTCCCGGGTAAGGCAGATCGGTCGCCGGCCTCTGGACGGCCGCTCATGGCAGCTTTTGGCAGCTCATGCGGACTGCCCGCCACTCACGGTAGCCCATGGCAGCCCACTGCAGCTCCACTGCAGCCTACGCCATTGCTGACGACTCACGGCAGCCCAGCTCCAGGTCGAGCTGTTGTTCACCATCTTAACTATAGAGGGCAGTGTCACTGGCCCTCGTGTAGGGATCCGAACCAGGGCCCTGCTGCTAAGAGCTGGTGTCCCAAGCCAGCTCTTAACCAACGCGCCACTCAGCTGCCCCTCAAAATTTTTTTTACTCTTGTATACTTTAAAATAAATATTAAGGGGCCGGCCGAGTGGCGTGATGGTTAAGAACTGGCTTGGGATGCCAGAGGGCCCCAGTTCGGATCCCACATATGAGGGCCAGTGACACTGCCCTCCACAGCTAAGATGCTGAACAACAGCTCAACCTGGAGCTGGGCTGCCGTGAGTTGCCGGCGACGGCGTAGGCTGCAGCCCCTGTGGCAGTGGGTTGCCATGGTCTACCGTGTGTAGCCAGCAGCCAGCGTGAGCAGCCAGCAGCCGCAGTGAGTGGCCGTCCAGAAGCCGACAACTGATCTGCCTCGCCCGGGAAGAGTGCAATGATGGTGCCAACTTGGGCCAGTGAAGCAACGTCCTCCACAACTAGACTGAAGAACAAAACGACAGCAACTTGTCTGTTCCCCTTCCCCAATTCCCCAGCACTGTTCCCATCCCCCCAACTCCCCAATAAAAATTTTTAAAGATAAATAAATAAATAAATAAAATATTAAGGTGTGTATTTCAGTGTCCTACACACAAATAGTATAAAGAGAAAACACATCTTTTCCTTGAAGTGAAAGATTTGACTTTCACTTCAATGAATGAAGTGAATGAAATGAACTGACTGTTTCAATAATCAATACTATTTTGGAGTTTTGTTTGTTTTTTCACTATTATGTAGTTAAAAACCTCAGCTCCTTATATAGAACAAAACACACTCCTCAAGGTACAATAAAAAGGATGTGAAGAGTCTAGCCAATGAGGCTAGGATATGTTTTCAGGATGCCCCATAATATTTCTCATAGTACCTATTCTAATGTAACTATTTGTATAACTTTAAAAGTCTGACTTGCCCTTAGTGAAACTCTATGATGGGCAGTACCCATCTTAATTATTACTGTGTTCACAGTGGTTACCATGACACTTAACACACAGTGTTTATTTGTTGGTTTGAGTTGAATGGAAACAAATGCTTGTCAGCTGGATTAAAGGGAGTTTTAACTAGAGGGAGGCAAAACAATATCTAAATAACCAAAGAAAGACACTGTGGTAGAGATGAGTGTTCCATAGAATGAAAAGTGGTAGTAGAGGTGGGACGCCAGGATATTGAGAGACGAAAGACAGAAGAAAGTGTCTGTAAGGAGGGGTGGAATGACGAATTTCTGTACGTCACTTCACAGAATATAAGGAATAACAGGAGATGACATGAATGTGATCTTGTACCTTAGTTATTGACATGTTAAATATTAATTATTGACTATAGATTATGTGCCAGGCATGTTTCTTGTCATCATGTAACAAATAATCATGGAACAACTACTATAGGACATATGGTGTGACAGCTATTTGAGTGCATTATTGAATAAGAATAATGCACTCAAATTCTTTGCCCTCAAACAATTCTTACGTCTGGTGGGGAACACAGATGTTGAGCAACTAAATGCTTTCGAATATGATGAGGATTATATGGCTAAAATCATATTCTGTGGGATGGTGAGGTTCAGAGGAGATCTCCTCAAGGATAACCCTGAGCCTTCAAGGGTCGGGCTGTAGAGGTGAGTGAGGCCTTGCCCCGACCTTTCACCTGGAAGTGATAGAGCTTGAGTTGTCCGTCTGTAGTCACCAAAACTGAGCAGGAAAGGAAGAGTAGCAGGAGACGAGGCTGGAAAGATACATGGGCAGAAGCCAAACCCTGAGAGCCTTGGGAACGTTTTACAGAATTTGGACCTGATTACAAAGGCGATAGAAGAAGCTTAAGCAGGATGCCTTACAAACAGATTTCATTTCCAAAAATAAATCCCTCTGATGACAGAATGAAGTATGAATTCAAGAGTCTGTTGTATTCATACAGGCCATGAAAATGCAGAGGCCTGGTCCGGAATATGGCAGTGAGGAAAGAGAGAAGGAAAGCCCCTCTAGGAATTCATAAACTCAGAAACGAAATCACAGTGCATTCCTGGATATAGCACACGAGGGAGAAAAATAACACATATTGCTAGAGTCTTTTTCAAAGAGCAGCCTTCACAATTGAAGGGTTTGTAAGGATAATATTTTCTAAAAACAGATTTGAGAACTGGCTCAGCAGAAAGATGAGACGTTTCTGCATTTCAGCATCTGTTGAAAGCTAATTCCATTAAAACCTGAAAAACTCCTCACTTGAATCAGTGCTACACTCAGAAAGTGAATGTAAAGGTCCTAATTTGGGGAGCTGCTATTCTCAACTTAATTCTATCCACATGGTGGAAGGTGTCATGGTGTGTTAGTGATTCTGAAAAGTCCAGTTTGGCGATAATACTGAACGCAAGAGAGAAAAACCATACAATTAAAGCTGGGGTTTTTTGACAGGGCCCATGCTATGAAGGGCTTTTTGACCACATTAAGAATTTTGGATTTCATCCTAGAACAATGGAAAACCATTAAGAGTTCTACGAAGTGGAATGCCATGAGTAGAGCTGCAGTTTCAAAAGACCACTCTGACTGCGACGTGGGGAGCTCCACAGAACAGGACAAGAGGAGGAGATTATTAGGAATTATGTTTGGAAATGACAGAACATCCAAATATATGGCAGCTTAAACAAAAAAACCTTTGTCTTTCTTGCTAAGTGAGAACTCTGGAGGGAGGCAGGAGTTGCGTTAGTTCACCAGTTTAGATATGTACAGTTTTCTTGGCCTTTCCATCATACTTGTTTAGCGACCATGCATTGTCGGCTCACCCCCAGCATCACTAGAAGCAGCAATAGAGCAGGAAAGGTAAGAAGGCAAAGAATTGCCCCCTTTAGGGACTTTCTTAGAAGCCCCACAAAACCACTTCCATTTATTTATATCTCATGGGTCGGAATCTTCACATGCCACTCCATTTACTCCCTACTAAAGAAGGTAGGGTAAAGGGGTGACCAGTTAGCTCAGTTGGTTAGAGCATGGTGCTCATAACACCAAGGTTGCCGGTTCGGTCCCCGCATGGACCACCGTGGGCTGCACCATCCCTAGGAGAGAGAGTCAGCTATGTCATTGTAGTGTGGGGGCAATGTATAGCCAATGACCATGGCTGTTACTCAATTAAAAAAAAATAAAGAGGCTAGGGAATGTAGCTTTTAGTACATTGACAGCCTCAACAAAATCAGAGACTGTTGATAAAAAATAATAATAATAATAATAATAACAATAATAACGGGTAGGCACCTGCAACCAGGAAGGAGATATTAATTAGTGCAAAAAATGGTTTTGTAGCTCAGGTTAGTAAAGGAGGTGAGAGAAAAAGATGTATTCCGGGAATAATTGTAGGTAGAAATATTAGGAGTTAGTTTTGGATTTGAACATAGGGGAGTGATGAAGACGATATCAAAGATGACTCCTAATTTCTGGTTCACGTGATTGAGTGATTGATGTATCCATCACATAAATGCAGGGAATGCTTGAAAAGGACCAGCGTTTGAAGAGTAAGGTAGTAGGTTCTGGTTGAATATGTGTTGAGTTTGAAGTAGTTTGAAACATCCCACTGGAGATGTTTATGTAACAATTACATTTATGGGTCTGAGCTCAGAAGAGAGATCTAAGCTGAAAAATATAAGTTCTGGAGTCATCCGAATGTGGACAATTCCTAGGCTGCCCAAATTACAAGACATACGGACAAGACAGAGTGCAGTAGTTCACAATCACTTAATGCATGTAACATCTGATGCCTGGGGACTGAACCAGCTAGGAACATGTTTCTGTTGTTGCTATTGTCAGTGTTGTTGTTTTAAATCTAGTGACGATAAGCTTTTGAGGATAAGGGCCATGCCTAATTAATCTTTGTATCCACAATGACTGACACATAGTAAATATCCGATAAGTGAGAGGAATAGAGAATGACCAAAGTCAAATGGAGAACCAGATAAGTGCTTTTGAGTGATACGAACAACATGCTATGGAAATTAAAAGGGAAAGGAATTTTATAGTTGGTTGAGAGAATCAAGAAAAGATTTGCAGTTATGACAAATGAACTTAAAACAACATTAATGTGACCTTCGTAGTATTTGAACTTTCTCAGTTATGAGATGGGACTATTGGAGGGTATTCCACTGAAGGAATAGCATTAGTAAAGTCACAGAACAAGAAAGGACTGGACTTGTTGAGGGAGAAAAGTAGTTTAATGTAAAGTCTAGGTTACATATAAGCCTAATAAAGGTAGATAATATTATAAAGATGAAGTGTGGCCATATTATAGAAGCCTTGGAAGCTGGAATGTAGAGTTTTTATTTAATTCACTAGGCAACATGGAGGCACAAATCTTTTAAGCAAGAAATCTTGAATTAATCTAAATGCACTTAAGGAACTATTTAGTCTAACTTATTAATTATAATCTAAAAACTAATACAGATTTCATATGTTCTCTTTTTTCCAGGAAGGAAAATGAGGACCCTAGGTAGATATTTTTAGGAGGCAGGTTTTAATGAAAGCACCGACAGCTATAGTGGACACTGCAGTAGTAATAACTTTTTTAAAACCTTTCATTATAAAATAAAATACTCAGAAACACAAAAGGAAGTTTGTAGTTTATAGATTATCTCATTGAATCTTCACACAATCCTATTAGTTAAATAATACTACTGCCCTTATTTTGAGATTTGCCCAAATCCATTACCCTAAGAATTTTTGGAGCCAGGATTCAAACTCAAGCTGTTTGACTCCAGATACTCTGCTGTGAGCCTCTGTTTTAAACTATGTGCCTGATTAAAAAAAACAAAAACAAAAAAACAGCTAATATTTGGAGCTGTCCAACAGAGGCTTTGGCTGCCTTATGAAACAGTAAGCTGGAAATGTTCATAGAAAACATATAATGAATGATCATTATAAGGGAAGTCTGTTTTAAACAGATTCCTAAACTTAGGAATAGTTAGACTAAGAAACCTTATTTCTTTCAAATGTTCAAATTCCTTAACATCCCCTTGAGGAAGATATTTTAGAAGTATAAATAACAGAAAAAAAAAAAGGAAAGTATTTCTGCCTAGATATAACAAATGTGTTTTATGCAGAAATATTCTCCAAATGTAACTTTTTTTTTTTTTTTTTTTGCTTAGTCATTGTTTCCTCTTAAAGTTCTGCATGGGAAAGATGATAGCAAAATTCCATAGCATTGGACTGTTACTTTTCTAGAAACAATAGATATTTAAAAGGTACAAAAACACACTACTGTGTTTAAGTACCTCTCTTTAAAAATGGTACAAGATGGGTTTCATTTTTATTATTTTAAAATCTTCACAGTTGGGTAAGACTGCTCTAATCATCTGAATCCCAATTGCTGAGTTATTATTGCCTTGTAATGGCTTGCCATTTGCTTTGTGATCTATCATACTCATGGAACATTCCTTTTAAGATAGTGCCAGTGACAAGTGGTAATAACATCTAAGAATGATCATTTTGGTATCCTTATTCTAATCAATTTATATCACATGAACCATAAATTTGAGTTGGATTTTCTTTTTAAAGTTGTTCTGGTCAGTTGTATTTTATCAAACAGCAAGTTCAACGGTTGTTTTTTATTTCCTTTAAATAGAACCACCTCATATCAATGGATCTGAAGAGCCTACAGAGATATCAGTGATTATTAATAATCCACTTGAACTTACCTGCATTGCTTCTGGAATCCCAGCTCCTAAAATTTCCTGGATGAAAGATGGACGGCCCCTTCCACAGATGGACCAGGTGCAAACTCTTGGAGGAGGAGAGGTTCTTCGAATATCTAGTAGTCAGGTAAGTTCAAAGTTTATACAATTATTTTATCCTAGGTTAAACTCCTCACTTGCTAATATATTAGAAATGTTGGAGAAACGATGTCTTCGAATCCAAACATATCACAGATCTCTGTAACTTTAGAAATGGGTAGATTGGTTCTATGGTATACGTGACTGGGTAGACACAAAATACATGACTAAAAAGGAGAAATGAGGGCCGGCCAAGTGGCTCAGTTGGTTAAGAGCTCGCTCAAGAGTGCGAGCTCTGAGCAATAGCGGTTTGAGTCCCGGCCCGAGCTGAGCTGCCGCTGAGCTGCCAACAGGTGGCAGGATGGCTCAGCTAAAAAAATAATAATAACTAAAAAAATAAAAAAGAGAAATGGAATTATCATATTAAACTCGGAAGGAAGGAAGATATCTTCACATTAATTTTTGCAGGTTTCCACAGTGCTATAAGTGACAGTGCAGGTTTCCTGAAGCTCTTAATTTGTGTCATGTAGCCCTTTACGGAGCCGGCAAAAAACAATTCAATATACTTTCATATGAAGCCTCAAAGAGCACTGTTCATCTCCAAAATCAACTACCTGACATGAAAACCTGAAGAGACACCATTTTCCAAAACCTGAATAATTCAATAAAATTGAGTGTTCTTTTACATTGTAGTTAAGGAACTTATTCAGAAATGTGAATGTATTAAAGAGAAGTATGTCTGAGCTGTCTTATTGTAACACTCTTCTGTTCTACTAACAGAAGTTTTATATTACACATATTACCCATCTGCACCCCAATGCCCTCATCTGTAAACTGAGGTTAGAAAAAAAGAATAATGCCTAAGTCACGTACTTGGGGATTTAGAGATCATCTAACATGATGTGCTTAGACTGGTGTCACAGGCATGGAGTGATGCTAAAATCGAGTTAGCATTGTTGTTGATGCTGCTATGATTGTTATTATCATCACCATTCCTTTAAAAAATAGAATAATAAATTATTTAGTGTGCATTTTCACTGAGGAAAGAGGAAGGAAAGGAAGCTAGAAAAAGAGAGCTAAGGGTTATAAATTGTATCAGTCCTGTGTTCCGCTGCGGGCTCTGTCACACTTGTCACCCTCATAACAACGTGGTGAGGTAATGTCGTTAGCCCCATTCTACAGATCCAGAAACAGACCCAGAGAGACTAAGTACTCACCTGCCAAGAACTTACCGCTGCTCAGGGATGGAGCTGGGTCTCAGTCTGGGTCTGGTTCAGTAGCGAGCCGGTGGAACGAAGCACAGTTCTTATGTCTACACCAAGGAGAAAACACTTTCCCTTTCCCTCTTCTCTCCATCAAACATTGCCATAGCCCAGAGAAAATACGGGTCACAGTACCAAACCACTTTTTGAATCCAAACCCTTGAATGTTATCATTTCGACAGACCAAAAAGGAAGGAAAAGAATGTTGTATGAAGACAGGAAAGTATGTGGAATTGACATCATAAATTTATAAAGGAATCATAAATATAAAGAACTCATGGTAAATAAAGAAGCTTGAGAGGAAGATGAAGGTTACTTTACTGGAGGTCTTAAATGCAAGAATGAAAAGTTATAACCCAACAAGACAAAGACCCCATAGAGTGTTAAATGGTGACCACATGTTCTAGCTCTCAGAGAATACAAACATGACACATAAGTCATTTCTCAGCCTTCAAGAAGTTTCCACTTGTCTAGGAGAAATAAAACTACACATATGGTAAAACTGGAAAAAAATAATAAAACCATTAAAAACATTATATTACTGAAAAATTAAATATTATCGAGTACAAAGACCCCTCTTGCTTCCTCTACACCTCTGTATTTTCATAGCGTTTTGGACACATCTCTGTTACAGCACTTAGTAAATTATGTTTTACTTATGTGAACTTTGTCTTTCATGTACGTATATCTATAACATATAGTTGGCCTGGCACATAATGGCTGTTTTGCAAATTCCAAACTTTGTGATAGTGACAAAAGTTTCCTGAGATATTTTTCATCTGACACTTGTCTGTGATTTATTCCAAAGAGGGAAAAATTCTGTGACCCAATAGATTTGGAAAACTTGATATACTATACCTTATTCTTCATGAACCGTAATGCATGTCAAGAACTGCAAAATTTTACACTAACAAAACCTGATTCACTATAATTTTCGAACACTCTACTAATGGAACATATTTTATAAAATGTCGCTACAAATAGTGACTACTCGTATCCCGAAGGGCATAAGTTGTCAGGAAATATTTCTCCGGAGAGACAAGATTTAAGAGTAGTTATGAGTGATGGTTCAAGTTTGGCTAAGTCAGAACAAGTGGAAGGGAAAATGCAATTTGGGAATAGAATGAGTTGGTAGGCAAGAGTTGACTTTTAGGGGTTTTAAAGATATGATGAGAAATTCAGAAATTATTCTCTAGGCAATCGCACATCATTTTAAATTCTTAATTGAAGGACTGTGTGAGTGCCATTCTTCTAAAGTTGTGTTTAAGTATTTTTCCAAACACACTAATTTTAACATACCGGTCTTAAATTTTTTCAAAGGAGTTTTTGCAGCCTACCAAAAAGTTTTTCCATAATCTATAAAGTCAGTTTTGAATGTAAGAATTTAAAAATTTCCAATATACTAGACATGTTCAAGTAGTAAAATAAATTAAAACAAGATTTTTCTGCTTTTCCAAAATATATTTTTCACAGCAGTAAAATCATCTATTTTCCAGCATGTACTTTATACGTACATAAGCATGGGCTGTGTCTACACAACATCAAACATATGAATGAAGGCTAACGCTTCTCGTGGAAACTGCATGAGGATATTTAAAGAACTGTTTCTGGTTTTAGTGAGAAAATAGTAGATTTTGCTATCCGTCTGACCCTATTTACAGCCAAATTACATAACATAGCCCTTTGGTTTCACTGTGTATATCAAAAATAGATTCAAAATATGGTATTAATGTGCTTTATTTAAATAACCTGGTATTTTATTTTATTTATTCAATTTTCTTCAGTAAGGCACCGATTGAACTTTTCAGTCTGCAATTCAAGCCTAATAAGTACTTATTTCTTCAAAAACATTGAGTATCTAGTCTGCCATGTATGGTGCTTGGTCCTATATATATTAGCCTTTTCTGAGATTATTAAATATACTTAACATGCAAACATTCCGAGATCAAATACTGAAACCCTGTTAAAATGGAGATTTACATATAATAGAGAAGCCAAGCAATGCTTGCTGTCACACTGCTGATCACGATGTTAAAACAGTTTATTAAAATTTAATTATTATGCAGTCTTCGTGAAATCTTGCATTGTGTGAGACTTTTAAATTCATTCTAGTGGGTATTTATTCTCATCACCAAAACCAACAAGATAACACTGTGTAATTCACTTATTCGGATTTTGTAGGTGGAAGACACGGGAAGATATACGTGCCTGGCATCCAGCCCTGCAGGAGATGATGACAAAGAATATTTAGTGAGAGTGCATGGTAAATTTGGCAAAATATTCGACAGTCCATCATACCCTAATACCTAATTAGAACCCATAAATATGGAACATGGGGCAACTCCACAGCAATTCATAAGATATGTTTATACATTAGGAGATATGTATTTTGCAAATCTGATTCTTTTATTTGACTGACCAAATGCTTTCCAGGAATAGTTCAGTGGGCTTGTTATTTGTTTTGTTCCTGCACAAATAATCATGTTTATTGATTTAAAATCTTAGAATATAAATTATGATAAAAATAGAATAGAAGCTATCCATAATCTCACTACACAAAGATAAGACTATTTTGCATATTAATATTTTGTCACAGAAATGTGATCATACAGCATATAGTATTTAACTTGTTTTCTCATCTCACTGTGGTATGGTGAACATGTTTTCATGTCCAAAAATATATTTTTATAAAATTATTGTTTAGTGATTACATAGTATTTCATTTAATGAACTGCCATCATTTATTTAATTCATTCCCTATTTTTGGATATATAGGCTGTTTCTATATTTTCACCAATATAAGCAACTCTGTTATAAACATCTTTGTGCATGCATGTTGACCTATTAGTTATCTTATTTTGATAAATTTCTTGCTTGTTTACACACACACACACACACACACATTTAAGGCCAAATTACCTTCTAGAAAAGTTGGGCTGGGTAGTTAGACTCTATATAAAAATGGGAATTACTCTTTATGCAGAGGAACATTCTAAAAAACTAAACAAGACTTTTACCTCACTGTAATAGCTTAAATGACTAAGCAGTGCAAACTGTAGGGATTGTGTGATGTAGAAGCCCTAGACACAAATTGGATCTGCCATTGATTGACATGTAAATTGTGTATTATAATATGAGTACATTAAAAAGATACACTTCTGCATATTAAGAAAAATATACACATCTCTGTATATTTTGATGAACAGACTCTAATTTAGGAGTTTTAAAATCTGATGTTCAGAGAAAATTATTACCAAGTGCATTTCTGGACACGGGACCCCTTGTTTGTGCCTTAGTTTCTTTACTTGTCAAATGGTGACATTGATGGGATTATATTACTCATCCTATCATTCATGTGGTGGTTAGAAGAATTTTATCACTTAGTGTATGTGAAAGGATAGAGTAAGGTAAAAACCCATGCCACTATGTGTAATCATTCGTACTATAAATTGAATGAGTAATGTTTTGAGTGTATGCCTTTTATTTTATATAACAGAAACAATGTTTGTTGAACTCCTATTATATAATTCAGACCATCTTACATCTTGTTTATTGAAAGCCTATATGACGTGTTTGTTCTCATGCCCAGTACCACCCAATATTGCTGGAACAGATGAGCCCCAGGATTTCACTGTGTTGCGGAACAGACAAGTGACGCTGGAATGCAAATCAGATGCAGTGCCCCCACCCGTAATCACTTGGCTTAAAAATGGAGAACGGTTACAGGTAAAATCTTTCTAAGTTCCATGGAATCATTTTGAGATTACAAAACAAAAATCATCTATGGAGTCTTCGTTAGGGTGACAAAACCAAACAACATCAGGCTACTAAGTTATTCACCATTGCAGGGGTGGGACCAGGGTCCTTTGATGGGCCTCCTTTTCTCAACCTAGGGTAGTTAGTAACCAGTTCTGGGTCAAACAACAGGTATTTTGATTCACATACTCTGTAAATTGGCCCAAATATGTATCTCCTGGAGCCCATGGATTGAAGTTGGAATTGAAACCCTCAGCTATTTCTTTAGTTGAGAGAGAAGAAACCTTCAGGGTCTCAAAAGAACTCACCTGTCCAGCAAAGTCTCTACAGCAAACCGGTTCCTAAATTTCCCTGGTCTGAATTTGGACCTCAAGGGTAACCCCAGGGATCTGTGAACTATCAGGATCCAGGACTGGGATCTTTGAAGAACACAGGTCCTGGCTCATCTAAAGCTTCCCATGTTCAGCTGGTACCTGTCTGCTCTCACAGAGCATCACAGCCCAGGATCCTAAGTAGCCTTCTAGGGTTGGCTCAGTCTTGAATTTGAATGTTCTTCTGATCTTCCTTATCCTAGTAGTTATCTCATTTTCCCTCCTTTGTTCTTCCTCATCCTGTTAGTTAGTATAGCCTATTATGGTACACTGTGCCTTATTATAAAAGATTATGCCCCCTAACACCTGATGCAGAAAGACCTCCACCACCACCAAACCACACCAAACACCAAACACAGAGAGACTGGATTCTGAGTAAGTTACATGTTAAAGCATCATGTATATCACTTAGCCCTTTTGTGCCTCAGTTTCTCTATTGTGTGCCTACTATATAATGCTAGGTGCTGTGATTGCTGCTGAGAGTAGTCTTGACCCTCAAGGAGCTCACAGACTATCTGAAAAGATACAGTAAATCAGATCATAGAGTGGATACTGCTGATAAATTATGTTAGGGAGACATGCGGCATTGTATGGAAAGAGAGAGGAGAAGCAAGCAACTCAGGCCGAAGCTTAAGGAACAGCCTGGGGAGCCTCTTAGAAAGGGTGAATTCAATTTTAACTGATGGGTACATGTTGGGTAAAAAGGAAGAAGGGGGGCCGGCCGAGTGGCTCAGTTGGTTAAGAGCTCACTCAAGAGTGCGAGCTCTGAGCAACAGCGGTTCAAGTCCTGGCCTGAGCTGAGTTGCCACTGAGCTGCCAACAGGTGGCAGGATGGCTCAGCTAAAAAAAAAAAAGAAGAAGAAGAAGGTAATTCCAATCACAGATAATGGCATGTACAAAGCCATTACAGGAAAAGTAGCTTAGTATGGCTGAAGTAGACTGTGATTAAAATTATTTGATAGATTCCTCATTGATTTCAGGATTCAGGTTAGACTGCCCAGCTTAGCTCCACGGCCCTTCATGCTCTGATGTTTCCTGCATAGTCTTGTCTCCCAGGTATTCATTTCACTCTAGGCTAATAGGGTTCATATAGTGACTCAATGAATGGAGAAGTTCAGGCTAATCCTTGATGATGGAGTTCAGGCTAATCCCAGATATGATCAATTGATGTGAGTATTAGGACAGAGTGAGTTTCCCAGTTGTAGCGGAAAAAAAAATGAGTTCAGTTTTAGATATTTTGGGTTTGAAATATCTTTATACTATTTAAGGAATGTGGGTCTATTATTCATAAAAAATTTTTATTTGGTCGTCCTCACGGTGTAGCATGTTATTGAAGCCTTAGGTTTGTGTCAGGTCGGCCAGAAAGATTACGGTGCGTGAAGCCCAGTACATAAGACTAAAGCCTAGGGCAATACTGATAATTACAAGGTGAGCAAAGGAAGAAGAGAAAATGAATGGGATTGAGAAGGAGGACTCAGAGAAATAGAATGAAACATAGTTGACATTGGTGTGCTGAAAGCCAAGGAAAGGAGAAGGAGTGGGTTAATAGGCCACATTACGATACAAATTAAGTTGCGTCCATTGGCTTTGGCAATACAAAGAAGTGGCTAAAGATCAGAACAATGGTTCTTCAATTGAGCCATCAAAGTAGAAGATAGGTTACAGTTGTTGGGGGTGGTAAGAGGAAGTGAAAATAATTGTGGACTATTTTTTAAATATATCAGAGATTTATATGTTTATTTCATGAAAGAGATTGAAGATATAGGAGAGAGAGAAAGAGAAATGTATACGACAAAGTGAGTTGAATGGGAAAGGAATGGTACCCTGGTCACAGGTGAAGAGATTAGCCTTGGACAGAGGGCTGACCTTTATGCGCAGAGATGGGAAAATAGAGATGAAGGTGGCAGTTGTCTGCGAGATGAGAGGGGGAGAGAATTGCGGGCAGGCACGGGGCTTTGGTTTTCTTGGTGGAGAAGGAAAGCAAGGTCACCTGCTGAGAATGAGGTTCTCTCTGAGGAAAGAAGTCAACTTTGGAAGAATCGCTGATGGTAAATGGGAAGGGAACCAAAGAAAATTGTAGTCAGAGTAAGTTAGCAGAACTTACTGATGTTTATGGAAGAAAGGTATTATAAAAATCAACTCTGAAAAATTTTATTAACCTAAAACTCTGCTATACCTACGTAAAAATTCAAATACGTTTAAAAGAACTTACCATGACTGTTTAAGAAATCACTTATTCTCATCAGAGGCAATAAAATTTTATCACTAATAGCCCCTAGAGAAAATACATGGACTTTTAAAATTAATGGACCTGAGTGCATATTTTAGTGTGAACAACTTTTTTCATTAGAAATATATATCTATCTGGGACAGAGTCTAAACGGTAGAAAGATCTTATTTGGCTCTTTCTGAGGTACCATCTTAGGCACAACCAGAAAATATCAGTCTTTGATGCTATGTGGCATTTTTTTTTAAACTTTTTTGGGGAACAATGTGTTTATTCGGGTAACAATGTGTTTTTTCCAAGTCAAGTTGTTGTCCTTCAATCTTAGTTGTGGAGGGCACAGCTCAGCTCCAAGTCCAGTCACCGATTTCAATCTAGCTGCAGGGGGCACAGCCCACCATCCCATGCAGGAATTGAACCAGCAACCTTGTTGTTAAGAGCATGTGCTTTAACCAGCTGAGCCACCTGGCCGCCCTATCTGGCATTTATTGATAATTATGAGCATCATTCATTTTAATTTATACAATATTATTTGTTTATATCTATTTCCCCAATTGGACTAAATAGCAGAGGTTAAATTTAATTGTCTCTATATTTTCATAATTCTTAGTTCCATACCTGTATACAAAATAAATGCTTAACAAATATTTTTAGATTAAAATCATTTATTTACTTATTTTTAAAATGTTAAAGGATAATTGTTTTCTGTAAGTTAACCGAAGTTAATTTACTAATCAGGAAGCTTTTAGTTGTAAGTGACAGAAGTCAAACTCAAACCAACTTAAATGGAAAAAAAAAAAAAAAGAGGTATTTATTAGCTACAGGATATGAACTTAGGCTTTAGGCATTACTATATCCAGAGGCTCTAATCATGTAATTAAGATCTCTGTGCTTTTTGTTGAATCTCAAGTCAGCTTGATTTGTCTTAGAGTCAGAGCAGGCTGTCCCCACATGGTGATAAGACTGCCACCAGGCTTATGTCACCCTCACCACTAGTGATTCTTCTGAAAAAAACCGTGTGTTCCCCAACACTTCCAGCAAAGTCCTACAGAGGGCGCTGATGTGTCCAATCTCAGTCACCTGACCATCCTCCTGTGGTTCACTGTGGCCAGAGAATTGAAGACATTTATTAAGCCCTTACCTTAACCACACTCCTAGAAATAGTTCCCAGGGGTTTTGCTACCAGGGTAATGATGGGGGGAGCAGACAAAGCATATTGGAAGACAAGCACAATACAGTTCACTATAGTTATTTTGATGTTACAAAGTAATATTTTATTTCCTTTTCCTGACATTTTCATGATGCATTTTACTTGCTGAATCCAGGCAACGCCTCGAGTACGAATCCTCTCTGGAGGGAGATACTTGCAAATTAATAACGCAGATCTCAGTGACACAGCCAATTATACCTGTGTTGCCAGCAATGTTGCAGGAAAGACTACACGAGAATTTATTCTCACTGTGAATGGTAAGAAAAATTAATCATTGTTTCACAATTTAAAAATTTAGCCAAGGGTATTCAAAGAGATGAGCATACTAAATTAACTGTTGTGGTTATCGTATTTCTTTTGAAAAAGACAACATGCAGTATTTGTATTATAGCTCTATATTCAAATTAACATAATTTCAAAAAAAATAATTCAAAGTACATTACCCTATCTTAGAGGATAATATATATCCAATTGTTATCAGCATATCCTGATGTTCTGTGTCATTCAGATCAGAGCCATTAAGGAACTTAATAACCTAAATCTCCAGATGACAAGTGGCCCATTATTTAGTTCGCCTTTAGTGATGTTGGTGTTTGAGTATATATGTGCTAGACAGAGACTGTTTATAATTTCCTCAACTATGAAATCGAAACACTAAAATGTGCCAAATTTCAGGAAGATAATACAGACTTTGGATTTTTAATATATGAAACTTTACAGGATATTGGGTGACCCACACAACTAATATCTCTGATACTACACTTAAAATTCAGGTTTTGTATTCCCATGTGCACTCAATGATTAATAAAATACATGCTCTGAGACGTGCGTGATTAATCACAGATGTGCTTTTCGTTATAACAGCCCACTTTCTGTTCTTTATTTAAAGAGAAGTTGTGCCAGTGTTAACATTCTCTGACCATTATTTGGCCAAAGAGAAATAAGAAATATCATCTTTAATTTGCATCAGACCAGAGCTGATTTTTATTCAAGCCTCTCTCACAGAAAGCCAGATTTCACACACCATATCAGGGATTTAAAGCCCCCTCTTCCCATCTACTATTTATTTTTAAACACAGACTATCTTGAAAAAGATTTTAGGAGTTAAACCCCAATTCTATTTATATTAACTTGAATTAGCTGTGGGCAGCGTTAGACATTTGACTCAAAGCTCACCTTGTATGACCGCTTCCGAGTGTTAGTTCAGGCTGTTGTATAAATGAAGTTTTCTACATGCATCTCTTGTTCAGTGCCTCCGAACATCAAGAGTGGCCCCCAGAGTCTTGTCATTCACTTAAATAAGTCAACTGTATTGCAATGCTTGGCTGAAGGTGTGCCAACCCCAAGGATAACATGGAGAAAGGATGGAGCTATTCTCTCCGGGAATCACGCAAGGTAACGGTTCTGGAAAAGGATGACAAATACTGTAAGAACTGAAATACAACCCTTAAATCTTTTTTCCAATGAATTATTTTGTTCTTGTTATATTTAGAATGAGTCTTTTCATGTTAATATGAGAATCAAAATCTAGAATTTTGAGAGCATAATTTCTAAGACTTCTCTCCAACACAGAATGATGATCATTCATCCAAGATCACAAGGCCCATCTGCTGTGCACCTTTGCAGGATATCTCTTTTTTTCCACCAAGAGCACTGTAAATTTCTGAAGTAGGAAAAAGACTAAAAATGAATTTAACTAAGTCTTGAAAAGTGCTCTCAAAGTGAATAATCAGCAAAGGCTGATTCAGGGGATTTCACTTGTATTCTTTCCTCTAGATACTCCATCTTGGAAAACGGATTCCTTCATATCCAGTCTGCACATGTCACCGATACTGGGCGATATTTGTGTATGGCTACCAATGTTGCTGGAACAGACCGCAGGCGAATAGATTTACAAGTCCATGGTAATTATAGCTTGATAAACAGCCTTCAACCTTTGACTCATACGTTCTTTGATAGCCTAAACCTGTAAGGTCATAAAGACCTTGATATTCAGGGCTATTTAAGTGTACTAAAGTATATTATGAATAGTCAAGACCATGTTTTCTCCTCATTATGAATAGCACCATCACAACACTATTTAAATTCACAGAAATGCATTGTTTTCGTAACTAGGAGGCAAGTGACCAATGATTAATTTCAGTTCCACAGAAATGCTTCAAACAGCATACTATTATACTTGCTGAATGTGTTTCCCTCTTACTTGGTGACTTTGTTTTAGTTCCTCCATCGATTGCTCTGGGTCCTACCAACATAACTGTAACAGTAAATGTTCAAACTACTCTGGCTTGCGAGGCTACTGGGATACCCAAACCATCAATCAACTGGAAAAAAAATGGGCAACTTCTTAATGTGGATCAAAATCAGAATTCGTACAGGTAAGGAATAATATAATTGAAAAATCCCACCTACTATTTAGAAGAACATTTTTAACAGAATTAACAGTATGAAAAATTAGCTAGTATATAGAGAGAATATTTTCTTTTCTTAATATGGAATGAGTTTTCCAACGTAAAATATTTTTCTGAATCATAGGTGCAGCTTTTCTAGCCATAAGCCCTGTGGATGACTGTTAGTGAGGTCTACAGGATTAGATTTCCATTCTGCTTTAGATTTTTAGCACCTTTTGGAATTTTATGAAGGATGAGAACATGATTTGGTATGAAAGAAAAACTATTCTGTAAATACAATACAAGGTTTAGTTGTAGAATAAAAATCAAATTTTATACCTTGAAACACAAACAACTTAGGTATTTGGCACCATGTGTAGGGAGGAAAAACAAACAGCATTTTCTCCAATTTTTGCATTCCTGTGGCTTTACTAGCATAATATGGCATAATATGTTCATAATATGACAATGTATGCTTTTTAAAGTTTAACCTTTAAGTCAATAGGAATTTCTGATGCTATAGATGAGCATCATTTTTTGTATTTCAATTAAGTTCATAGATAGGTATTTTGTCAAAGGATTTGCCATAGTACTAAAAAGAAATGTTCTCGTAGATCTACTTTGATGAAAATCAATTCTGATAACATCAGGAAATATGAAATGAGGGGTCTCTCACTTGAAATGGCTATTGTTTCTCTCTCTTTCTTGCCCTTTTAATCTGTTGACATAGCAGTTTGGTGACTTGAAGGTACACACCATGTGGAAAATGTACAATGCCTTTCAATAAAAAAGCTTGTCAAATATGTTCCCATTAAATCAAATTATTTCCATTCTATCAGTGTGCTGTGTGAAGTAAGAAAACAAATGTTCTTATTTAGGTTTACTTTAAATAACATATGTGTATTTATTAAACCTTGTAAACATTCAGAATGATCCAGATCTCTTTTGTTTTGAATGGGTTAGAAGTTAAGGAAAAGACTTATTGATATATGTACTGTGCATCTCCAAGGCTTCCAACACTTGTAAGGAGAGATGTGAAGGAGGGAAAGGTGCAATTCAGGCAGACTTGTAGCCTGTCAATGGAAATAATCAAGTACTGACCTGTAAAGGTATTGTGAAATGTGGAGATGATGTATGGGAAGCATTTGAGATGGTGCCAAGAATAGATTCAGTGCTCAGTAAACAATGCCTGCCATCAGTGTCCTCCTTGCACTGTCTTTCACTTACGAGAGCTTGGCTGACCGTGATAGAAACATTCAGAAAACCCAAGACTCCCCCGTCAGACAACCCTGCTACCCACTGCTTCCCGTAAATGTCAAGGTTGAGGCCCTATTAACCAACTGCCGTATAAACGTGAAGTCTGATACATGAAGGATCAGAGAAACGATGCTCATTTTAACATGAGGAAAGAGTTCCGTTTCCCTCGATGCACAACATGGCACCATGTTGAACCAACTGGAAACATTTATGAAAACTGATAATAGTACCTCATTGCTTTGAAATCTTCTAGGCTCCTTTCTTCTGGTTCACTCATAATTATTTCCCCTTCTGTGGATGACACTGCAACCTATGAGTGCACGGTGACAAACGATGCTGGAGAGGACATGAGAGCTGTGGATCTCACCGTCCAAGGTACAGCCTTCTTACTATGTGAATTGAAAGTGACTGTAAGGATATCATTTCATTAGTCCAACCTCACAAAAGCATGTCCTTTTTCCTCTTAGTTAACACTGACTTTCAGTGTAGAAAGTGAAAGATGTATGATAAGGCTTTGGAAATCTGTAAGGGTTGGAAATGTATGTTTTTGTTTATCTTGATTGTTATTGTTTTAGTTCCACCTTCCATAGCTGATGAGCCTACGGACTTCCTAGTAACCAAACATGCCCCAACAGTAATTACCTGCACTGCTTCTGGAGTCCCGTTTCCCTCAATTCACTGGATGAAAAATGGAATAAGACTGCTGCCCAGGGGGGACGGCTACAGAATTCAGTCCTCAGGTGAGACCAAGTTCAGCGACTGCACATCTATTGCTGGGATTAATCATTAATGGGGGGCTTTTTTTGCACCAAAACAAAAGAATAAGATAAAAATACACCTTCATTTCTGGGTTTAGGCATCTGGAAAAAAAATGCAATTAGAGTTGGAAGGGGAACTAGGGAAAAGAAGAAAAAAAAATGTTCAAACAACATAAAAATTAGTATCTAAGACTGATCTGAATATAATAAGCATGACCACTGGAACTTCATATGCATATTTACTAAACCAAGGGTTTAACAAATTTCCTTTTTGCCTTTGAGTGAACCACTCTTCTTCCATTGGCCAGATAGACTGTCTATTCATTTAACCAATGTTCAGTGCCTAAAGTAGGCTATACACTACACTACATTTCTGAGGATGTAAAACTAAGACAGGGTTCTTGCTATCAAGGTTTTAATAATTTATCAGCTAAGGCTGTGTGATAAGTGCTATGATAGATAAATTGTGAGGGTGATAGTAGCCATCATTTATTATATAAAAGTTAAGTATTGAACAATTTGTAGTACTGAAGAGAAAAAAAATAATTCACCTAAGTGAAAGAAAGTATAGGTGATTCACATGGGTGTTTTTGAAAACAGCCTGCTTGGGGAGGTACACCAGAGGCAAAGGAAAGTGTCAGCTGATATCCTGGGGCTTTATGAGTGTGTACATATTATTCTAAGGGAATTTGTTATTTATTCAATAGAAGGCAAATAATGGAAGATTTATTCTCAGGATGGAACTTGGCTTTCAAAGCAAAGCATTGTTGCTATCTCAGAAACCTGTATAGATTGGTAGCAATTAAAATCGTAAAATATACATGAACTGCCCTCAGCACAAAGTATTGTGCCAAGAAAACAGTTTGGAACTTTCTCAAAATGTTAAAGAGTTACCATATGACCCAGCAACTCTGTTCTTAGGTATCCACTCACAGAAATGAAAACATATGTTCACACAAAGACTTGTATGCAAATATTCATAATTCTCAATAGCCAAAAAGTAGAGATAACTCAGTCATCCATCCACTGGTGAATGGACGAACAAAACGTGGGTAATCCACACGATGGAATTCTATTTAGCAATAACATAGATAAAAAATATTGACACATAGTCCAGCGCATGAAACTCAAACACTGTGCTCCCAGAGAAAGATGTCAGACACAAAAGACTTCTGTATGATTCCATCTGTATGAAATGTCAGGAAAGACAAATCCATAGAGACAGAAAGTACATTAGTGATTTCCTAGGGCTGGGGTTGGGAGCAAGGAGTGACTGTAAATGGAATGAGATTTCTTTTTGGTGTAATGGAAATATTCTAAAATTAGATTATGGTGATAGTTGCATGACTTTGTAAATACACTAAAATCATTGAGTTGTGCATGTAAGTGGGTAAATTTTATGGTAGGCAAATGTTGCCTCAGTAAAGTTAACAGTGATTTTAAAAGTACTATGCTAGGTACTTCAGGGGGCACATGTATGAATAAAAGCCAAGCACCACTGTGCTATGGGGGTGAAAACACAAACATCAGAGAGACATAGTTTATTGAGCCAGAAAAACAGGATGGACTGTGCATGCAAAGTTTTTTTCTTTTTAGGAGCGATTGAAATATTTGCCACTCAATTAAACCACGCTGGAAGATATACTTGTATCGCCAGGAATGCAGCTGGCTCTGCACACCGACACGTGACCCTTCGCGTCCAGGGTATGCAAGATTATTTACTCATTAAAAGCTTGCCATTGTTGTTGTGTTTGTCATGTTTATTCTTGAAAGGTTGTACTGTCTAGAGCTATGAACCAAGTAATATCTTGGGGATATGAAAGCTTGGTAGATGTTCTTCAACAGACTAAAGAAGACCCACAGGTAACAAACCACACAATACAACCCCCAAATTATTTTTCTTCTTGAATTTGTATAATCTGTTCCTGTTTCTGGTCTTCTCATGAAGTTCTTCTAATGGAAGCTGGCTATAGGAGCAAGACTTAAAAAAATGTAATATGGCCAATATTCGCTTTTCCCCAGGACAGTCAAATCACTGATATTTTGAAATTCTGAACCTGGGCATGTTTAGCCTCATGGCTACTGTAGATGTTTTGTCACTAACTGGTGCCATTGCTTTTTTCTGTTGATTGGTTTTCATAGAGCCTCCATTCATTCAGCCTCAGCCAAGCAAACTAGATGTCATTCTAAACAATCCCATTTTATTACCATGTGAAGCAACAGGGACACCCAGCCCTTTCATTACTTGGCAAAAAGAAGGCATCAATGTCATCACCTCAGGTACGTACCACTGTTTCCATCAAGAAAATCACAGCAATACAGTGTTTTCTAATTCAGAAGTTGGTATGATTTCTTTTTTTTTTTTAACGAAAGTAAAAGTTCTCACTCTGCTTTTGTACCGTGATGTAGGCAAAAGCCATGCCGTTCTTCCTACCGGCGGCTTACAGATCTCCCGAGCTGTCAGAGAAGATGCTGGCACTTACATGTGTGTGGCTCAGAATCCAGCTGGTACAGCGTTGGGCAAAATCAAGTTAAATGTTCAAGGTACCTAAATAACAAACCGCTGTGTCTTCATTGCAAAGATGGTTATAACCATGAATACCAAAAATCACATATCTAAAATAACTATGCTACCATAGTTCTCAACATTCTTAGTTTACATTGCCTTATTTGCTTTTCTATTACCCTTCTGGTGAAAAATAACTTATGTTTTGGAGGTTTTGTGTTGTTTTGTTTTGCATCATCTGTATAAGCAAACTGAGGCTTCTCATCATGTTTTGAACTTCTGTGAGCCTCCGTTTGGTACTCTATTTCATTGTAGCACATTTTTAAGGTGATTTTAAAAACCATTCTCTCCACAGTACTGCTTTGGATACATTAGGAAACACTAAATTGTAATTTCCACTTAAAAACAAATCACAATTGCAGTTAAACCAACTTGATAGGAAAAAATTATTCTAAAGAGAAAATGGGTTTTTCTCAGTTTTCACTGATATAGTCTTGATATAATTTTCGTATCTCATACATTGCTTTTGTGAATGACGAAGTACACTAAAATGAGGTGCTTAGCAGATTTTGAATTTTCCTATAGTGCGATTTTCCTATGGTGAATGAATGACTATCATAAAGCTCACTTACCTGCACATTATAACTCTAATTTCTCTGTATTTTTCAACGAACGTTTATTGGGATAAGTGGAACTACATTGAACAATACAAACATGATCCTTCCCTTATAGCGTGGAGAAGGGAAAAACTAAACTACCAAATAAATGAAATAATCATAAGTTCCAATATATGCTATGCAGAGGAAAAAATAAAATGCTGATATGGAGAATAATGGGGAAATGTGGGGGCCACTTTAGCAGTTAAAGTAGATTCTTTGAGGGGGTCCCATTTAAGCCTGAGACTTGAATGATGAGCCGTGTAAAGGAGGCGGAGCATCCAAGGGAAAGAGGACAGCATGTGCAATGGCTCCAACGCAGGAAAGAGTCAGAAAATAAACGTGCCAGGGTGGCTGGGCAGTGGTGAGTGACGGGAAGGCTGGCGAAGTGGGAGGGGTATCAGAAAAGATGGCAGGGCCAGCGCATGGAGGTCCCAAAGGAACACAGGGAAGTTAGATTTCATTCTCTATGCAGTGGGAAGCCTTTTAGGCATTTAACCAAGACTCAGGTTTGGTTTTAGGGAGATCTGTTTTGCTGGTATGTAAACAATCATTTAGAGACAGGGCAAGACTAGAGCTGGAAGACTAGAGCAGGATATCATGGCCTGGCCAGGAGTTGGGGTAGCTGTGTGAGTTACAGATAAAAGCGATGGGTTCAAAATACTTTTGGAGGTACCATTGTCATGATTGCTAATAAATCAGAGTTGGGAGCTTAGGAAAAGAGAAGCATGAATTATGTTTCCTGGGCTTTGGGCTTGAGCTAATGAGTGGATGATAACGCCATGGGGAATGCAAGGGGAGGAACTGGTTTAGGAGGAAGGAAACCGTGATTTCTGTTTAATCATGTTAAATGTGGAAAACTATTAGAAATCCTAGTGGAGATGTCAAGTAGAGAGTTGAATATTTATGAATTCAGAGCTCATGGGAGAAGTATAGTCTAAGATATAAATTTCAGTTCACAAGGCTGAATGAGAATTTGGACAGAAAAGAACTAAGGACAAAGCCCTGGGAAGCTGCATTGTTTAGGGGCCCAAGAAAGGAGAGGATGCTGAGAAAAAATACACAGGAGAGGGCAAGATGTCGGAGGAAAACTAGATGGAGACTAGGAGAGGAGAGTACTTCAGGAAGTGAGTGGGTAACTTTGTTGAATGTGATAGGTCAAGTAGGGTAAAGACCAAGAAATCTTCATTGGTTTTGGCAGCATAGAGGTCATAGAAAAGAACAGTTCCATATTTTAGGGTTTTGTTTTTTTTTTCACCAACTGATTAAAAATATTGATATGAGCAATTATGGGACAAAGAAACACATTAAGCAACTAATAGCATTTCAGCATGCCAAAAGCAACTATAGATAATTGCATGCTCTAGAGACATTAAAAATCGTGAATGCAATCTCTCCTTGCAAATACAGTATATAATTGCAGGCACAAGTTCAACCAGATAATGTTGGTTGATATAAATAATTTTAACATGCTTATTCACAGTTTTTTCACAACACATTGACTTTATTTTACTCATCATGATTAGTGTACCCTAAGATTTGGTCTCTGCATGGTTGGCCATTTCTCCACAGCTTCCTCTGGGGACATCACAGATGGTTCTAGATCCCCAAAACTCGGCATGCACAGGGCATTATTTGGATCAATGGCGTTCTCAGAGAGCTTGTTTCTGATTCCTTTTCTTAGCATGTGATAACAATGAATATTGTTGACCTTTCTCTCTTAAGCTTTCTTGAATGAGTGGTAGATGCTTTATAGGATTTTTTTTTTTTTTGCCCAAACTCACTTAAAGTGGTATTTTTACCAGCATGGTTATCTCTGGACTTGCACTGAAAGGGAGGGGGGTCATCCTCTCCTTCCTTTTTTATGTCCTTGTGATTGGTTGTGCCTTGCTGGTGGTTGATTATTCTCTCATACTTATTTAGTATGTCTTTAAGTCTCAATAGGATATCCAGGCCAATACCTAAGCAGCAATCAACATATTGGAAACACCAGAAAGGGAAATCCTTATCATAAGCCCTTCCACAGTTTTCTGAAGGAGTGGGAAGAGTTTTATCTATATAATTCTTTTCTATGATTCATTCATTCATTCAAATAATACTTCATTAAATATGGCCACCATGCTAGGCACTACAGAAGATGCATGGGTAGAGTATCTTTGAGCAGTTGAATAATTTTCAAACCTTGAAGAGGTGTATTTTGAAAATTTTAAGTAGCTGAAGTGAATCACGCAATACATGTATGTTAAAGAAAATGTCTCTGTCAACACAGCCTAAATTTTCTAGACACGCAATCACTCAGGACTATGTTTACGTCCTTATTTATAATTGATTATTGTTTACATTTATTAACTAGACAGAGAATAATTTTCTGGAATGAATTCAATGATAACACACTATAGTGACCCTTTGATGATGATATGCTAACGTCAGGATTTTGCTTCTCATCAATGTGACTTCACTTTGCTAGAGCGGTACTATAGTGTGTAAATGGTAACATTCATGCTTTTAAAATGAAATTTGGACTTTGTTTCTTTTAGTTCCTCCAGTCATTAGCCCCCATCCAAAAGAATATGTCATTGCTGTGGATAAGCCCATCACACTTCCCTGTGAGGCAGACGGCCTCCCACCACCTGACATTACGTGGCATAGAGATGGGCATGCAATTACGGAATCCATCCGCCAGCGCATTCTCAGCTCTGGGGCTCTGCAAATAGCATTTGCCCAGCCTGATGACACTGGGCAGTACACGTGCATGGCAGCTAATGTGGCAGGATCCAGCAGCACGAGCACCAAGCTGACTGTCCATGGTAGGTGATTTCACATCAATTATTTCAGACTGCTACATTCCCATGGCAGAGAAAAGACAATGAAGAAAAAATATGGTGGCAATCAAAGCCATGCAAAACCAATAATTCAAAATATAGAGTGTGTGTGTGTGTGTGTGTGTGTG